GATCCACTTACTTGTTTTGTCAGGGGCTTTCAACCATATCCAACGGTCTTATCAGCGATTCAATCCTTTACAAGGGATCATATCTTAGTACATTGTTTGTGAGTGAACATTACCCCTTACCCTGCTTTATACTTTCACAACGATATTCCTTTTTAGGGGTCACTACTAACTTGAGTCCACAAATGGACTTTGGCCATTTTAAAGCAATATAAGATAATGTGCACATTCCTTATTCCCTATATACAGCATGTAAATAAATGAATGAATAATATATTTTACCAGCTTATTATGTAGTTAGTGAATTGTAAAAAGAAAAGCACAAAGTCATTGCCATTTGTTTTAGGGGGACTACTGTGAGATACCAAGGAATCTGAATGAAAGCAGACAATGTTCTCACTGGGAAAGTCTAGAAATATAATGTCTTTGAGGTCAAACTGCATTTAAATCCCAACACTGCTTCGGAGTCTCTTTGGAGATTAGGAAAGTAAATTGCTTACACGGCGCAGGGGATTCTTGCTCAGCAATTTCTGAATAAAAATATAATGTGAACACAAACTGCTGCGAGTGGCTGTGTTTACATGCTTATATAGTAAAACACTTAGTAATTATGATAGAATTTTGTTTCTTGTTAACGGGTCACTCGATAATTTAACATTCACATCCATAATTTGTTTTCCATTAGGCTATTTAATGAATTTATCCCCCTGATTATCACTGCATGGACAGCCTGAATATCATTTTAAGTCGTTACTGAGGTCGCCAGTTTAGGTTTCAAATATTTCATATGTTCATGCCTTTTATTTCTTTTAGGAGATAGACATTATTGATGTGGTTTTCTTTGAAGTATACGATGCTAGTGGCCAAATATCACCAGAGTTCAGCGCACCTGAAGAGCAGCACCCCTCACTAAACTAGTTAAAATAAAACGTACAGGTCAAATCTGAATCCGTCAGCTTTTAGGGGGCAGTCATAGTGGTTAGTCAAGACAAAACAAACTCTAAAAAAAGAAAGTAGTTCATCCGACGACATCGTGTTTAAAAATGTTATTAACAGCAGCATATAGTTTGAGTTTGGCTTCAAGGCTCCGGCCTCATCACTCCCAGCGAGTTCTTTTTACATAGAACATTGAGAAGTGATGATTAAATAACTATTCCTCTGAGCCTACAGATGGAAGCTGGGTTTGTAGTGGGGCAGAAAAGCAGCATTAGCGAGGCAGAGGAAGAGATGACAAATCTTTCAATTTTAAATAGAGCGTCAGATTACAGGAAATGTGTTTGGTTGGTTGTATGAGGAGGTAAGGCATGTCACATGTGTATGAATCATTGGTGTTTGAGTGAACTGCCTGAAGTAGCTGGCAGGCTGCGCTCCATTTTCTTTTTGTCGTACACACTTTCTATCCTTGAGGGGAAAACAACAAGAGCTGCAACTACATAAAGCAGACAAAAACTTGTTTGATTTCCAACCAAAATTCTGACCCCAATGAAACCCTCCATTGAAGGATGTAATATAACACATGCTCTCACTGAATCTCATGACTCAAAATTGGCACCCAAAGAAGAGGTTTTTTAAAAGGGGTGGGGCGATATTACCCGAAGGCTTTGGATGGTACACTCACAGACTGCTTTTTGTTTTTCAGAACTCAGTTGTATTCTAATTTTTTGTTTACCCTCGTACAGATTCCAGTTGAGTGTACCAGAATGCTCTGTCTAGCACAGTCTGCTCCTCCAGGAGAAACTAATTAGTTTGGGGAAACAATATATTCTGGAGCTAATCTGGATATCACTGCTCTGAGGCCTTTTAATTGAGATGGCTGCAGTTGTGATGCATACATAAAGCTGGCGTAACCTCCAGCCGTACAGGGCAGCACCCATGATAACTGCTCCTCATTAACCACTTCATGCAGAGTAACAAACACCTAAGAAACTGGGAGTCGTACTATGGAGAGCAGAGAGAGATGGCTGCCACACTAGGATACATTCAGCATATTTTCTCCAAATGTCCTGAACTGAAATTCTCTATATTTGAAGAATATAAATTCCTGGAACAATTTAGCCCCATCAGTAACATGGAGTTATAAAAATCTACCAGGAACTGTATAATTGCCTTTCATTTCTGTCAATCTTCCTGAAAGCGTAGGTTTACATTTTCAAAGGAGGAAGGGAAATTGCCATTATGCAACCAGCTATCACAAAACGCAGGTGATTTAAAATGCCCTACTATTCATGAAATTACGATTAACTGTTAAAGGTGCATTTTAAACCTTTTAATGGAACTAGATGGTGAGTTATTTCTCCCTCCACTGTGATTTCTCAGTCACCTCTTCATGTTTGATCCCTGCTCTCTCAGATTTAATTTAGAAGACTCCTCCACCAGTCAGTCATCTTGCAGAGTTTGATTTGGTAGCTGTTAAACTGTGGATTTTGCAAGAAGACAATTGCATAGCTGGGTTCCAAACACCTTCCTGGTCATCTTTTTCCCTCCTCTTGTGGGTAAAGAAAATGTCAGGATTGCAGACAGTCGTTGCGGTGAAAAAAATTGTCCCATTTGGACAGGTTAAATGAAGAGTAGAACGATAGGGGCGACAAGGATAAAAGAGGAATTCAGATGCAGGTAATGTGGAAAATGGAGGTTCTAGATGCCACAAATGTCTGAAGGGGGAGAGAGCGAGAGAACGCGTATGAAAAGAGGGAGAGGGTGCAAGGAGGAGAAAGGATAGGAGAGAAAGAGAGAGGGCGTGAAGAGACGAGAGGGGATAATGCACTATTTGAATTATGTAAAAATAGCTGCGTTGGGAGAGAAGAGGTGCCGTGGTGTGTGTGGTGGGTGTGTGTGTGTGGGGTGTGTTAAGTGTGTGTGTGTTGTGTGTGTGTGTGTGTGTGTGTGTGTGTGTGTGTGTGTGTGTGTGTGTGTGTGTGTGTGTGTGGTGTGTGTGTGTGTGTGTGTGTGTGTGTGTGTGTGTGTGTGTGTTATTAGTGTGACTGTGACAGGCTGAGATGGGAGGAGGCAAAGGAAAAAGCAGAGACAGACATCATGAGGACAGGCTGCAATGCAGAAAGAAATAGACAAGACTTAAGAACAAACAAGCAAATGTAACCAAACTTGTATTTTATGTGAGGGTTATAATGCTGTGTAGATGTTTCTTGATAGGGACATGCAAATAAAAAAGGGAAAAAACAAGGAAAGGAACACATGAATATGAAACGGGGAAAAAACAGGATGTGCAGAAATGTACTTTGATATCATCCTGCTGTTTAGAGACAATAACAAAAGACTGTAATGAATAATGCTCACCCAGGCTTTATAAGACAAGGCACTGTTGCGTCTTCATCTGGTGGAAACGGTAGAAAAACTGTTGACTTCCAATAACTTTACATATTCTTGTCTAATCGTGTATGTACTTCTTTTTCTGTAGCGGCATGGCTCTAGGGATGGAAATCAGTTTGTCTGAAATATCAGAGAACTGTTACTATTATACTATTTTGCCTGGTGTGCGTTACATTTTGTGAAGACATCTTGACCCCCGAGGATGATTTAGCAGTCCTCCTATTTTCATTTAACTCCACCAGCCGTTCAAATGTTCCACTTGTGAAATATAGCACATCGATTTGTAAGAGATTTTTTGTACATCCACGGTTCCAAGACGATGAGTCTAAAGACTGAATTTGATATTGTTATAGCAAACTGCCAAAACAGCAAAGCATTTCAAAAATCTTCCACATGCAAGAAATGACTCTGTTTTAGCCCTTCCTCTAAACATGGTCAGTCGGACACATGGTAGATCCTTTGATCATTTATTTTATAGTGTGGATCAATTTCATATTTTAGAAGCAAGTCTTTTATGGTCCAACTATTTATTGATTTATCCAACTATCCTGAGTTTTGGTATGTCATTCTGTGGATCATGAGGGCCATTTCTAGTCTTTCTTTTGTTCACTGGTTGTCCTAAATGTCACACTCCTCATACAAGGCATGTATAAGACTTTCCCTTAAGGACGTTTGAGATAGACATACAGTCCTGACATTTTATTGAGTTTTCCAACAGTTGGGCGAGGGACAGCAGGGACGGGGAAGTGGAAGTCAGGCAATATATGTACACTTTCAACATTCACTCACATTGTTGTGGCTGCAGTTCATCTGAGTTCAACCAGGCCTCTTGTGTTTTGTTTCCTTTGTTCTCTAAACTAACTCGCTCCATCATCCATCATGCGCAGGACACAAGTTTATTCCCTTACTCACCAATCAAGTGCATTAGGCACCGACTCTCTGACGGAAGTCAATAAGTGCTTTGTTTGTTTAATGCATGCTTCTCTCTATCTGTTCATCTCCCGGTCCCTCCCCTCTCCCTCGCCTCAACATACAGGCTGTTAACATTCGCTCATCTGATGTCCAGACAGAAAATCTATCTCTGAATAGTCTCTCGCCCACTTCGTCCACCTCTCCCCCTCCACACAGATGACGGTGTATTACAGTTCATGAGTCCGCGCAGCAGCGCTGGTGGACGACCAAAGATGGTTTTATTTAGACAGACTGTCAGTAACAGCTCTCCCATAGCTGTTTATTTCCACAATGGCAAGTCTTTCTCTCCCCACATCCTCTCGCTAAAGGACTAAAACCAGACTAATGGACAGTTTCATCCCTCAGGCCATAAGACTGTTAAACACCTGAACTTTTGAAAGGACATCCATAACATTCATCTGTTTGCAACTTATATATATCAATATTGTAATTACTTGTATATAGACTATTCTGCACTATTGCTACCATATTCTATTTTATTTTATTTACTTGCACTGTTGGAGGAGCCTGTGACCTAAGATTTCCATTGACATAACTACACTGTAGCTATGTACAAATGACAATAAAAGCCTTGAATCCTTGAATCCTTTAGCTTTGTCTCGGCGCCGTCACTCCTTGTTCTGCCCTCATTTTACCTTCAGATGTTTCCCTCCTCCTGATATTTAGTCTTACCTGTCGACCTTTTCTCTCTCTCTGTCTGTTAGATCATCGCGCCCGGCGGAAGAGCATAGCCACTGGGAAGCAGCCCAGCATGGAGATCCCTCCCAGTGCCCCAATTCAACCCTTCCGACAATCCGTGAGTAACCCTCCCTGTTCCCGGCCTCGCTCGCTGCCCCCGACCCTCTCTCTCTCCTTCCTCCCGTCTCCCGCCCTGGGCCCGCCACCCTCCTGTTGTCGCAGGGCCAGCGGGACCCCGCATTACCCTTTTCCCCTCTCCCTGGCTGTCTCCCCCTCACATGCCCTTGATCGGCAGAAGCAGAAAAAAAAGGGCTCCAAAAAAGGGCCCGGCACGCCCCCCTTGCCCCGCTCGCTGCCCCTCTCCCTGTCCTCCTCCCTCTCCCTCTCCCTGCCCCACTCGCCTGCCACCTTCTCCTCCACCTCCCCCTTCTTGTACTGGGGCGGAGACTGGAGGGCTGCTAGTTCGATTCCAGTGGCAGGAGGGACGTTCATTTCACCACTGCCCCCCGTTGAGGTATGTGACACAACTGTGGCTGAAGCAGAGACACTGGCTACTGCATTTATGATGCCTGTAGAATGGAAACATCTTGTCTCTCAAATTCAAATTCAATATTCACAGAATGATTAGAACAGTATACCACAAAGGGTCATACGTGTGTGTTTGCTAGTTTTTGTTGGTCCTTAAAAGTAAACTGAATATTTTCAATTGAATGTATTTCTACTTTTCGTGGTAGCCGTTGGTCTCCATTCATTTCCAGAAGATACGAAAATCAATTAGCCACCTTTTGAAACATAGTCTAATTGAGATGGGTAATAGGCATTCATGTCTGTCAAAGTTACTTCATCATGGTGTGGTAATGAAGTTTAAAGTGTGGTTTTATTTAATACATCTGCACTGCTTTTGCCTAATGAATAGAAAGAGTAGAGGAGAAATTGAAAAGGTGATACAGAAACAATTAAAATAAAAGGTCAACATGTTTTATGTCGCTTATTATATATAGCAGCTTGTTATTATCCTTATAGGAACTGAATCTCCATATAATCTTATTGTAAAGCACTTCTCAACTGTTTTGAAAAGTTCTATATATATTCTATACAGTATAAATAATAAAAATGATGATTATTTAAAAGGGACCTATCATGCAAAATGCACTCTTGTATGTCTTTTATACATGAATATGTGTCCCCGGTGTGTCAGGGAACTCACCAAGTGTCAGAAAACACAACCCTCTCTCTTTTCCTCCAATACCCAAATCTCTAAAAACGGGGCTGCAACGGAGCTGATACAGATTTGAAATTGTTCTGACGTCAGAAACAGGGAGCTCCGCCTATATGGGCAACTCTCCACCTATCAGGGGAATGGGGGGTTGGGCCACGGCCACGGCCATTGCCGCTCGAAAGCGCTGGAGACGCTGTAGTACATATGCCAGGCCTGTAAGTGGCGCTGTAGTCTGCCACAAAAGCAGCGAAGAAGACTTCTCACAGAATCAGCCCTTGCAAAAACAGGGCTGGAAAAGAGCAAATAGAGCGAAATGAAGCATGGCTAAAATGCATGATCTGTTTGGTATTTTGAAAAAAAAACTTCACAGACATGTTTTATATAGGTATGGCCCTACAATATATTATTCAAATATAGCATGATAGGTCCACTTTAAGGTATTTTTATGTAATGCATATAAAGGAAAAGCAGACTTAATATTCACTTTGATAAAGTGCACACGCCTGCTAAAAGGATGTCATCCAATGGGAACTAAATAATAACCAATGATTACCTTCAATGTCCTGAATTGACTCGTAGTAAATCGGTTAAAACACGCAGAACACATGGTATGATTCTTTAATGTCACCAAAAGAAGAGTCATATCTTTTTCAAAGTGTACTGTCACTGCTACTCCTGGGATCATTGTGTCTCTTTGTTGTACTGGAGACAACTTCAGTTAGAGGAACTGGCAGCAAAACATATTCTGTCTGTGGACGGAAATAATCTGTTTATTGTTTTATTCATAGCAACAGAAATTAAATCCCATTGTATCACACGTGCACCTCAAAGGGCTTAAAGGATAGATTGGTGTCTTATTAAGTTTGTGCAAGTGCTCCATGTTACCCATCTCCTTTCTATTATTTCTGCTGGTGTTTGCGCTTTAGCTGGAAATAGCCGGACTTGTTTTTCTCTCTACACAGGAAACTATTTGCAGCCCGTTCACTGTTGCAGTATGAGAAACGGCAGGAGCCAGATAATCCATTAGCGTGAACGCAAAGCCCAGTTTGGCTTTTGGCTCAAACTTTTTGTTTTTCATGAATATTTCATAGTGGCTAAGATGAGAGATTTCATATCAATATTTCAGCTTTCTCAGATTCAATGAGCAAGCCTAAAGTGCAGGACAAGTGTTGCAGTTTAAAGACCTTTGAACCCTTAAAGACAGCCTTTGTTATTATCCTAAATCTAGCTCACTTTAAATCTGTATTATATTCTGTATTCGATCTATTGGCTGGCACTCGTTTAATGTACGCTGTGGCTTTAACCTTCCCGCAAGAGACTCATTTGATACTAAAAGTACCCCAACACAAGGGAAAGTCTATCATAGAAAGTATGACGTAAGTATAAGTATGTAAGTAGCATTTCATAGTGAAATTGTACCTACATAATCAAAAGTACCAATACTTATAATACTGGAAGTTGCCCTTGTGAGTGTGTCAGTATTTAACACTGCTTTGTAGGGCTGGAACTAACTGTTATTTTCTTCATGAATTCATCTGCATATATATTTAATAAATGTATAATAGTAAAACATTGAAATACAGTAGAAGTATACATTTGTGAAATATAGTGCCAAAGTAAATGTACTTTGATGCAACCTGCTTCTAAATGGATACAGAAACATATAGGGTTAAAGCCCTAAATAACACTAATATTCTTCTTTAAACTGAAGTGAATCCGAGTCACTCTGAGCATGCAAACAAAGCCACTTAATATAAAGTCCCCCACTCTCTCTATTACCTCATTTTATAGTATCTCTCTCTTTAATGTATCACTTTCTCTCTATCGCTCTCTCTTTTTGTCTCCCTCTGTATTTAATTCTTTGACTTTTTGAGACTTAAAGTGTCAGACGGAGCAGCTAATCTAATCAGATTTAGTCATGCAGGCTATTAGCTTGGAACCAGCAGATGGAGCCAAGTCTTTAGTCATATCCTCAAGACAGGCATCAAAGCTTTTTGACTCATGACAGATGATGAGGTGTCATTTGCCTGCAGCCATTCCCCCGCTCGACAATGCTGTTATGCTATAGGTATACAAATGATATTGTTTATGAGTCTTCAGGATTCACTTTATAAATGAATATATGAAGTGTCACAGTTTTACAGTACAAAAAAAGTCAAATTTCATGCATGATTTAGGCTTTGAAGTTATTTACACAGCCATCAGTTCAAGCTTCAAGCTCATATTAACATCCAAACATATGAAAACAGGAGAAAAAAGCTATGAGAATTAAAAACACTGTTCTGAAAGGTGTTAAATATGCAGTTACGCCACAGTTGTGACTTAACAGCTCAAGGATGCTGGTTGTCAATGTAACAGAAAACGCTTTCTGGCTGGGGAGTCTTTTTAGGAGCTCTACGTTCAGAAAGAATAATCACGACCAGAGCAAGAGATTCTTTGACAAAGTAACAGAGGTCAAATAACTGCTGACACATCCATCTTCAGTTTGTGACAAACAAATCTGAGCCACCCTACAAAACTAAAATCAAACTGAACACTAATCCACTAACAGCTTAAAATACATATTCTGGCTGCTTGTGTTAGAAACCATAAATGTGCGATCTGGCTCTCTCATCCCTAGTATGCGCAAAATCAAGTTTAGTCAGAGTTCAGAGTTGTGCTGCTTCAGTTTAAAACGGCTGAAACCTTATTTTTGTTGCATTGAACGCAAGCCTTTGTTCATTTAGAAGAAAAATAAAATATATATTGTGTTCCATATATTTGTCACACAAGTAGACACAGAAATACCCCTCAGTGAGTATTGGTACACACCCCAAGTAATGACCTCATCAATGAGCAATTTCCTGCTTATCAGTGTCTCCAGATTGTGTTTCTGATCATTCACTGACATGTACTGTCGAGCTTATTTTTGGACTGTATGGCTCAGCACTGCCCACCGCAGGATCTGAGACCACACTGCAGTTCAATGTGACAAATTGCCATGTGTGGGTGTATGATTTTTAGTTGATAATAAATGTATCTTGTGCTTTCCCCTGTCATGCATCATGTATTTCATTTGTCTGTGTCTTTTTGTCACTTAAATACGTTCTACACAAACCACACCGACTCCATGGAAACCATTTTATATTTTACAATCAATCTTTCTTCTTAAATCATCCCTCACTCTCTCTTCACATCTCATCTTATCATCTCCAACTCACGCCGACCACTTCTTCTTCTTCTTCTCCTCTGTCACTTTGCACCATGCACGTCCTCCCTTTCCTCCTCCATCTGTCTTGTCCTTGTTGTTTCTCCCCTCCTCCCTCCACCTCCAGAGCTTTCTCAGCAGAAGGTTGAAGGGCTCGATCAAGAGGGCTAAGAGTCAGCCCAAACTGGACCGAACCAGCAGTTTCCGCCACATGATCCTCCCCCGCTTCCGCAGTGCCGACCAAGACAGGTCAGTGAGTGAGAGTGATGTTGGACATTCATGTGTGGATTAATCTGCTGTGTCAGGCTGTGATTGGCTGCTAATCTGCAAACACTGTGCAGTTGCATTTATGTATGATAGCTAATTTTTGTCTTGTTCTCCCAGTCTGTTTGTGTAAATGCTTTGGCATCACAAAAACAATTTACTCTCCATCTAATTCTACAATATAAAGCTTTGTTTTGAATCAAAAAGGAAGTGTGGATGGAGCTTAACACACTCAGCGGAAATTAAACAGTGTAAACTAATTCAGATTGGACACAATGTGAGTTTTATAAGACAACTGATGTGGAGTATCTATCTATCTATCTATCTATCCATCCATCTATCTATCTCTCTCTAAACCTCTTTCTATGTATCTTGTCTATCTATATTTGTCTTTATCTGCCTATGTATCTCTATCTCCTTCCATCATTTGCTGGAAATGGTTTTTTATTTCTCACTCTGTGTCACATACAATTAAAGCACTCGGCACCATCGTTGTTTCTCTGCTGGGTGAAGAAAAAACATTGCCTCTTTCTCCATGGCAACCAGCTGACAGCCATATGGCGGCTGTACAGACCATAATGAGTCAGTGGGAGATTTGCTTAATTATACCTCCTCTGTATCTTGTTCCTAGTTGCAGCAGCACCAGCGTTCGTCAGGCACAGCAGCACAAGAGTTACAAGGATCATTTTTGAGGGGAAATATCCTCAGAGACTCAAGTTTGGCAGAAGTTTGTTCTAAAAAAAATAATCTCGAAAGGGAAATCAATGATATATCCATATAACAATTGAAGTTGTTCATTTTTCAAGTAATGTTTTTCATTTTTTACCTTAGAATTATCTTAATTGCTGTTTAAGACAGCAGCATTGTGTCAGTATTTTATGAAATTATTTCATTAGAGTTTTAGGGAATTATAAGAGAAATAAATGAGGAAGGCTTTTTTTCTACCTAAACTAGCCTGGTTAACAGTTATTCAATAGCATTGGTCTCTTATGTGCACTTCGATAGCTCAACTAGCGCAAATGCCATGTACTGAAGGCTTGAGCCCTTTCCACAGAATGAATCTGTGATGTTGCCCTCTCTCTTTACCCCTTTCTCGTCTATATTCAGCTGCACTAATGAAACAGAGTTAACAAGAAAACTACAAATAGTTCGAAATAGAGATAACTATAGTATTTTATCTATCCCTGCAATAATGATAACGTTCTCAATGAATCAATACTGAAAAATCACCATTTTCTGTATTCCCTAAACTCTAATGTGACAAAAAAAATCTCTTTCCTCGAACGATAAATGCGCTGAAACCCCAAAACATTCACTCTCAATGTAACTTAATAAGAAAAAGACCAGCCACTCATCAAAATTGAGGAGTTCGAGCGAGATAACTTTAAAAAAAAACGTTTTAAATGACTTGTCAAAAACAATTAGCAATTTATTTTCTGCCTGTCGGACAAATGAATTAACCCACAAGAAGTTCTAACCTTTATTTTGTTAATTTATTTTCATCTATAAGCTCCCACTGAACAGCCACAGCCAGGACAAACGTCCGATGTGAACAAGGTCATGTTGATGATCTAAACACAGCGCGGCCGAGCACTCGAGAGCGCTGAAACCTTCCCTGAGCCAGGTTTCTGCCATGGTGCGTCTACACATGATTTATTCACTCGGGAAGGTTGTAGGTGTCTATTATCCACGGCCAGTCTGAGAAAACACTGAACAGACAGAAAAGTCAAGAGGCGAGGTTGAAGTCGGGGTTGTTTGCCTCTTTCACATCTCCTGCTTTACTCTGGGTGTTCCCTGTCAGCCATGACGGTGAACATCGGCAGCTTTGATTATTATTATTCTCTTTTTTTATCTTTATTAAGTTTGCACAGACAGAACACACGCTGCTTTTTTCAGCGTGGATTGATATTCATGCAGCTATAAACACACCTCTGAGTTCCCACACAGGCTGTAAAATAATGATATATTTTTCCACATGTTCTCTATAAAAATATCTTTGAATTGATTGCTCATGCAAACACCCAATGGGTCTCAGAGCTACCCTCCTTTACATACTGGAGATAAATAAATATTCTCTGTATCCTAGCCTGTTACTGACTGAAAGTATTTCCTGTCGTGCAAGGTATAATAGAATAGATAGAATAGGGAGGGATGAAACCCTCTTTAATGGTCACACATGCAGAGCACACAGCACACACAGTGAAATTTGGCCTCTGCTTTTAACCCATCCTAGTACAAGGAGTCTAGTACTAGGAGCAGTGGGCAGCTATTGTACAGCGCCCGGGGAGCAATGGGAGTGGGGGGGAAGGGGGGTGTCCGGTGCCTTGCTCAAGGGCACCACGGCAGGGCAGGAGGTGAACTGGGACCTCTCCAAGTAGAAGTCCACACTCCATATTTAGGTCTGGTCGGGGACTTGAACCAGCAACCCTACGGCTCCCAGTCCAAGCCCCTACTGACTGAGCCACTGCCGGACTGTTCTAATGTTCTATTTACTATTTTATTTTGTAGATTACTCACATTTTCTAATTATAAATTGTCACAAGATAATAATATTCACCAGTCATACCTTTTTGCATGAACCTTTAAACATAATAAAACATTTATTTGAAATCATATAAAATAGAAATGTAGCAACTTAACATTTGAGATGTTAGAACCTGCACATTTGAGTTATTTCTGCTTAATAGATGATCAAAAATAATCATCCATTATCAACATGTTTGCTGATTTATTATCTGTATCATATCAATATAAAGCTTTTTATTCATTACTATGTTTACATTATATTCATTTTAATCGTTTAGTTTATGAATTTGGGAAAAACGAAGTGAAGAAAGTCCATCACAAGTTCTAAAAAGCCCAACTTGACGTCTCCATCTGCTTGTTTTGCAGCCCATAAATCAAAGCTATTCCATTTTTAATTATTTTAAAAAGGGGAAAGCAGAACATCCTCTGTTTTTACACTGGAAGCAGAATCATGTCTAACATGTATCGCTTGATTCAAAAGATAAGATTCATTTTCTACCAAGGAACTAATACTTTAATGTACTCTTAGTTTCACCTCTACTCTACAGAGTGGTGTCGTTGAGTTACGTGTCTTTGTATCAGACGTCTTTTCACTGCAGTGAAGCACAAAACAATATTTTAAATCTGAAGAATTGTATCTGCTAATTGTATTCTTGTTTCTAGTCTATCATTAGAGGTGCTTAGGTGGTTTTCTTAGATTTGAAGTTTATCAGTCGTGACTAGTGGATTACAATTTGTGAGTTGTGTGTGTGTGTCTTTTCATGTTTGACTCCTTCCTGCACTTCAGCTCCCCACTGAGACCTTGCATAGACCTTCTTTTACCTCCAGCGCTCTTTCTCTCATCTCAGTCCCTCTCTCCACCTCTCTTCCCTTCTCCTTCTTCCCTTTAATCCACGCTCTCACTTTCTTCCTCTCCAAAGGATCCACTGTTTACATAATCAAAGTGATTTCTCTCTCTATCCCCTCACCCTTACCTCTCCCAGTCTTTCCTTCTCTCTCATCCTCTCATGACCTCCCCCACTCTTTCTCTCTTCTCCTCTGTATTCCCCCTCAATCTGACTCATTCCTTTGGGTCTATTTTTATCTATCTCCCTCTCTCTCTCCCCCCTGGTCCCATACAAGTAATCAGTGCACTGTTGATGAACGTTACGATTGAATGTAGACAAAATCAGTGTGAGCGCAGGGAAGAAGCTGAGAGCCGGACGCAGCACGGAGGACATACTGTATCTTTTCTTTCTTTCTTTCTTTCCATCCACTATTTTCTTCTCTGAGGGGCTTCGTTCACACGTGACCATCCCTCCTCGCGCTCTGGTTGGACTCCCTGTGTCATCATGCGTCCGTTTTAGTGACCGTCTGTTGAGCTAGTCTGTAATTTGACATCCCTTTGTGCCTGCATGAGTGTGGGAGAAAGTGTGTAGGTGAGCATGATGGAGGGGCTTTAGCGAAAACCTTGTTTACTTATGGGTTTCAGGATTATTGTTAGTATTAAGTACCATCTTGAAACATTGTGTGGAGAGTTACACATGTTTAGCCTGGAGGGGAAAGGCTGGATATATCTGGTAAGACAGTTATGTAAAAACAAACAACAATTAAGATCTCTCCTTTCGTTTTGCCGCCAGTCATCTTTATTCTATTGGTTTATCAAACTGCCGAAAATAGATATAATCAAATAATGTGACACATTATGGGGAACATCCTTTTGATTGTGTGTAATGAAAGGAGTGATTATTTACATTTCAAACAAGGTTATAATGAGCATTTCAGTCACTTTGGTGTCAATTCTTTTTACTGGATTTTCTTAAAAGTTATTCAAATGAACTCTTGCTATTAGAGGTTTGATAAGTCTGTTCACTTTAAAGCTGCCTGTTCAATTATTTACAATGGATAGTTTCAACGTCTTCATTCATTTTCAGAAGTGTCTCATTTGCCTCTTAATAATACAAGCTTTGAGTAATCACTTGCTTTCTGATTGCTGTTTTTGTACTAGGAGCTTATTCCTGTATTTCCATTTGCAGACTGCAGTATGAATAGTAGACAATTTCACCATGTTATATAATGAATATATGTTGTGTTATTTACATATCATACATCATATCCACCATTGCACACAGACACTTTTGCGTTATCAAGGTACAAGGGTTCAGAATTATAGAGAGTATAGTTAAGACTTACATTTTGTATAAAAAACAAAGCAGTTTCTTGTACACTGAACTGAAATATAATGCAACCTTTAAAAAAAAAAGGCTCCCCCCCTCCTCATGTCTAACCACAACTATCATTCCCCCAGGACCCGTTTGATGCAGAGCTTCAAAGAGTCGCACTCCCATGAGTCCTTGCTGTCCCCGAGCAGCGCTGCCGAAGCTCTGGACCTCACCCTGGATGAGGACGCCGTTATCAAACCTGTCCACTCGAGCATCCTGGGACAAGAGTACTGCTTTGAGGTGAGAGCTGAGCTGCTCAGTGTGGACAAACAGCTGTCACACACTCAGTGCACAGAGAAGTAAAAAGCATCAGAATCCTGACAGTGATCTTAAAGGTCCCCTATTATACTGTTTTTCATCAATATATTATAGGTCTCAGATATATACAAAACATGTCTCTGAAGTGTTTGGCTCCAAATACCAAACAGACCATGCATTGTAGCATCCCATAATCCTCTCTGTTTCAGCCCTGTTTCAAAAGTGCTGATTCTCTGTCTGTTACTTTAGATGAAAATAAGGAGACACTCCCCACGCCCCTCTGAGAGATATTTGGTTACAAATAACACAATGGTGCTCTAGGAGGAAATTCAGGTGATAAGGTGGGGGGGGGGGGTTACCTTGGTTGGTGATTGGCTAATGGTTACACAAGCCAAAAAAACGTTATGACATCATAAAGTGTCCAAAATCTAATCAGCTCATTTTCAGACAGGTTTTTATATAAATGGATCAGGACAAAAAGAGAAAGAATCTTTTTTCCTGAAACTTTCAGAATCTCTTTACACAGAGGGGACACATGTTGATGTATAAAATACATGAAACTGTGGATTTTGCATAATAGGTGACCTTTAAAGAGACTGTGAATTGAAAATATAACATGTGAAGAATGAAAGGACATTGAAATGAGTCCCAAAATAATTTCCTGTAGGAGTCTGTCAGCTTTTCCCATCATTTTTCCATTAGTGCAACATGACAGAGGTTGAGAGTGAATACAAGACATTATTTTGGCGCTTTAGCTGCAGTCTCCATAGTTACTAATGGCTGTGGTTGTTGAATTTACCATTGGCTATAACCTCAGGTGACTACGGCATCGGGAACCAAGTGCTTTGCGTGTCGCTCAGCTGCAGAGAGAGACAAATGGATCGAGAACCTGCAGAGAGCTGTCAAGCCCAACAAGGTGAGGGGAGAGAAAGGGATGCGGTAGAGGAAGAAAAAACTAAAAGGATGATCCCTCTGTCTGTGTGTCTCTCTCTCTCCTCCCCGTCTCCCGTTGTTGTCTGTTTTCAATAAGAGCGCACCGCTTCATTTCTCTGTGTGAACTCCATCCTTGTGTCTGTGTGTGTCTGTGTTGAACAATTTAGTCGCTTCTCCACACAGAAATATTAAATCTGCACAGGGTAATGCGAGATGGTGGGGGATTGGTGGCAATTGCTGTTATTTGGAAAAAACTATGATATCCACCAATCAGGTAATGCGAGGTCAGTACTGTAAATTGCACACAGCAGGATCATTGTTACCAACCCAGCATGTGTGTGATGCTTAATACTGAAGAATACTGAAGGAACAAGAGCTGAGAGAATGAATTCTGATGAGTCCAGGTCATTGCTCTCTGTGGGCCTAATTTATTCACGCCAATTTAGTCCAGTTTGGATCACTCGTGCTACTGTGAGTTTATATCCATCCTCACAGCTCAAATAAATGAAATCTCCAAACTTTATATCGACTCAAAATCAAATTTTCAACCAGCTTACTTAGTAAAATTGTCCTGTAACTTCCCTCTCTGTTATTAAAAAAACGTGAACACACATGCAAGAAATGCCGCTTTGATGGCAACCAGGCAGTAAGAGTTATTAAGCCAGACTGAGATGGAACATCGCCCGAGCCGAATGCCTCGGCCAGATGCTCGGGCCGCGGGGGTCCTGGCTGAGTCATGGAGCTCCAAGGACTCCACATGGGGGCTCACTCCAAAAATCATCGCCCTCCTACCCCTAAACAACATGCACTGTGCATCTCAGACCAGATGCATCTTCAGAGATAAGACTCACTGCAGAGACAAAGATTATCATTATGCTTCTTAACTTCCTGGAGCCTTTCAAATCCCTGTTTGAGCTTTGAGTGTTTGTACTTCAAAAAGGAGAGCTGCCACTTCACCCTGTTTTCATGTTTTACTCGTTTTTTTTTGCTAGTCAAATCAAGATCTGACTGAAACGAGTGAAGATGTAACATAATATCAAAGCAGAGGACTCGAGCCCATGCTGTTGTTGCTGCACTGTATGTGCACTAGCAAACTGAGCCACCAGATGTCCAGCACATTCAAACTGCCTTGTGTTTGGCGCTGATTATCAAAGCGCATGCAAATGGAGAACTTAAGAACTGTGGATATAGAACCGTGGTGCTCGCATATTGAGTTGTCTAAATTAGGACTTCAATAGTCTGCAGACAAACAGGGGGCTAACAACAATGACATTTAAGCCTAGTTGAAATGACTCAGAAAACATCATTCTGCAATCAACACGGCACTCTCTCCTCCCATGGGGGAAGTCAAATATTGCTTGAGCTTTGTGATCATGATTAGGAAGTGTAGCTGTCTACAGAAACATTACCATCATTGTTTGTCCCTCGTCTTTGCAGCACATGTGCATCGTCTCATTTGTGTCTTTCTACTTTTTAATGGACCCATTTTTCTAGCCTTCGCAACCTACTCCCCTCCTTCACAGTTTCATTCCTTCTGTGTCCCTGTCATTCTGCCGTCTGTCTCTGTACTCAAGCCCTGAGTTGAAAGCAATGTATCAAGTACATCCTCCACAGTCACCAGCTACTTCTCTCCTGTCATTTGCTCCTGCAGGCTGACCTGCTGTCGCCCTTTATTCACATTCACCGTCTCAGTTTTCATATCTCTGATCTTTTTTCTTTGTCGTGTTTTCCCCTGCATTGTATCATCTTGTCTTGTAAAGCTTTTTTAATGACAGTAAATGCTCTCGACCTGATTTGACCCAGCTTTATCTCCTCGCAGGACAACAGCAGGAGGGTGGACAATGTGCTCAAACTGTGGATCATCGAGGCCCGCGAGCTTCCAGCCAAGAAACGCTACTACTGCGAACTTTGTCTGGACGACATGCTGTACGCACGCACCACCAGCAAACCCCGCACCGACACCGTTTTCTGGGGCGAGCATTTTGAGTTCAACAACCTGCCAGCTGTCCGCAACCTACGCCTTCATCTATACAAGGAGACAGACAAGAAGAGACGCAAGGTGACACACACATCTCACCATGGAGGTCTCATATGAAAGAAGCACTTATTTGATATTTGGGTTAATTTAGCATTTTGTTGCTGAAAGATGTGGTACGATTTTAAGGGAGTAAAATGTTTCAATTACTAAAAAATACCTTAAAAATAATGCTTAAAGGTAGGGTAGGTAAGTTTGAGAAACCGGCTCGAGACACACTTTTTGTTATATTTCATGGAATGCTCTTAACATCCCGATAGCAATGAATATCTGAAGTGCTTTGACAAAAAATCCATTAAAAAAAGTCATCTGTGGAAGCCGTAATACTGTAAAAAGCACGACCAATCATTTTAGCCGGGCCGGCTAAAATGATTGGATGGCCTACCTGCCTGTCAGCCTTCCATCTGTGCACAAACTTATCTCGTGCCCTCATTGGTCATGTGCGCGTTCGTGTGTGTTGGAGGAGGGGCTCTGTAAGGAAGTGGGAGATTTTCTCCGGTTGTGTATTTTCAAATTCTAGCGCACTCGAGCTGGTTTCTCCAAAATGACCTACCCCACCTTTAAGTGGATGGAATTGAAAATGTTCACAATAAAATCAATTCTATGATAATGAGAAAACAATTTGACACAGTGACAAAAGGCACTTGTGATGATAAACCTGCAGGAATGTATCACCCTTATCTCAAGATCCCCTTAGCAACACATTTTCAGCTCATTATTTAGCTGTCATACCTGTAGCTTTACACGTTTTGCTACTCTCATTGGGCTGTTCAGCAAAAACAAGAAACAACTTTACCATAACTTCTCACCACCAAAACGACAGACAGACACAGTTGGCCACTAGCTGGTGCAGCATTTAGAGGCAATATACCACATATTTCCCTCAGGAGTTAGATGAGACCAAAAACAACAAAAAGAAGCACTTTGGCTCATTAGAGCATCACTTCAACAAGAACAAGAGATGAAAAAATGACATACTGTGAGGAGTGAACATTATGTTTAAAGAGCTACATTGTCATTCAGTCGTCTTATAATGAAATAGCCAGTAGCAAAATGGGGTCTTGTCTGCAGTGGCTCTGCTTTTGTCTTTGTCATTTGCTTTAATAGCCTTATAACAAAATTATGCAACGTCCATAGTTTGTGTTGGAGGGAAACAGGAGTGTCTTCAAACTGCACTGACTCTGTGAAAAAGCAGAGGGCCGGACGTGAAGAATGAAAATCCAGAACAATCTTAATTTATGACAAATTGATTAGGTCAATGCCATGATTTATTATTACAATACCATTGCCATTTACTATTTGGCAGTAAAAATTGTATTTTTTGCCCCCTCATGTCGCTTTTAGAAATAAATTATAGTGAGTCACAAATATGGTAATTCCTTTTTCTCAATTTAGTACAAGAGTACCAACACCATAGCTACATAAACTTATTTCTAGCTTCAAACGACACTCCAGGGATCTGGTGTTTCTTCTCGTTATTTATTCAGTGCAGAAGCTTGAAATTAACTTTTTTGACATTTTAAGATTTTCATTTTTATAAATGTATGAGGTTATTATTATAAAATCAAACAGCGCAGCTTTATTTAATAGCTTATTATTAACTTATTAGCTTTCTTTATTAGCTGCTGCAACAAAATGTTTTCCCAAACTGGGATTAATAAAGTACATCTAATCTTGTGAAAAAGTACTCTAAGCATGCTTATCTCTATGTCTACTCTTTTTTTGTTTTAAGGAAAAGAGCACATACTTAGGACTGGTCAGCATCCCCATCTCGAGCATCACTGGACGTCAGTTTGTGGAGCAGTGGTACCCGCTCATCCAGCCCAGCGTCCTCACAAAGGGAGCCGGTGGGGGGGGCGGGAAGATCATCAACGCATCCCTACGCCTCAAATCACGCTTCCAGACCATGAACATCCTGCCCATGGAGCTGTATAAGGAGTTTGCAGAGTACGTCACCAATAACTACCGCACCCTGTGTGCTGTGCTGGAGCCCGTGCTGAGTGTGAAGAGCAAAGAGGAAGTGGCCTGTGCGTTGGTGCATATACTGCAGAGCACAGGGAAAGCTAAGGTAGGGGCTACTCTATCAGTATGTGAAGTTGAAAACAAAGATTTTTCAGTCCTTACTTCTGCTGTAAACATTGTGTGTAAGAACAATAGTTGAGTTTTTTCTTTTCCTCAGGACTTCCTGTCAGACATGGCGATGTGCGAGGTAGACAGATTCATCGACCGAGAACACCTTATCTTCAGAGAGAACACTCTGGCCACCAAAGCCATAGAAGAGTACCTCAAACTGATCGGACATAAGTACCTCAAGGACGCTATAGGTGAGCCATGCCAGTGAAGCACATGCAGTTGAGTTAGTCATGGTATAAACAGGGACATATTCCATTTTGAAATGATTTAAAATTCAGGAGATAAGTTTTGGAAAGACAACACTTTTAATTAACACTAGAACCGCCAGAGATTTGTTATACCTAAAACCGCCACCTGGGTCAAATTGACCCGCTATTACAATGCATTGATTTTCAAGGTAAAATGTTATTTTATTGAACAGTGAGTTTTGATCGCACAGGGATGAAACGTATACCAATATAATCTGTGGACTCTCAGGGCTCGACATTATAAATGGCCCGCTGGCCCGGAAGCATTATTTAGACACCGCGGCCAGCATAATGTACTTTCAACTCGCCCCACAGCTGTTTGCTGCGGAGCACAGCGCGAGCAGTTTCCCGTGAGCGGGAGCGCACTCCTTCACTACAGACTGTCTCTATCTCTCTCTCTCTCTCTCTCTCTCTCTCTCTCTCTCTCTCTCTCTCTCTCTCTCTCTCTCTCTCTCTATCTATAACTATCTATCAATATATCTATCCATCTATCTCTCTCTCTCTCAATCTATCTCTCAATCTATAAGGAACCGCAGTAGACAAAAGGCGTTGCTATAGCAACACGTCATGTTTATATGAAAAGGGGTGGGGTCAATATGACCCGCTGGGCGGAAATAGGTATAAATGGCAATTTTTTGGGCGATTTCTTCAATCTGACTTCATATTGACAATTGTTAACAACATAGGGTGCTACATAACACACATTCAGGAAGATTCACGGACTGGAAGACTTTAATATTTTATTGAAAAAAAGTTACACACAATAAAAAACAGCTCTGGGTCAAATTGACCCGATTGGCGGTTCTAGTGTTAAAGGAAAATTCGTCCCTTAGATACTGTTTCTTTCAGTCTTCCTCCATTCCTTTGCTTGATGGGGGATTTTAGATTTTTCCATCTTACCCACAGAATAATATTTTGTCATATCTTTGCACTGAGTTTGACGATATACTGAATTATTTGATCAGCCAAGTGCAGCTCAAGTGCCTGAAGTCTGTGGGATAGGGAAGCAGCTATTCTTGTGGATAAATAAAGCTTTCTTAAAGAGAGAGAAGGACATCAAATATAATGTTCTCATTAGCTTTGTGTCGTTAATGAATGTTTTCACGAGCATGTACAAAAACTTGATAATAACATTGTTTTATAGTCAACCACCATTACTCTGGATACTTGTAAACAGGAAGTGAAAATGATGCAAGATAATGTCAGTTTGTACTGTACAAATAATATTAATTATGATGAAGATGGGTTGAAAATATGCAGTATCACTCATGTAGTCAATATTCTAAATGTCGTTTTTTTGCCCCAATCTAGTCCACTTTGAATTTTGTCTTACTTTGATTTCAAGTATATAGTTCCACGTCCAACATTAAGCATTTTTCTTTATTTCTGTTAATTACTTCCTACTTTTAATTTAAATGTAATGTATTTTATTTTTCTTTCTAAATCTAAATGTGTACAATGTTATGTTGTTGCCTGTGCTTTCTGTATTAACAAAACTGAAATCTTCAAGGCTTTTTTTTTACAATTTCACCAGTTACTAATGAATATAATTTGTAGGGGAGTTCATAAGGGCCTTGTATGAGTCAGAGGAAAATTGCGAAGTGGACCCCATGAGAACCCCACCCTCCGTGCTCCCAGACCACCAAGCCAATCTCCGAATGTGCTGTGAACTAGCACTCTGCAAGATCGTTAACTCCCATTGGTGAGTAGCTATGCATGCTTGTTTTCAGTGTGTCTTTTCCTCTCTGCCTTTTTAAAGATGCATGAGATTTCAGACTCTTTCACGGGGGACTTGAAAAAACTCTGAATTTCTACTGAGTCTGTATTTGGTATTTCCCCTTCCCAGTGTTTTCCCTCGAGAGCTAAAGGAAGTTTTTGCCTCGTGGAGAGTGCGTTGTGCAGAGAGAGGTCGGGAAGACATCGCTGACCGTCTCATCAGTGGTTCCCTCTTCTTGCGCTTCCTGTGTCCTGCCATCATGTCCCCATCGCTCTTCAACCTCACCCAGGAGTATCCCGATGAACAGACGTCTCGCACACTCACCCTTATCGCCAAAGTAGTGCAAAACCTGGCTAACTTCTCCAAGTCAGTTTCATTTCACTTTATCTACAGCTTTTAGTTTAGTACTTTGTAACAGTCAGTTTTTCTCCTTAATTATGAACCTATGAAAAGATGCATGTTTCTTCACAATCTGAAAAACATAGCTTGAGTTAAAAATGTGTAAAAAATGTTACCTTATTTTCAGTCATATTGTGCTACAACTATAGTATATACAAAGATATGTCTCAACAAAATGGCAGTGGATATAAAGGACATGTAAGAAACAGTGTTTCAGTTTAAGAGTTATCCGAAATTGTGGCTCCAGTTGACATTACATTTCACCGTCATGTGTTGCTCTGTCACTTTCCTATCTCTACTCGTTCTAACCCTCCATCGGCTTATCTCCTTACTGCCCTTTCCCTCCTTTCCCACTTGCAGGTTTGGCAATAAAGAAGAGTACATGGGTTTCATGAATGAGTTTTTAGAGATGGAGTGGGGCTCCATGCAGCAGTTTCTGTATGAGATCTCCAACCTGGACAGTGTGAGCAATGCGGGCGGCTTTGAGGGATACATCGACCTGGGCAGGGAGCTGTCCATCCTGCACAGCCTCCTCTGGGAGGTCATCGCTCAGCTCAGCAAGGTACGCCCAATCATGGCAATATCTGTGCCATTATACTATACAGCCATTTCCAACTGTAATTGATTCCAAAATAAAATTCTAGACCATAGTAATATTAATGGATATTTAAGTAATATTATTTATGTAACATTTAAACGTTTTTGTCCCTTTTTTGCTTTTAGATTTCTCCTCTTTTTACACAAGATTTCACTAAGGTCTTTATCAAAATTTGAGTTTTTCTATCAATTATTCATTGTTCTTATTTAGTCATAATGCTGTATTTTAAGCTATTTGATATATTGGGATAAGGCACCTACATTTAAATGGATATAAACCATAGCTACACGTGATAGTATATTGTTAAAATTCAAAACCACCAGTAATTACATATTTTATTAAATACATTTCCATAGATGAGTTAACACCTTTCCAACAACAGAAGTCTTATTCATACTATAGCTTTTACATTGAATTACATTATGTTGTGCAGGTTTTGTGTCCATCCCTTGTACATCCCTTCAGGTTTTATTACAGTGAGGCCAAACTTAAACAAACTCAGACTGAATATTTCAGGATTTTTCACCTTATACCTAAAGTCTTGCTTAATTTTAGCTGTAGAGTAAGTCTTTAATCAGGCTTGAGCCCTCATTAACTTAGGTGGAGATGGACATATGGCATTTTTATAAAAGAAACCTTGCATTAAATAACTCAAAAATATTAAATTTTTTAATTCCGCAGCAAAACTCAGCCAAAATGGTTTTTCTTGAACCACAGGATGCCATCATCAAACTGGGTCCTTTGCCCCGCCTCCTGAATGACATCAGTATGGCCTTGCGTAACCCTCACCTCCAGAGGCAGCCCAGCCATCAGACAGACAGGGTGGTGGAGCGGCAGGCCGACAGGCTGCTGTCCCGGCCCAGCTTCAACAGGGGCATCTCGTCCGAGTTCCAAAATCTAATGATGAGGGATCTGAATAGGTAGGCTGTAGCGGACTCTAGGTACATACCTCACCATTGTCTGTGTTATCACGAGCAATCAACATCAATCAATTACTTTCACATTAACCCAGCAACTGTTGGACAGTGTCAGTGTGTTACTATGGAAACAGAATGTTGAGTATAACGTGTGCCAACATTTTTTCTTGTTACATTTTTTGGCTGGTAAATACACAACGTACTCATTGAAAGAAGAGAAAGAAAGTAAGATAGAAGTTGTTTGTATGTATTTTTTTTTTCACATCTACATGGGTATGTTAAACACTAAACGTTTCACTTTATCTTAAGAATTATTTCCAATTGAAATAACTTAGAAATGTATAAAACACGCAGCCAGAGTGCTATGGCAGTATATCTTAAAAGATTAGTCTAGAGATCAACTAGCTGTTTAATCAACAAGTTGTTCCTTCTCTAGTAACCCCTAGTCTCTATCTCCAGCTATTGTTGGCCTTACTAACTGCTGTTCTCCAGCTCTATAGATATCACTCGCTTGCCTTCCCCCACCTCCACCGGAGGGGTCATGCCATCCCGCTCCCAGATGAATTTCCAGGACCGTGACCACCTCCATCGAGTGCCCTCCAAAGACATGTTTTACGTATCCCGTCCTCCCCTGGCCCGATCCAGCCCGGCCTACTGCACGAGCAGCTCGGACATCACAGAACCAGACCCTAAGGTGAGTTTTTAACACGTAGACATGGGGACTCATCATCCCATTCGCTAGGTCTATTTTTTATCAAAGTGAGGTTAGTATAACGTGCATGTTAGTCATACTTGTTAGAATCTGCCATCGTGTGATCGAGGCTGTAGTTTATCATGACATCTGCTTTTTTTCCACTGATTCACCACGCAACTCATCATAACGGTATTTCCTGGGAAATACTTTGAGGCAATCCGATATCCAGGCCTCGCGGTAAAAACACCCCGCACCACCCTCACCCATATCATCCGTGGCCACGTAACATACATAATATTAGGAGGCACAAAGGCCTCTCATATCCCTTATAAATTAGATTTTCAGTGTCAATAAAAGCGTATCTATGATGGACCTCCAGGATTCCCGATTGAACAGCGTGTCTAACCTGCAGTCGGTGGAAATGCTCAACTCCTCCCAGGCCTCCATCGCCGGCATGGGCAGCTTCGGAGGGCTGAGCAGCGGAGGCGGTGGCGGCCTGGGGTCCGGCCTGAGCAGCCAGCTGCGGGCCGGTGGGAGGTTGTCAGCTGGCTCTGGCGGCTCCAGCATGTCCGGCGGCCTACGGCTGAGCCAGCTGAGCCAGATGGGCAACACCACCGACTCGCTATCCCAGCAGCAGCAACAGCAGGCCGCCGCCATGCGCTACCCGCTTTCCTTCCAGAATCCCCTCTTTCATCTGGCGACTGCTGACGGGCCCCAGCAGCCACAGCTCCACCACCAGCACAGCCGGGCTCCACCTCCAGCGCCGCTGCTCCTGACCCCAGAGCCCGACCCCTCTCACCCGAACTACATGCCACAGTTCGCCCACGGGGGGTTCTCTCGCAGCGAGGACCTGTCCACCCTCAGGACCAGGGACGGCCACCTGGGCCAACCCAGCATCATCCACTCTCACAGCTACAGCGACGACTACAGCAGGGCCGACTACGGACGCAGGCAGATGTCCATGCATGCGCAGGTACATGTGTGTTGTATTCTGGTGACGTCTTAAAGCCACTGAGTGGAGATGTATATGTCTCTTTCGAGTGAAAGGGGGAGGACGTCAACTAAGGGTTGTTGTCATTATTAATAGATCTATTCTGATTTTAAAAAGTGAATGTTTGTAGATCACACATTTCCAGAGCCCAAGGTAACTTCCTCAGGTTGTTTGTTTTGTCGACTATATTACAAATTAGAAGTAGTTTGGATAACTAAACTTCCTGGATCACATTTCAAGATTCAAGAAGATTGTCTATCGGTAGAAATGTGTGTGAGTGGCTCACAAACAGCATAAAAACAAACACACCCATGAAAACCTCACATAATACTACATTAAAATACAGTTAAAAAAAAATTACTACCCAAAAAAGAACTGTATCAAAAATGAAAATGCTAACTTAATATCTACTATTTTTCTTCCTAAGGATAACCTCCAACCACAACAACAAATGATGGGTATAGCCAACCAGACAGGAACCTCACACTCCTCCCTGGCTGCCACACCCCCCACCACAGTCCTACCCATGCGCCAGAGTTCTGTGGCCCCGCCTCCCACCCAGCGCGTCAGGTCCCAGACGTCCCACCAGCTGTCCGTCAGTGCGGCAGCTGCACCTGCTGCTCTGGCAAAGACTCGGCCGCCGAGCGCGAACCTCCTCCAGTCGCCGGAGACGGGCTACGCCGGCAGGCAGCACGGGCCCCGGCAGCTGTCCGTCAAAGACAACACCGCCCCGGGCCTGCCCCACCAGCAGAGCTCTGTCAGGGAGAACCAGAGTCCGCAGGGAACCACCACTCAGAGCGCTCAACAGTCACCACAGCAACAGCAACAGTCTCAGCACCTGCTCAAACCCACCATGAGCAAACAGGTAACACCGGCAAGCTCTCACTTCATTTTTATTCTCTTTGTTCTTCTCTGAAGTATTCATGTGTATCCACCAGCACCTGTGCTCATGATTATTTCTCAACAATGTTTGTAACCCATTTCCCCATTCCCCGTTTATAAAAGTATTCCTAATTCTGATTCTGGAGATGTCTGTTACTGTATAAGTGAGAACAGCCCTAAAAATGTCAGGAGTTACAACACAAAATGAATAAACTCATGCAACTCAGAAGATCTCTTGTTGTGTCCTGACCTCCTCAACAGAAGAACTCATGTTCTCATATTGAGTGTGTTGGCCTTTCTTCCCAGGGCTCCCAGACTCCATCCACTCTCAATCCCCCGACCCCAGCCAATGAGCGAACAGTGGCCTGGGTCTCCAACATGCCTCATCTGTCGGCTGACGTTGAAAGTTCGCGGATTGACCGTGAAGAGTTCAAACTGAAGGAGTACTCAAAGAGCATGGATGAGTCACGCATGGACAGGGTAGGTATTCTTCTAAAGTTTCAGAACTGCCCTTTAAATAAATGAAACTTTTGTCCATGCTTTGAGGAACATTGAGTCATGTCTATCATTTCTGGGCAGATGGCGCTCAGAGCTGGTCTTAACACAGACATCAAGAGGTCACAGTGTGGGAATCAGCCAAGTGTTCAAATGTTTTTCAGTGTATATCAGACTCATCATTTTGAAAGCTTTTAGGTGGTTTCCTACTTCACAGTGTGTCTTGTTGAATATAAATGTGGATAAAGAAACTTTAAATCCACAAGCCATTGAGGTCTCAAGGTTGGTCAACACTAACCCAGTTGAATCCTTTCTAATTCCTCCTTCTCTCCACACCTCCGCCTCAGGTAAAGGAGTACGAGGAGGAGATCACCTCCCTGAAGGGCCGCCTGGTGATGTCCCACCAAAAGCTGGAGGAGTACGAGCGGAGGCTCCTCACGCAGGAGCAGCAGACCAATAAGATCCTCCTTCAGTACCAAAATCGACTGGATGACAGTGAGAGGAAGCTACGGGCACAGCAAGTGGAGAAAGACTCCCAAATTAAAGGAATAATTAGCAGGTAAATGGAGGCTGTTGTTGGGATGGAGGGCAAAAGACATTATGTGGTCTTTTATAGGGCGGCCATTTTGCGGGCCGCATTGACTTTATCTTTGTATATTTTCCTTTGTTGAGTACACTATGAGTCTTCTTCTGAAATATGTGGAAAAGGGGACATATTCTCTCAGATAAAGAATGCTAGCATTAATTAAAATGCATTCTCTGCTTCTGAGGGGTTGCAGAAGTCTTTGGTTGATACACTACTACTTTAGCTTATTGGATTCTATTTAACACGAGCGAAACACAAACTTGAAGCGGCAATGTTTTTTTTTCCTGAAATACTTATATTGCATATTGGAATATAACTCTATTTGCAGGGGTTGTTATCTTGCAGAGAATATTGGAGAGTAGGAGGTTGTTTCAATTTCATTAAGTAATATACAGCCCTGGGAGCAAGGCAAGGAGCCGCACTGTATATTGGAGCCAGAGCTGCAGATATGTAATGAGTGACAAATTAAATGAGAGACTATTATAAAGGGAGACAGAGATCGATATCTTCTGAGATACGCGTGCAGAGCATGTTCCCTTGGCGGTTGGGTGTTTACAACTGAGTTAAAGTGGTCAGAGGAGTCTGATTGTCCTCTGAGCTCTTGTAGTGATAATATGCCATATGACCTATTTGGATCCCTTTGGAGACTTCCAGATGAGTCCTAATATTATTCCGTGCTTGCAGTTTTGGAGCTCTGTCTTGAGATTGTATTAATCCCCAGAAAATGTTAGTAGTTGATGGGAAAAGAGTGGAATATTGATCGAATCTCATTTGTGTTCAGGCACAAAAACACAAAAGTTGTGCGTTTGAATGGATTCCTTGAGCAAGTGTGACTGCACATTTGCAATACTGCCCAAATTTAGTTCAATCGATGTTTTCTTGCAGAGAGAGTTCAGATAGGAAGGCTGTGTAAGAAAGACAATACAGTATTTTCTTGTTCTGCAACCAAAGGGTGGATATCTGTGAGAATATTGCCACTTCTAATCCACTCCAGGAAAGAAGACTTCGAATGAAGACAGAGACAGTCCTGCTCGTCTTTTATGGGAAAACATCGTTAACGCTATAACCTTGTATATAAAACCTTTTCAAGCACCGTCCCATATTTCTGTGCTGCGGCACTTATCATCAGCCTTTTTAATGAACACAACTTTGAAATGGATCCCGGGATCATTTAACATGATTCAAGCTATCCTAATTTCCAATTGACTCCAACAAGATTGCACTGTAAAAGCACAAGAGGATGAAATTTGATAACTTCAGAAACATGTCTGCACTTTTTAAAGCGACGCGTAGTTTTGGACCTTCAGGCACTGGACTATGGAAGACCATGGTTTAATATTAGCTCTTCCATTTTAATCACGGTGAACCATGTCCACTGAAGGACTGCTGACGTATCTTTCTGGGGACGCTTCTCTCCTTTTGTTTTACATAAATACGATGTGATATAAGGAGGGGAGAAAGGCACACATAATGATAAAGATACAAGCATGAAAGCAAAAACAAATATGCCACATAATAGAGAAACTTTATCAGAGCACTTAGAGCCAAACCTTTGTTTATTGTTCTCCTGGAGTGTAAACTTAAAGCAAATACAGTCAATCTGCTGCACTCATAGAGCATTGTGTGCAGGTATCTGATATCTCCAAGGAATGCACTTGTATCCTGTGTGACTTTTATTATCTGACCACACAAGGGTGAATTAAGTAGCAGATCTGGATGCTTCCAAGTCAGTTTTACTCACAATTCACTGAGCCAGACCATATCATTGAACGCATTAAGACTTGCATTGTCTGGATTTTTAGTTTTAACGCATGTATGAGCAAGAAAAAGTGGAAGCCAAGAAACACGGTCAGGCCATGGAACGCCAACACCTTATTGAAATGACAAGGGTATCCATAGCCTTATAATATATTTTACCTTACATTTATGATTATGATATATCTTCACATTCAAATACATTATGCCGATGCAAATGCCAGCTCAGGTTCTGCAAAAGGAGCTTAAAGTGATGCTGAATTCATGGCTCCTTTGTCAACATTTCCTTTTCTGCAGAACTAAAACACTTAGCATTGTGTTTTAAGTGTCAGAGATTTTCTTTCAGAGAAGCCTTAATGTTCTGTGTATAAACTTTACTTTAAGCTCGGAGCAAACCTGTCATTAGGTCAGATACACTTTCTGTCCTTTAACAACTTCATTTAAACCAAAGCCAAATATTCCGTTTTCAGTTATGCTAGGTTAAATCCACTGAAAACACTGAATCCACTTTACCTGTAGCAATTGTATCTATATATTGTTCCTATTAGTTGGCTACAGGCTCACCTATTATTATTTTTGTCAAAACATTTTAACTAATACAAATATAAATTATTTATTTTCCCTAAGCTGTTTGCTGTGAACTGATCAACAGATTAATGTTGAGCCTGCAGTAGGGAAAACCTGTCATAGTAATAATCTATTTTTAACTATAATCCAGAGCATATTAAAGTCTGTGATGCAAGAGCCATAACAATAATGATATATGAAATATATATAAATTCTATTGAGAGTGAGATTATAACTATTTTACCTTGCAATAGCTAACTTTTTAGCGGGAGAAGCGCAATAATAGATATAATATATACATGTGCTGTCTGTGCAGATGCACATGCAGGATCCTGCCGAGCTATATCGTATGAATCTTGTGTACATAAAAGAAAACGTAACTTCCTGCCAAAATATTTTACCAGGTGCCATTCACAGTATCTAAACGGACGAAATAAAGACCTGGAATACTGTAAGATGCAAAGTACCACAGAGACAACATGACAACAATGACGTGACTCTTTGACAACAGTATGTTCTGCAAAGTGTGTTCCTCAGTTCTCAACTTATTTTGGCTTCTCTGTACGGTGTTTGTGAATTTATCTGCATCTAAAATGAAAGCCTGCATTGGATATTATTTATTAATTAAAGCGCACATTTCCTTATACCTGTATTATTTGCTGTATATGCTTGGTATGCCTTTTGACTTTCAGTCCGTCATTGATGGTGTCCAGTGACATGGTGAATCAGAATAGTTGTTTAAGAGAGTTAGACAGTACTGTCATTTACCTTATGCATTTACATATTATTATTATTATTATTATTATTATTAATAAAAAGGCAACCCTATTATTTATTTTTCCCTCTTCAGAGATCTAGATAATATTCTGGTGTCAGTATATCCGCCTCTCTTTTGTAGCAAGAATATATTGATAGGCTGTATAGATTGTACTACGGCAAAACTTGTGTTTAAATCTTGCAAATGAATCCATAGTGGTGATGAGTTTTGGCTTGATGTGTGTGTGATCAATATCGGTCTGATTGACATGGCTTGTAGCAACAGCCAAGGGTTTATAGTCACTTTTATACAGACCTGTGTCAAATAGTTGCAAGTAATTCTTAGTTTTATTTTAACCAAATGGTTTGGGGGGAGGGGGGGGGGGGGGGGGTCTGCTGCATGAACACCAATCAAATGTTGAGAGGTAAGTTTTCAGTCATTGAAACATACTTTATGTTGCACTTGTTGGCAAAGAAAGAGAAAGTATTTGCAGCTGCTGTTTGATCCAGGTCTGATGTTGCTTTTCATTGACATTACATCAACTTTACATCCTATTTGACGCCTTTGTCTCCTGCCTTTTTCTCTGTAGCAAAAATATTCAGACATTGTGACCTCATGTTGGTAGATACACACATTGTTTTGACTACATGTACGACTTGACCTCAAAAGCACACTACTTGAAGTACAACTGGATATAAAAAGCTCAACTCTTTTTTTGTAACATATCACCCACATGAATCATTGTCTGCCTCTTGAAGTCATGTCGAAATCTTAATGCTGTATACCCATGTTACATTCCATTGTTTTTTGGGACAGTGCTTATATTTCTGTGTGTGCTTACAGTATGATTGATTATTTTCTTTTCCTATATCTCTTCTTTTGTAAAATAACTCAACACTGTACATTATTTATGGAATAAAACATCCAAACACTTGTTTGTTTGAAACTTCACCTGTGGATTTCCGTTCTTTATTGTCAAACATGTGCTTCTCTGTGTTCTGAATAAAATGATATACATGTGCTGAAAATGAAGTGACACATTTTGACTTGATTACTGGTGTTTTGATTCTGCTGTGAACCATGTATGGCAATTAAAGGTTGCTGTCAACTATATGATTGACTTGATGGCGTAATGAACAACATTTTCTGGTAATTCATCACAGATAAATTGACATAAAGGTACTCCTTCGTGCAGTGTTACGATCAGATAATATTTCAGCGAGCTTATTTCAGTCAATAAATTGTAAGGATGTTTTTCTGCTCCTGCAAAATCTTGTAAAACACACGGAAAGTCATGGAGGCAACCCAATGAAATCGTGTGAAGAAGGGTTCATGTATTCACACTAACTTCTATGTGGCATTTATCACCACCATAACAATACTCACAGTTTAACCAGTTGGCTTCATGATATTCCTGTATGAAAAATATCCTTAAATGACTCTTTTTGGAGTAATTCCCTGGCACTTGGAGCTGGGAAACTGGCATTGTCCGATGCAAAGTAAGCTAGCTCATATTTGCGAGTGTTTGAAATGATGAATCAAAGGATTCCTCCACTAATGCCTTGGTCTGTCAATATTACATAAGTTATGCAATTCCCTGGGGATGATCAGGATCTGTTACTGAACCGTTCACTTCACATAACCGAGTTTAATTGTCCACAGTTGGCCTTAATTGCGCTTTGAAAACACCTTAAATCGGGCAAAAATGCTTTGATGAATCCCATGGGCGGAGGAAGAAAAAAAAAACGGCTCCTCCAGTGAAAATTGGCAGTGCCTGAAAAACATGGCCTTGGTTACTGCTGCTCACCATTTTCATGGGCTAGAAAAGATTGCCTATCAGATTTGGGTTCCAGATTTGAGATACAGGTAACCGACATCTTATCACTGTGGTGTTGAGGCAGATGATGGAGATGCACCTGCTCAACTTCTTGTTAAGTACCATCTTGGATTCATAATTCTCCCTCTCTTTCTGTCAACCCTCCCCCCCTTCCCCCCTCTCTTTCTCTCTCTTTCTCTGCTTCCAAGACTCATGGCTGTGGAGGATGAGATAAGGGGAGGACCCATGATTGAGACAAAAACCAGGATTTTCCCTGATCAGGTCTGTGAGACTGCTTCTTCTCTCGTACGATGGCCCGTGCTATCTTCCCCCGCTATCTCCCCCCCTCCACCTCTCTTTTTTCCCCCTGCTTCTGTTGTGTTATTTGGTCTGCTGTGTGTTTGTGGTCCCTCCGATTGCCTCGCCCTGTTCCTGACCTGTCCCTGTGTTTGGGGTTTGACTGCCATCTGTCTACATACCTGGGAGCTTTGAAGATCAGAGAGTGTTGTTGTTTGCATTCCTCGGCTCAAGCTGTTGAGATGTAGCTTGGGTTTGTGAGCATATCTGGGTCTGTGGTGATGTTTCTGTGAATGTTTCTGCCGAGCATGTCAGGGTTGAAACTCCCTCAAGCTGTTTCGCACATAATGTAGAACCAGACTCGGCTTATTGAACAGCTGAGCTCCAAATGCTGCGTGGTTGTGGTGTTGTGGAGCTTCAGTCTTTGGTGCTTTTCATTTCATGCTCACAACCCGCCCCATTTCTTATCCTGTCAAAGTGAACTAGCCCACCTCCAAGTATGACTCATGCTGTAAATATAGTGTGTGCGTAAGAACATATAGTTTTTATATATATGCATTTTTTGTTCGAGGAATAAATGCTAAGAATAGAAGAGGTAATGCGAGCAACTACTCAGCCCCCTCATGCTCAGAGTCTTGGACATTAATCCAGATCAGTTTCTTTTTAATTAAACCCAGACACTCTCATATTCACACTGCAATAATTCCTTTTCCTTCTTGATGATTTCCCCCAGCAGTGGTAGAAGCAGTACTCAGATTTCTTACTTTAATAAAAGCAGTAAAAGTCATGCATTTGAAGTTTTTGCTCAAGGAAAAGTATTATATATTTCAAGTGCCAAAAGTTGTCATTATGCATAATGGCTAATTTGAGAATATTGCATTATATATTATTGGATTTGAATTATAAACAAACTAATTGTATTCAATTAATATGAAGTTGGATAGTTTATGAATACATCCTTATGGATCAGTAGAGCCTTATCTTAGCTTATATATAATCATATTTTATCTGTTGAGAGATTAGTTATTTTCATTGTGGAATGTTTTTTTTACATAAAGAAATTATACCTAACTGACGCCTTGTGGAGGGTATTCTGTGTGACACAATGTGACACATTTTAATGCGAAATATTAGCAAAAGAAATTCCCACAGAAAGTTTTTCAAAGTGTTCAATCAATTGCCCAACTTCATATGTTCTTTAATTTCATTCGGTCGTAACTGTGATATATTAGATTGTGAATATATCTGTGAGTCATTTTATTCCCTGAAAATTCAAAGAAAAGCCTCAACGTGAATTCCTAGTCATTCATCAAAAGCGGAGGGGAAATGATAAAACACGCCAAGAGGAAAGAGAGCTACTCATGGTCATTATTACACCCAATGAAACCATTTGATATACTGAGAAATCCCATAAGGCTTTATACTTGTACTAAAATGTATATCAATATATAATTAGCATTAAAAAGTTCTCACTATTGCAGAGTAGCTCCCAGGATTGTGACTGTAAGTCTGTGAGGAACCATTACGATAAAGGTCACACCAGCATTTAGCTGCAACATATGGCTTTATATCTACCAGAGACAAGTTAAGCTCCAACTCTGCCTTGACAAAAATGTTTATTGGATTAAAGAAGAGCACACTGCGAGCAGCAACCTGCTTAACATTCAAACTTTGCTGAGGTTATCTGCAAGCTGCAGGGCACTCTCAGTGTTGAAGGAGGAATATACGACTCCATTTACAGAGCCCTTAATTCCAACATTACAAACCACACAAAGGGATTTTCATTAAGTCAAGACATCTGTACTCTGTTTATACCATATGTAAGATACTTAAACATGGTATGCTTCTGTTAAAAAGGATCTTTAGGGCTTTCCAGTACATTATTGGCTTAAAAATGTGATCATTTGAAGGTGAAGGATCTTAAAAACTAAAATGGCCACTGTTGTTTAAAAGAATACAAAACCCAATATACTCTGATGTCAACATATAAACAATAACGTAATTCTCATTACAGCCATGCTAGCAGCTTTGCTAATTCACATTTTTTAACTAGCAGTAAACACAAGTAAAGCTAAGGCTGATGGGAATAGTAGTCAATAGTTTTGCAGGTATTTATTCATAAACCAAAGTAATGGCCTTGGTGATAAATCATGTGTTAATGGATCATTAAATTAAGTGATCCTGAGGGGGAACATTGACACCTGAACAAAGTTTCAAAGCAATTATTAGTCCAATTGTCTCAATACTTATTTTAAAACACAACGTGGACAAATGTCATTGTCATGGTCGTGCTCGAGGAAAATATTGAATACATCTTCCTGGGACCTTGAATGTCTCTACAAACTCTCATGACAATCCATCTAAGTGAGAGAGTATAGTTTAAAAAGTATGCATCACAGGGATGTTGAATTTATTTGTATTCTATTGTACAAGTGTTTCTGTTACTCCCATATAAATCAGTATACAACGTTGATATACAGGAAGAAATGAGACCACCTTAAAGCAACATGCAGCTCTCTGTGCTTGTTGCTAAAACAGATGGTGCTTTCAATGAGAATTTGGTGCCGTTTTCTATTTTAGCTACAGGGCGTTCTGTTCATAAACCGCAGCATTTAAGACAAGCTGACAGTTGAGTCCAGCGTGATGACACTCAGCTTTACCGGGGGGAGACTGGAGCTCTGAGAGAGGGAACGGTAAATGAACAGGGAGTGAGAGGGGAGAGGCATGATGCCATTTTATCCTCGGGCTACTGCTACTAGCTTCCAAAGCAGCAGCCCACACTTAATTAGAGCTCACATAATAACACAGGTGCAGGATGCCTTAATCTTTCTCACTACAGCATCCTGATAAACATACACTGCAAAAAGTTGACTTCCCTCCAGAGATTTCACAACTAATATAAGTAGGACATGAATGCATTAGTGACTACTGTATAAGTATACAAAAGCATGTGTCAGCGACTAATACGAAAACCACTGCCAAATATTATAAATGGGCATCTTGCTGTCAGGAGAGACATTATAAACTACAAGTGAGACCATTGCAACAGTGAAGTGTACATTCAGAAAGCTGATCAGTACTTTTTAAAGGTAATCTGCAGCATCATCACTACTATCAGCACTGGTGGCCACACTGGATAGGAAGCTTATCGACTTGTAAAAATGTCATGTCAATTTTCACAAAGAAGAATTTAAGTTATTGATTAATTGTTTAAATCATCAATGTGCCTCCGCTCATCTGGTCATGCTAATTGGTTGTTATATAGGTTTTTTTTTCTGTTGGTACAGCTGTAAAAAAAAAAAACGCAATCTTAATACAACATATAATAACTTATGATAGCCTTATTGTCCCTACTGGTTTTCTGTCATCCTTTGACTGGTATGACTTGAGAAAACCGCATAAGAATGTATATATTACAGTATGTGTATTTCACATAAGTTTTGTTCCTGTTAAATTATTAATTTCTAGAAGCTTCCTTTAGTTTTTCCTTGACTTTGTGTACTTTCTTTTGAGCAGCAGGTATCAGTAGTATTTAAAGAGGAAGCGGCCTTCTGAGGTTTCAGTGACGTCAATCATATCAATGTTTCATTCATATAAGATTTGATTGCACACTGCCTTATGTGCACTTTTTGTTGCTACTACTTCTTGAATGTTGGTCATTTTTGAGTGAGAGTGGGTTGTGTGTTCATTCAAATGCAGAAATCCTATTCTCTGTGTTTTTAGGATATAGTGTGTTGATGCAAATATAATTATGGGTTTTTCAAGTGTGTATATTTATCTTCATGTAGTAGATGATTGCATGTTTGTATGAGCATGTTATTTTACGCTTCTGAACCAGGAAACGTGCAAAAGATACAGCTTTCCAAAGTCTATGGGATTTATCAGCTGCTTTCAGATGCAGATGTCGCTTAATGCACACCTTTTTCTTTCTTATCCTGAGCATGATTTGTGTAAATGATACACCGCATGGCAAGCTGCTTAAACGCTTCCAGGCTGCTGGGTTATCTGATAATGTTTTGGATGAATGGTTGCCATAATGTGTGCGGAAATGTGCGTTTGTAAGCATTTTTATGTCCTTGTTGTTTGTTCACTTTTCGTTTTACATTGTGTATGTATGGGTTTGGGTGGCTGTAGTTTCCTCAGCTTCCTCCTTCTGCCTCTTGCTTTCAATCCTCCCTTCCTCTCCTTTCCTCTCCTCCTATGTTGATGAGATACGGTGATTTCTCTTAGGGGAGGCGTCAGTCCATCCTAGTGCAGCCCCGTCTTGCGCCTGTCCCACCCCGAATAACCAGGTAATAAACAAACCGGAAAACTCTCACTCTTCATCCATAACCTGCTGCCTCTGTTCCTCTTCTACTGTTCTCTATGTGCGTCCCTGTCCATACGCAGCATCCTGTGAACTCACTGCAAGCCAACACACTGACAGGCCCACTCACGTTCCCATCTATCTCTCAGAAAAAGAGGCCTGTCACAGAGTGTTTGGACAGTGGTTACTTGAAGGATTGGGTTGAAAGAGTGACAACAAAAACATTTCAAAGATTAAAACCTGCACTAAGAAGATTGAGGGTGAACGCTGTTCATCTGAAATAACTGTAGCACTCATAAATCATGTAATGCAATGTAAGAATCCAGCACCAGGCTGACTGATCACTTTTTACTCCAGAATAATAACTTTTCAAGTTTTTGATTGAAAATTGCTGCTATTTAGAATGACCTATTCCAAACAGACTTCTAATTAACCCAAGACTGTGTTTGTAAGCATGTTAACCCATTAGGAGACGGCTAACTATTCCAAGCTAGCTTAGTTAGCTAACTTCTTAGCATAGTTACGGTTACAGTGAAAACCCACTTGTGGTGTTGTGAAGCTATTTCAGGTCCCGACAGATGAAGAACTCTCATTTATTCTTCCTGTATACAATGTAATATGACTCAGAGTTGGGACACTTGAATTGTTTAAATCAGCATGACAATGTGTTGAGTCGTCATGGCAAAAGATTAACAATTTACTTTTTCCTTGCACATCGTGCCTAATGCATCTTTGAAGGATCTTCTCTATAATGATGGCATTTTTTAAATGTATGCAAAGTGCCATGATCGTCTTCTCTTCACGACACAACAAATATATATTTTCTTTGTTTTTTACTCAACAGGAAAAATATGTTGGGCTGCTTTGGTTTTGTTGTCACCCTCTCAACACAATAACTTGCCTTCTTGTAGTCACTGTTTATATTCTGAGACAGACTTTGAAAAGGAAGTTTATTTGAATTATATGACATGAATGAGGTTGCTTGTCTCTTTATGTTGACCAATGAGCATATGACATGCCTTTGGGAACAATATTAAACATCAAATGTTTTGTGTGTGACTGTTGCAGCCCTCTGCAAGTGAAAATGCTAACACACACACACACACACACACACACACACACACACACACACACACACACACACACACACACACACACACACACACACACAATTCAACCATAAACAACAACCATTAAACATACAGTATACTCTATGCTAACATTATTTCAGCAAATGATTCTCATGTCATATACGGAGACCTTCCTGTAAATCTTTGCATCGGGTGTATCTTTGAAATGCAGGGAAATACAAAAAATCAATGAATATCATTGATTCGCTCCGATATTTTCTGATGATTTTCATCCCATTTTAGACTTTGCCTTGGTTAACTTTAAATGTACTAATAGTCTTAATAAACAACACTCATTTGAACAACCTTTCAATAAAAAATATACAATATTACCATTTCTGTACACACAGGAAGCAAAATACTCTCTGTTTTACAATAGCCCAGTGAAACCCTGATGTCATTCTTAAACAATTTTGATTGCAAAATTGTTATTTTCTTTCAAGCAGCAACGTTTTTAAAAAATCTGAATTTAAAGAGAATACACACATGTTTTATGTTTACATAGACTTCTGTCCAGATTTTTGAACAAGAAATAAAATATTAAAATTGTGGTCTTTAACTTTAGTAAATCTGTCTGGAAGTCTCCAAAATATTGTGAATTCTCTTTTATAATAGATTTTTTTTCCCTCACACACTACATTTTTTTAACGCTTTTTTCTCCTAGACACATGAACTTACATTTCCATTAAGTTTGTCATCACTTCCGAGCACAGCCTCAGATAAAGAACGTCAATTATGGGAAATCTCCGTATCCGACCCGATCCTTCCCTGAAGAACACTGATTATTGTGCACATGTTTTTGTGTTTTCTGTTCCTTTCAGTGAGTCTGTGTTTCTGGTATTTATGTGTTTGTGTATGTATTTGGCACCTGAGCACACTTTTGGTTGAATGGGGGCGTCGCCATTTGTGCGTCTGAGGATGAGTGAGATGCTAATAATACGTTGGTTCTTTTAGAGTTAGAGCACTTAACCTGGCTAGCTTTAGTCATCTTAAACCATTTTCTTTTTCTTTGCCACATAAAAGTCGATCAAACTTTCACATGTGGAAGTGAGGAAGATTTTACAAAGATTGCTTTATAGACATCCACGATAATTGATACGAGATTGGAGGAGATGGGTAAGAACCTGTGTGTACGATACTGTATCTGCATCATTACAATACACCTAACATTTCAGTTCTCCACTAAGTGTTTTGTGTTTCTGTCTCCAGTACCCCCAATTTGCATTAGCATAAAAAACACTCAAACCAAGCTGTAATTGAATGCACCAAGTAATCAAACACTGCAGCCCACAGAGAGTGGAGCGAGTTTGGTAAGTTTTTAAAAAAAAAGGATGTCAGTCAACATGTTGCCATGTCTTTGTTCAGCTGTTTTCTTGAGTTTAATAGACATGTGTAATGGTCTACATATGGATATTAAACGGCACTGTTGGTTGTTTTTGAGAGTAATCAAACAAGTGTTAGTGGAGTCATGTTACTGGCATCCTGTAACTGTCTGTAACCAAAGCAGATACTGTAGCCGTTCAGAGCACCAGTTAGCGGCTGCAAATGTTTTCATTCATTTTGGTTCTGATTGAGAAGAGAAAAAGGCCCTCTAATTTACATCAGATTTTGGGGTTATTTTTTTCTTTCTTTTTAACTTTTTTTCTCCCTTTTTAAAAAAGTGAAATGGAAACACTTTTCACTCACAATGGACACACCCAACAGACACAGCTTATCCAGTGATCATTTGCCTTTGATTCATTTCCTATACTGGATGCAGACCAAACTATCTTTCCTACTTCCTGTCTCTCCCTCTAAAGCACCTCATTCCATTCATGATACAGTATTTCATACTTCCTGTATATAAGCATTACAGTGGTATATAATGTCACACACATTTTGCAATGTACTGAGTTAAATAACTGCACACATATATCCACTTATATGGCTCTGCACTTGAGCCTCTGTAATTATGTCTAGACACCACACAGCAAATGTGCCAGGCAAGATAAATCAAGCGCAATTATTTGAAGAGGTTCTACCAGAGGTCTGATGGTAAAGCTGTGATTTTCAGCTTTTAAAATGCATCTATATTCAAATGATCTTGCGGTAACTCTTGGATAAGTACAGTTTTATATAAAGTCCTCATAGATGTCTATGGGCACAATAACCCAATTGTTTTCTCTTCCCACTGCTCCTACACAGACGTCAGTGAACACGACTGGGAGTGAAGGCTGGCAAACAGACCTTGATATAAACTAATAATGAAACTAGTCTTGCATTGCTGTTATTCTGCACCTACAGTATGTCGGTAAGACAAGACGGCAAAACCAAAACTTTGACTTAATCACTAATCAAAAGCTCCAACCCAGGATGAACACCCATGCAGCAGCTCATTGCTTTGTCGCCAATGAGTTTGGGTTGGACTCTCGGTTGGTGAATTCGACAGGTTTGGATTTCCTGCCAGGCTTAAGGATGCAACTTTTTATCTTGCTTTATTGAACTTGGCGCTGAGCTAGTTGCAGCTTAACGTTTTTTTGCATGGCTTCAGTAGCAGGCTGATGCTAGCTATGCTGTTAAGATAATTAAAGAAGCCACAATTGTAAAGTTTTTCTGTAGTCTTCTCAAATCTTTCAGCTACCCAATCTCGCACATTAAGTTGTTATTGAACATGATATGTTCTCAATGACACTTTACTTTTCCTCACACCCGATAAACACTACTTGCTTCTCATTAAAAGTGGATCAGGACCCTTTGACCTCAAGAATTGTAATTCCTCTTCATCCCCTCTTTCCCTGTGTCCTTTTTCCTGTGCTGCCATTTCTATATGTGTACGTCATGCATCAACTTCGTAACTCATTTGTCTCTCTCTTCTCTCCGTCTCTCTCTTTCTTTCTCTCTGTGTGATTCTTCCAATCCCTTTTCACTTTATTTTCTAATTCCTCCCTACTTTGCTTCTGACATTGCTTTTCCATGTACTCATCAAACCGGTTCTTTGTATTTCTCAATGTTTGATGTTTTCCCACTTCCACACAATACGATCACATTCTTTTCTGGTGCTTTTCCTCCTTGTCCTTTTATCCATCTTGATCTTACTATTCTCACGTCCTCCTACACTCTGTAATGTTTCCCTCTACATGTCACGTTATCTGCCTTGATTGGACATCTCCTTTACAACTCCTCACATCCCTCCAATCGCTCTTCTACGACCATCTCTCCCCGCTCCCACTCCTCTTTCCCCTCCCCTCTCTCTCTATTTCGCCAGGAAAACCAGCTTTCCTCCCTGGGTTACGCAGACCCCGGTGTGAGAACTGAAGGTGGAGGGGGAGGAGGAGGAGGAGGAGGAGGAAGAGGAGGAGGAGGAGGAGGAGGAGCGCTAACCGACGATCAAGGCCTCCGAGTTTCTTCCTCGGGCATTTCCTCTGACAGCTCGCCCCACAATGGAGTCCTCCCCCAAACTGTAGACCCTCCCTCTCTACCCACTCCTCATCAACATCCTAGTCAGAATGGAGAGCTCCCTGGCAACCAAACATCCTCCCCCATGACAACCTCACAGGCAACTGGAACCACGGCAACAGCAGCTACAGTCATAGCAGAAGAAGGGGGAGTAGGTCAAACACAACACTGAGCCAAATCAGAGAGAGGTGACACACAGCTGTCCTGGCTTTATCCCCCTATTTAGATAATGCTCTGAAAATGATCCGTAGATATTCTTATTCCCGTGGCAAGAGAGAGAAGAAAAAGTGTGCAGGAGACGAGTCGTAATCATTCAGCTACTGTACAGTGCATATCACATGAACACACAACACAAAGGGCTCTTCACTGGACACTTGTTCTCTTGATGCTCACATGGAGCTGCAGTAAGTATCAGTCTTGCAGGACAAGATTATGATACCTTATCACGTAACTCTTAGAATTAGTCAAACGAAGCATTTGACGTACAAGTCGACATGTGAACACCTGCTCTGTGCACTCATTGCCCGGCTGTGGCTTCATGAGAAATCAATACATGTAAACAACAAGCACTATAGAATGTCTTGCACCCCAATGACTTCATAGTAGCCATTAGCAAGCGCTATAAGCTAGCTTATAGTAACCCCTTGACTCCCGTGGATGTAGGTGCGTTAATTTTACCTATATCTGAACACGCCAGGCTGCAAATTGTGTAGGTAGAGATGTGGTGATGTAGTCTGGCTTTCTTAGTGCCTTTGAGTGTTTTTCAACAGGGTTTTCCAATAGAGATCTGATACAGAGGTAACAGATGGAGATCCAGGTTAGCTTTGCTAGTAACAGGAAATGATCTGTGGGCTGAAAACTGAGAGTCAAAGTCACAAGATCAAGCGTCGTAGAGGTTTGTGTGACAGAAGACTTTTTTGGGGAATTCTTCTTTCTTTTTTTTTTATCCAAGGGACTTCTTGTTTTTGGACTGAGCTTTTGCAATTTTTCTCTTCTCAATCTCAAAACCGATGTGTGATAAACTGGTGCTAAACAGAAACAAATGGTGCCATTTTCCAAGTCAAATGTTTGTGTCTGCCATAGCACTGCCTCTTTCATGATTCACTCACTGTCTTTTCTCTCTTTCTCTCTCCTGCGATTTGTCTTTGACAGGACTTGAATTGCTCCAGTATGTTTTCTATGTGTCTTTGTCTTTGTTGTTTGTGTGCATCCTGTTATGTTCTTATGTCCAAAAGGATTGTCTGGGTTTCCATATCTGTGTTTTAGAAGCGCACTCCTCCAATCTCTGGTTTTATTCACAGTTAATGAAAGCAGCTCCCTGCTCAAATTTGATGGATTATCTATTGAGCGGGTTATTTCATATTTGTAGAGACCCAGCCCCAAAGTGCTCAGTTTTCACAGAGAACTAATACTATTAACATTGAATGAAGTTACTTTGAATGAAATGGATGAATGGCGTTCTAAGGTTATTTTCTGTTAATAACTGTTGGTCCATTGTTTTCATATAAAGAAGATAAGCGGTGCCATTAGTATTAGTATAGTATAGTGTATAAAACATTATTTAGTAAACGTAAATATAAATCATTTCAAAAACAGATTCCTCTCAGAGTTTTCACCAAAACTAATGTTGCAGCTTTATCATCGTCTCCTTATGTTTTTGATTTAGGCCACATTTATCAGATTGTTTTACAAACATTGCCACTGTTGCATGATACAATTATCGTGTGTGAAAAGGCAATTTCAACCATTTAGGTTTGCCTGCCATTAAGTGCCTGGGATAAATATATTGAGCATCCTTTGGCCAGTAGACTAGCTAGTCATCGACCAAATGCACATAATAATGCCTTGCTTAAGACAATAATATATACCACCCCTGATGCTTATTAGTTATTTGTGTAGTTTCCATAATATGAAGATTAAAACCAAAAGAGTGGCATCTATTTCAAAAACCGTTTGATAACAGCGTTACATTAAAAGACGTTCAGGGTACATTTTAGAAATACTGTATGATGTGTTTATGAAATGAACTCTTCAGTTGTCATGTGTCAAATGCTTAAAATCCAAGTCTTTGAAACGTTTGTATTGTGTGTCCATATTGCTTCATTTTGTGTATGAACTGTCTGTTCTAAGTTTTGTCTCGATGTAAACTTGTTTTTGTCTTTGTAGCCTCGCACACTGGTGTCGCTCTAAAACAACTCAGCTTGTTTAAACGTGCAGGTTGAAGAGTTTCACATCAGCTTTGTGCCAGCCATTTTTTTTTAGGGTGAACAGACTACTTTGCAGTGTCAAAGGTCAACGCTAGCACTTTGTAGGCCAATGCTAGTGGATTAGCTTAGATTCATACTCTCAATGAATGTTTAACTGTTGAACCACCAAATGTTAATAATGCTAGCAGGGGAAGATTGTCTTCTATTGAGACAGCTCGTAGGGCTACTTTTTTCTTGTGAAATTACTTGTGTGGGAAGAATGTTGGATTTAAAAGCGCTATAGGTTTGAGCGTCACTCTCTTTTCAGAGATGTGAGATTATCCGTGATTGAGAAATTAACATTGCTGTGAAAATACCTCAGTGACTCAGGTAAACAAGCAGTTGCCTCAGAGCTGAACACAAAAACGATATAAAGAGATGAGTCTAGCTTTGGAAAGACTGCCACCATGCAGATACTCGGTCTCAAGCTATGCTTAAATAGCACCTGATCAAGCACCCTCCCCCGTTTCTTCTCTCTCTCTGTCTACCCTTTTTTTCTCCCCCTAGCCACTCTCAAAGCTTCATGGAGGACAATGTGGAACGTAAATGGCTGATGCACCATCGGCAGTCCGCAGGGTGGCATAGCCAAATGTCCAGAGCCCTCTCTCGTGACGCGATTGGCTGACAAAGGGAGAACTTGGGGCATTGGTCCCATTCTCTTTGCTCAAAGGATGGTGCAGAGCCCCAGCGGACCATGTAAGGAAATGCTGGGTTTTTTTGGTGTTTTTTTTTACTTTACTTGGGTTCTCTCTCTCTGATTTGATAACAAGATTTTTTAAATGTGTTTGACACCTCGGGTTGGATCTACAATTCACTTTTTAAAAGGTAGGCTGGACACATATTGGTGTTTGTTAGCCTGCTGAGCATGCAAAGAACAGCTATGCACTCTGATCGAGCAAAACGGAGGAACACAAAGGCCAAGGAAGGCGTGATGCCCACAAATGAGAGAGAGGGGAGGTGTATTGTGGGTAAGATGTATTTCAAAGGTGCTTGACTTCTCTTAACATTTCAGTCAAAGCTGATTTACTTTCAGAGCATTTATTTCTCTCAATCTATCTCTCATAGTCTTTTCAAATTACCCTTTGACTCCGCTTCATCTACTCACTCTTTATCTATCAAGGATTCTCAAAGCATTATTTAACCACTTTATTTTTACTCCAATTCAGACACACTTGGTCTCTTTCTTTATTCATAGTTTTAGCTTTTCCGTTGGATCTCTTTCAGACTTTGAGTTAAGAGGAAACTAAATATGCACAGCCTAATACAACAAATGAAACTGCTTCAGAACAAAACTCTTGCTTCAATGAAGACTTTGAAAAACCGGACAGAATGTTATTATTTATATTTCTATGATATTGCATATTCTTACAATAGTATTTAAAAATAACTCTTCGTCAGAAATCTTCCGGAGCAGATGTTTATTTCTTTTTAAGTTATCTAATGGAAGTTCATAAATAATCCATTTTATATGAAGCAAGTATTCTTACTCAGACAATCTTGTGGAGAGTATCGTTGCCCTAAAGGACTGTGAAGAAAGGGACAAACTTGTGTTTTACCTACTCCCCTCGCAGCAGTTTGCACGTTGCTGTGACCTGTGCCCCCCCCCCTTCCTGTTCGTTATAATCATTCGAAACAAAAAAAGTGGACGGATGTTTCTCGCCCAACAATCGCCATGGAGCTCTCCATTTACGGACGATGTGAAAGTCTTTGGATGAGGACATTCTTATTGTTTTGTACTCCACTTTCGACTATCTTTCTGTCGAGTTTAACCGAGCAGAGGATGACATCTTGGTTTCAGTGTGGCCTCATTTCTGCAGTCAAATTGCTGTAAAACTCCCCATTCATTTCAATGGATGGACCCCACTGACACGAGTTGAAATCCCTGCCACTCGCACTTATGACTGAACCGACGACAGAGAGAGATATGTTAGAGGTCCTGCTGAAACGAGTGAATGTGTTTGTACATAATTGAGTGTACTGGCTAAATCTTTGTGTATATACTGGATAAATGTGTATATATGGTATGTCCATGTGTATATACAGTTTGTTTGTATATGCAGAGTGTACAGTTATTTTTCCTCTAATGTTTCTCTCTCTTTCTATGAATAGGTCTTCTCAAGTTACCAATACTGAGGCATGGAAAGGTTTTTAAATGTACTGAGCTATCAGAGGCACTTAGTGCACGGACTTAGACTATCAGCAAGGTCTGTCACTTAGTTGCATTCTTAAAGCTCTCATACAAGAAGTAACTCACATAATCTTAAGCTTGCACTCATTTTCTGACCAACTCAAAAGCTTTTCTAAGTAGATTTGGGTGACCAAGCAATGTTTGTACATATATAGACTAAGACAATTTTTCCAGAAACCTCCATCTGCATTTCTTTGAAAATTCTCGACCTGTTTTGAGTTCTTGCGTATCTGACTTTCACTTTAGGATATGGTATATGTTTGCAACGGTTGTCATTCAGAGTTATATATTTATTCCGACAACCCTTATATATTTCTTGACATTTTGTTCCCCAAATTCTGCCTTTCATGGAACCCTCTAACCTTTCTTAAGATTCGGTTAGACTGGCAAAACCTTCCATGAAAGTAAACTGTCGTTACCTAACACTGCTTGTTTTTGTATAGGTCCTTACTAAATAAGTGTGCCTCCCCCCCTTATACTCTAACTAACCTTAGCTCCATTTAATCCTCTGGTCACTCATCTTCATACCCCTTGACAAGCCATAGCCCCCCCCCTCCCCAAAATTCCTCTATTGTTGTTTTGACAGGACAGACATTTGGGGATTTTGTGTATATTAATGGAAGAGTGGTGTTGAAGAGTGTATTGCAGTTGTATATGGATTTGTTATGAATGTGGATATTCTGATCATTGAATTATTATTGTAATAATGATAATAATTATTGCCACTTTGATTTTGTTGATTGATTAAGATGCCATTGTTCCTTCTTTTCTTTTTTTGGAATACACCGGAATTTATATTTTTCGGGTGGGTGAATCTGGAGATAGAAATACATAAATAAATAAATAAACAAATAATTAAATTCTTAACCTGCTGTGGAAATGTGTGTTCTGTTCCTTAATGCAATAACTTCTTCTTCATTTTTCAAAGTGTCTGTCCATTTCAGATTAAAGCTGGCATTAGTCTCTCTTTTTGTTATTCTCAGTCACAAGAACACCATTGTTGTCCAAAAACTGTTAAAAACAAATCAATAATCCACACTGTTACACTACTATATGTTACCAGTTATTTGGCAATTAATCCATGACTGAAAATAGTCCAAACTTTTGCACCACTTCTCCTGTTTGAATAACATTTGCTAACAACTACAGTGGTTAGCTCACTTTAGGAAATTGCTCAGCCCTATTAAAAAATGTTTAGCAGGAAGAAATGAACTTAAAATATAGGAACACATTGTTGATGTTGGTCTTTTTGGTTTTGGAAATTGTTAAAAACAAAAGGATTCCTAAATTACTTTTAAATGTTTTTTCCGTTTATCAACTAATTGACTCAGCACTAGATTACTAGACTATACTGTATAATTTTGCAGTATGCACACTTATATATCAAGGTTGTGAACTGTAACAAAATATATATATATATATATATGTCTACAATTCTAAACTAAAGGGTATTGATCTGCTTTTGTACCTATTTTGTCAATGTCTGCATTAAAAGGATTCATTTTGGATTGCACTCTTATGGAGGCCAAAGTCCTTGCTCATCTGGGTCAGGTACGTTTTGCCTACGTCGAAGAACTGTGATTCTTCTCTTGGTGAGCAGAGCAGATCATTTCCTCTCCAGCTGAGGTGCTGAGAGCGAGGATGGCATGCAGGCAGGATCCGGGAACTGGGGACTGGACTGGATATTGCCAGCTTGTAATTATCTTCATCCTCCTGCACTTAATCACCTGCATTTCCTTAGTGGGCTGGCAACTTCTGAGTTTGGACTGCCGGAAAAAATGTTGCACAATGGAGGAGAAATTAGATGGTTTATATAATATAAACAGAACAACAGAGTTTACAGTTTAAACCTCAACATACTCAAGCCTCCAGCATGAAATACATTCCTGCAATATTTCTGCAAGGTTACACTCTGAATAATATTGATGTCACAATAAAATTACCAATAAGGTTTTCATTTTTCATATCAAAATATGTACCTATAAAACATGTGATCAATTTGCATTGAATAATGCCACACGGGAGGCGTGTGGCGCAGTGGACTAGTGCGGTGGTGTTCGGATCAGAGGAGCATAGGTTCAAACCCCACTGCAGTCAGCATGTCGTTGTGTCCCTGGGCAAGACACTTCACCCCAAATTGCTCCTGTGGGGATTGCCCACAGTATTGAGTATGTAAGTCGCTTTGGATAAAAGCGTCTAGCAAGTAACATATGTAATCTAAAATCGCCTTTTTTTTATCATTTCATGCTGACTTCAAACAACCCAACTTTTACATGACCAACCAGCACCTCAATAAAATAAAAATGTCCCTAACTGAATTTATTGATCCCCCTCCATCATCGTCTGTCTTACCAAAATCCTGTTTTCAAAGTCAGGAAATACATATAAATAAACTTTGATATAAAAAAATAATACAAACATATATATCTCGAAATGCCATTTCTTTGCAACTTTATAGCCTTCATAGGGATGTTAAAACGTCTATGATCTTTGTAGACCTCTACTGGCAACCGAGAGGAATTACAACAACAGAGTTTATAGTCGCTATGGTCACTGTGCAATGGAGGGAAAGCATTCTTATTAATAACATAATGATGTCTTCATTAGCAGAAGTTTTTTTCATCAACCTCATGCCCTCTTAAGAAAGAAAGACAAGGAGGGCAAGCAAATTATCGAAAGGTGAATGCAAATACAATGAGAAGTGGAAACTATTTATGTTGTTTGTGACACAGCCATAATGTTATTTGCATATACATATACAGAATATAAAAAAGTCCTGTATGCAAGTATATATTGCAAAATTAAAGAAAGGCAATTTTGCAAAGAGCATTTCTACTTTTGTCAACTTACTTACTTAGAAGTAAAAAGTCTCAATATTTCCTGCACCATATATTTTCTTCTTTTCTAAATGTCTAATTTCCTGTGGCAAAGGAAACAAGTGGATCAAGATTTTCGGAAATTGGGGCATCAGCATGCAACCTGGCAACCCCTGTTTTAGTCTTGTGAGTGTGATCTGTACTCTCGCGATAATCAGGCGGTCACTGCCTGATAGAAATAATGGCCGCTTTCGTAGCAATGGCTGGAATGGGGAACAACACAAGAGACATATCAGAGCGTTTTAGCTGACCAGGAAGACCCCAAATCACCAGGCACCCCCCCCCTACCCGGTTTTCAGAACGAATGGGTAGAGGGGGTCTTGCCATAGGACACAATAAACGAAAGAGACTCGGAGGGAAAGGGAGGAAAGCTAACCTTGATAGCTAGCGCTAGCTGGTTGTCACTGCCGGGGGAACAAACCCGAGTATCCGTGACAACTGCGTGTCTGGACGGCTGGAGGGAGCGGGAGCAGCCGCTGGAGCTTGTGTTCAAACCTCTGGAAGCTCGCTAACATGAGTGGACCGGGGCAGGACAGCGAGCCGGAGGCGAAAGTCCTTCTCATCAAGCGGCTTTACAGGTAATGTTAAGATGCCGAGGCCGTTTTGCGTTTAGCTAACCGGGGTGCTAATTGAACGTTATTGTGCTGGGTAACTTCGCGCTAGCCCATAATGTTGGCTACCACAATAAAGAGTCCGTGATCTATTCTTCTATTCAGTAATATGTCTGTACAAGGAGAAGCCCAACTCCAGATACATCTGACCGGGCACTCCTCATGCTTTGTGTAGCCTGAGTTAGCTGCATGTGTCATTGCTTCTATTATGTATTTATGCATCTAATAAAGTAAAGCAAAAGAAGATGCATATGCTATTGCATAGGAAATTGCAAAGATGGGATGTATAAACCCCTTATGGCTTGTTGAGGACTCCCACCTAACATTGAAATTAAAGAAAGCTACACGTATGCTTGCACTAGTTGACAAACGGATGTAAATCAAAGGATGAAATTGAACTGTATCATACCTCATAAACATAGAACTGTACTTTGTAAAAACATAGATCAATCAAAATATCTGGTGTTAACCATAACAATGGTTATAAGACACAGTTACAATGCCACTGTGAAAGGAAATAGGAAGTAACTTCAAACATTTAATTACAAAAGTACCTCTCTATGGTGCTTAGTACAGAGATATGAAACAGAAAGTATGGTTGCTAGCTTGATCGCCCACAGTATAAAAATCCCAACATTAGCCTTGTCATTATGCTAACTAATGTTCTCTATTTGCCCAATGCTACCCAGGGCTGTGGTGGAGTCTGTGCACAAGCTGGATGTCATCATCGGCAGCAAAGCATCCTACAGAGAGGTCTTCAAGCCGGAGAACATCAGCCTTCGCAACAAGTATGTCCATCTGTCTTACCAGCATTGTGTGTAAAAGGAGGCAGACGTTCAACTTTAACATCTGGCCAGTTGTTCTGAACATAATTATGAATTTAAACCCCTCACACAGCTCACCTCCAGTTCATTTGGCTGAAATACTTTTTTCTAGGAGGCTCTGTGTTAAATTGGGCATGACTATATTCCGCCTAGAGCATCTCTGTGAGATTAAAGACTCAGATCTGACCTGATATTTGGAATCCAAGTTCTGAACAAATCCAGTTTTCACATTAGAAACACGTCTAATGTATCTTAACTGGACCTGTAAGCTTCAACGTCTAATTTAAATCTATGTGTGAGGAGTTGTGATCGCTGCATGCATACTATGAACTTAAAGCTCCAAAAGAGAAAGTGGAATTTGGAGTTAAATGTGAGGAAGGTACTGTATTTACTCACAGACAGAGAGACAGTTTCTCTCTGTGACTGCCTTAGGAACCAACATGCACTCTAAAGAATTCAAGAGGTCCCTTTATTTTTCTATCAGGGCTGCATTCAGAGCCTAAGCAACTGGCTGGTTAAGCAATTAAGCAGAACATTTATTGTCAACGACTTGGCTAATCAGCTAATTGTGTCTGTCGTTTTTCAAGGAAAGCTGCCAAACACAAGCTAATTCCAGTGTCTTATTGTGAATATTAGCTTGTTGTGTAATAGTTTACTGAATATCTATAGATTATGGACTGTATTGGGAAACATATTTTGGTTTTATTCACCTTTTTATGACCTTTTTTAGACAAACCTCATAAGCTGTTATCGAGAATATAATTTCAGCGTTTGTTGCATGTGCATTTACTACAATACCAGGGCTTTGCATCTCTGTAGACCCACCCCCAACATCTTGAATAAGTGTTCAGATTCTTCCACATTTTTACACCAATATTTAGAGCTTAATCTAAAAATGATCAGTTCACACAAGAGTCATAATTTGTACTTCACATGCATATGAGATGATCTGTCTCCCTAGTGCAAGGTGAGGCTTTTTTATTATTGTTCTTGAGTATTATATTATCTTCTATGGCTTTGAAGGAGCAAGCAGACGAGCATCTCATCAAAGAGGAGATAATGAGAGATACTGCGGCTAACTCTATTATCAGAATTGTGTCATTGCCCACACACATAAAGGGGACAATGATTTCACAATATTCTTGAGAACAACTCTGACTTCTTAAACAGTTTACACGGACCATATGAGTCACAGAAGGGAAAGGCATGCTTACAATTCATTTGTATTTGACAGCACCAGAATCTTCAGTTGTCTTTCATGTAGTGTCTATACATTGGAGCGGCAACTAAAGGTCATTTACAGAATATGAACTTGTTTAATCATAAAAAATGCCTACCAACCAACTTGTGTCCTTTAAGGGTTTAATGTAAAACATAGCCCGACCTGTTGTTGTGAAACTATGTGACTCATTGGTCTACTTGTCAAACCGGTGACCCAACTACCTCCCTAACTTATGCATGTGTGTGCTGCTTTTTGTGTGTGTGTTTACAGGCTGAGGGAGCTCTGTGTGAAGCTGATGTTTCTCCATCCTGTCGACTACGGCCGTAAAGCCGAGGAGCTGCTCTGGAGGAAGGTCTACTATGAGGTCATCCAGGTTATCAAGACCAACAAGAAGGTAACTGGCCTCTACAGCAGTGTGTACAAAAACCTCCTCGCCTGTGTTAGCCAGACAGTTTTCTGTTGTTATCCAGCGTGACTTCCTGGCTGCCATTTAAAGGTCAGCTCTACCTTGACATCTGCCATTTTGTGGTCACTGGTGCGTAACGTCCAAATGGTGTGTTCATTATATGCATGGACGGTTTCAATGGAAATCAAACTTCTAAAATATCCCTGTTGCCACTTTGCTTTTGATATTGGACCAACACCCTGAAAACAGTCCCAAATGACTGCCCTTATCAAAAGTAGCCCGATCATTTCTGTTGTGTACCTAGTGTGTGTGTGCTCTGATTCAGATGCTTGTGAAAATGTCGAAGGTCAAAAGCAATTTTAGTAATTTGTTTTTTACCTGTGTACGTAAAAAAGACTTCTTAAAGTGGAACTCCAGCAATTGGTTTTGGGTTAAATACTAGTGTTTACGTAGTACTTTTATCAAGTGCGGGACATCTGTGAGAAATCGTTTTCATGTCCTCAAGTAACTCAGCGTAGGAATAGAAGTTTGAAAATGGAAAAGAATGTCTGCTATCGTGAGTTCATCCATTCGATGTAGACCACTCTTCCTCTCTGCTTGACCTCAGTGGCTCGAGGCTGTGTTGACCGCTGTTGGTTTGTTTGTAGATTCAAATGTGTTGCACTGACCTCGTTTGATTATTATGTTGGTAATATTTGCGTCCTGTTTTGATAAGGAAAATAAATGAATGGTAAAGATATAATTCATCTGGTTCTGCTGCATCAGTTTGAATGAGTCCAACAATATGCTATACAGTGGAGTAGTCTTGTAAAGCTGGTGTGCAATATATTTGAGTTTTCTAGACTTTTGGGCCTTTTTGATGCTTATTGTAAACTACAGAATGTTATACAACGTAGGTCCTGATTCAAATTGTAGTTGTGGTTAAATCTATAATATCCTGCTTCCTCTCCTTTCTTTTTCTTTTCCTCCACTGTAGCACATCCACAGCCGCAGCGCTCTTGAGTGCGCCTACCGTACACACCTGATCGCCGGTGTGGGTTTCTACCAGCACCTGCTGCTTTACATCCAGTCACATTACCAGCTGGAGCTGCAGGACTGCATCGACTGGACCCACGTCACGGACCCACTGATAGGTGAGAAACTAATTCACACACAGAGAATGACTGTATATAAAACAGGCAAACACGCAAGCAGAATCTAATCTCTTTCTAAAGGTTTTTTTAAGAAGGATGTGTAAAATGTACATGTTCTGCATGTGCTTGTCAATATGCATGCCCATATATTACAAATCATCACATTTATAAAAAATCCCGATCAATTTATTGGCTATTTTCACAGGAGAGGTGTGAATAATAAAATGACTTATAGCAGAATTCTATTTAGCTGCTTTGTATTTTGCATGCTGGTTCACTTTAATGGCTTACTACAACAGGGTGTCCGCGGGGTCTTAAAAAGTATTGAAAGTTGATGAATCAATTTAGCGAAAATTAAGGCTATTAAAAAGTATTAAACGGCATTTTCCAAGGTATTACATTTTGTAGCTTGTTTTCAATAAGTATATAAATTGTCCAAAGAGGTTGTATTCTACAGTTTGCCTGAATGTAATCATTGCGTAGGTGTGTAGTGTGATTCTGTGTAGTTTATTTATGGCATCCTGTTGGATTTGACGTCATGTGAACAGGACATCTCACGCTCACTGCTTGATAGCGCGCGAAGTTTACACCGGTTGTTAAACATCATCGTTATGGGGAAATGCAAGTCTGCGTCCAAATGGTTGGAAGATAAGGAGGAAGGACAATCAATACTGTATATAGTAAATGTGAGGTAAAGTGTGTCGCCAATGTAACCGGTTAGAACTCGAAGTGGCGATGAGGTCTTAAAATGTATGGAAAGGGTCTTAAAAGGTATTAAATTTGACTTCAGGATTCCTGCATATACCCTGTAGAACACTTAATAGAATATAACTGAACAATGGTTAACTTGTCCTTTTTCTACTATAACAACTTGACATGCTTTTCTCTTTTTCTTTTCTTGAAGATAAATCCACTAGCGCACATCTTATTCTATTACCATCTTAGCAAATCAAATGAATAATAAACCCATAGTACCCACTGTAAGTTGACCAACATTTACAGCTGGCATTATATACTTTCACACTGGATAATGAATGGTGTGATCCCAGCATTGCATTTAGACCAGGTATTAATGTGTCTATTGTCTGAATATAGTCCTATCAGATGTCAGTGTTCCCTCCACTATGCACAGCAGTCAAATGGGTGGAGAAGTGCCAAGTCAGAGTATTGTTGGTGGACGAACGGAAGCAGGTGCAGGGTCACCATGGTTCTTGCTATAGTGCAGATGATACTAATCCTTTTACTCAGAAGCCATCAGACAACAGGGGCTAACGGGTGAAATGTAAATGTCCTGTCTTCCGGCATGAAGTGAAAGTTTATCTAATCTAGACATATGATCTACTTTGCAGCCTAAAACAGAAGCACTTGTGAACTTGAACACCCCAGGGACAGAGAAACAGGACTAATGTCTCAGAGCTGCTTCTATCATTATGACTCTGCTGTTTGCAAAATCGTGGCTTTACAGTGATTTGAGCTGGTCCTTTTTACATAACTCAAAGTCATTTTGGGTAGGTGCTTCAGCTAAATGCTTGAAATGAATGGGAAGAAAAACATTGTGTAATCGTTCCTCGCAGGTCGAAAGAAACCCGTGTCAGCCACCCCCAAGGAGATGGAGTGGGCACAGATGGCCTGTCATCGCTGTCTGGTCTACCTTGGAGATCTAGGTAACAACATGATTATAGAATATGCAATTATTTCTTCTCTTTTCCCAGCTTGTAAGGGTGTGAGGCAGCATGTGTGTGTCATTCAGCGTGGGAAAAATTGGCGTAGCTATAGAATTGACAAGAACCTGTTTAGTTGATTTAGGCTTACATGATACAGAGATATAAGTATTTTATGAGACACATTAAAATACATTTTCAGCATGTTCAGTGTGCTTATTGATATGAAGGGGAATATAGAAATGATTCAGTGTACATTTATATATCTTAGCCTGAGTTGTATCCTGTTGTTGACAGTTATTATAACTTTATTCCTGTTAATAATGTGTCCTCTGCAGCACGTTATCAGAATGAACTTGCCGGAGTGGAGTCTGAGCAGCTGGCAGAAAGGTTCTACCATCAGGCGCTGTCTGTCATGCCACACGTGGGTGAGTGACTGTAATGTAACCATTTTTTTTAACAAATCCCTTGCTGTTGCCATGGTCAGGAAGAATGTGGTACATTTTCTGGCCTCTGAGAGTGACAGGAGTACCGTTTCTAAAAAGATGTGGAAATGCTTTCATAAGTAATATTTCTTTTAGATGTCAAAATAAGTGTTGAATCTTAAAGGTCACCTATTATGCAAAATCCACATGTTCATGTCTTTTCTACATCAACATGTGTCCCCCCCCCTCTGTGTAAAGAGATTCTGAAAGTTTCAGGAAAAAAAGATTCTCTCTCTTTTTGTCCTGATCCATTTATATAAAAACCTGTCTGAAAATGAGCTGATCAGATTTTGGCCACTTTATGATGTCATAACGATTTTTTTGCTTGTGTAACCATTAGCCAATAACCAACCAAGGTAACCCCCGCCCCCACCGTATCACCAAATATCTCTCAGAGGGGCGTGGGGAGTGGCTCCTTATTTTCATCTAAAGTAACAGACAGAGAATCAGCACTTTTGAAACAGGGCTGAAACAGAGGGGATTATGGGATGCTACAATGCACGATCTGTTTGGTATTTGGAGCCAAACACTTCAGAGACATGTTTTGTATATATCTGAGACCTATAATATATTGAGGAAAAACAGTATAATAGGGGACCTTTAATGTTCAATAGAAAAACACAGAAATTAAACAAAGGATGCTTTCAGAAATGAATTTTCTTCATAATTGCGTTGTGGTTGAATGTGGTGTTTAGATTTCAGTGAATTATGTGTTCAAACTCAATAAGAAACTATTTTGAGGAAACACTGGCTTTCTTGGCTTTCTTTGTGAGGGTTGTATCCAAACAGCATCTGCAAATACAATGTAAGCCAGCAACCACTAGCCTAGCTTAGGTTAACAAGTTAAAAAACAGAGGGAAATTGCTAGCTTGGCTCCGTCCAAAGTGTAACAACATCTTCTTATCAGGACCACCACAGCTCACTCACACATGTCTTGTTTGTTTAATTTGTACAAAAAATATTAAAACAACAATTTGCCAATTTACAGGATGCTTGTGAGCCAGACATTTTCTTGGCCAGGAGCCGTAACTTCTCCGCTGGTTAAATATGATGTAATATTAGTACGAGTCATTTTTACTATTCAGTTTTTATTCAAATTAAACAAAGGAGCTATAACATGTGACTCATTGAGCTTCATATGTGCTTTGATCAGAAATGTATGCTTAAGTGGGATTGCCGATTTATTTGTCTCTTTTATTTGAACTATTTTGTTACTCCTTGCTACTTTTCTCCTGAAGCAATGCATACGGTGATCAACTTTGCATATGATATCAGGATCTTCCTGTGAAATGACAAAATGTGAATCCTAGTTAATGGCACTGCCTACTTTTTTGGGCATGTATCGTCTCTTATTTATTTGTCAAATTGAGCTTGACGTAAGGGAAAGGATTCTCAGTCGACACATTACATTACATTTCATTTAGCTGACGCTTTTATCCAAAGCGACTTACAATTACAGGGACATTCTCCCTGGAGTAACTAAGGACTAAAGTGCCTTACTCAAGGGCACACTAGTGGTGGTGTTCCTGGCGGGATTTAACTCACAACCTTCCGATCATCAGCCCACCTCACTATCCATTAGACCACCACTATCCCTCCACCACACATCACACAGCTGTTGAATAATTCCCTTCATCTGTCTACAGGAATGCCTTTCAACCAGCTGGGCACACTGGCAGGGAGCAAGTTCTACAACGTGGAAGCAACCTACTACTACCTACGCTGGTGAGTAATGTCTCTGTCCAATTACGTGTGATGTTAACCTTTTAAAATACAACGTAATAAGATAAGAGTCTTACCATATGTTTTACCTGTGCCAGCATCCAATCAGAATCCCCCTTCGAAGGCGCCTATGGCAACCTGAAGCGCCTGTTTGACAAAGCTGCCAAGATGTACCACCAAGTGAAGAAGCAGGAAATGAAGAAGCTGTCTCCATCTCGACAAAGGTGAGGACGAGCATTCACAGAATAAAAAACTAAATCTCCCCCGACACATTAAAATGAATTACGTCCAGAGTGGAAACATTTCTGGTGTTCAGGGAAACATGAGCCCCCTCTGGACAGCAGTGGTATTAGTAATGGTTTTCACTGGCTTGCCTGGTTCAAATCAGACTCAAATTAAATGTTTTCACTTCACTGAGCAGAGCCATTTTGGTTCCAAGTGACATCTGGGGATTCGCATGATTACCAACTTGCTTGCCCGCCGTTTGAATCACAAACACACTCTCACCAGTGTTTGGATAAGCAGCGTCTCTCTGCAGATGGGATTAGATCATTGATGATCCCTGAGGGGAAAGGATATTGTTCAAGCATGAAAAAATGCTAGTAACACCAAGAAGTAGGAATTAAAGGCAAATGAAGCATGTAATAAAAGCATTTCAAGAGATTGGAGACTGGAGTGTAAAATAAATAAACCAATGTCATGTTGTTTTTGTGTGTATGGGCAAATAACAGTATTTTTCATTATACGTTGGTAGAAACCAAGGCTGGCTTTGTTTTATTTACCGAAATATGGGTGTCATTTTGCCATTTGTTTGTGGACACAGTAGTTGTTTCCCTGCTTCCAGTATTTATGCTGAGGTGTTTTGGCTCAAATGTTTAGCTTGGATCATTTCACCACACGCACACGCGCCTTTTTAAAGTGTTAAATGAAAATGCAAACAAAATACTGAATTTGATTTAAAGAATCTGTGTTAATAAGATCTTTTTGCTGTGACTATTTTGTGCAGATCTAAAGACATTAAGCACCTCCTGGTGAGCTTCATGTACCTCCAGAGCCTGCTGCAGCCCAAGAACAGGTGAGTGCTTGTGCGGTCACTCATCTCCCATCTTTCACCACTGAACCAGTTTGTATTCTATTTATGAATTTGTGTTTGTATGAATTTGTGTATGTACATATGTGTGTATATATATATATATAAATATATAGAGACCATTCTCCTAACTTGCCTGTATATATTATATGAATGATTATATCAATTATTCAAGATTATAAGTATACATTTAAATTGTATGTTAACATATATTAAGATGTAAAAAAAAAAAAAGGGAGAAGGGGTCGGATTAAATAAGTGTAAACTTCTTCCGACCCCTTTTCGGACGTGTAATTAGCTAAAGCTTTGTTGTTTATTGATATCAGACAATGATACTACAGATTATTCAATTATTAATTAAATGTTTCGTTTTGTTATTGCATTCATTTGTATAGTACTGTCTGTATCACCTTTTGTTTCATTTGTATTTTCTTTGGTTTTACACGCTCGAAAGAAAAAAATAAACTAAACCAGTCCACAGTGGAAATAAGGCTCTGGCGTTAATGTATTTGTAATCGTTAACCAGTCTATTGGTATGTTAAGACTACATGAACACAGTTTGTTGAGCATTTTCATACTTATAATCAAATGAATCCATCTCTAATGATTCCAGTGATATCAGATATTTGGTTTTGTGGAATTTGGACAGAGATTAGAAGTGTCCAATGTTTACTTCCTGAATAAATGGTAAAACAAACTAGGGGAAAAAATGTACTCATGAGTAAATATGAAGTACGGCAAAGACTAGCATATGATAATTCCTGGTCACTCTACTTGCTCCACTGAACTGATACAGTGTTGTGATAATTACCCATGGGTCATTCACTGTTATATTGTCTGCAGTGTATTTCCAGTGCATTCTTTTCATTATGATCCTTGTGTCTGTAGCCTGATGGAGACGGAGCTGACGTCGCTCTGCCAGTCGGTGCTGGAGGACTTCAACCTGGTGCTGTTCTACCTGCCGCCCCCGTCACATGCCGGGGCGCACCACCCCCCCAGCGAGGAAGAGGAGGAGCAGCAGGTCGCTGAGAGCTCCTGCCCCGTGCTTCCCGACAGCCTCGTCTTCAAGATGGTGGTCACCTGTCTGATGGTGGTGCACAGCCTGAAGAGGGGAGGTTAGTGTGACCTCATGTGCATTTCACCATTTATTGGATGTAAATGTTTTCAAATACGTTTCAATAACTAATCTATAACTATAACAGAGCAGTGCACTTTTTTTCAAAGCATATTCATTGGGTTCGGTTATCTAGCTTAGAATTGGAGTAATTATCAAAGGAGGAAAAAGACACCACACAAGTGGAGCTTTGTAATTAACTAGAAGCACATATAATGCTCTCCATGTTGTCCCAGTTTCTAGCCAGCATAGTTTCTGATGGATTGTATACCAAAACATCACACATTTGAGTGTGTAACGGGTTTAACTGTGCATGATTTATACTGCCATGGGAAATGCTTTCTTGTGACAGTTATCTTTGAAAATCTAAGTACTAACAAATGTTGTTTTTATGTCTTCAGGATCGAAGCAGTACAGTGCGTCCATTGCTTTTACTCTGGCGCTGTTCTCCCATCTGGTGAACCACGTCAACATCCGGCTGCAGGCTGAGCTGGAGGAAGGGGAGAGCCAGGTGCCGCCGCTTCACACTGACGTCACAGGTGAGAGGGGAGATCTCCGTATCTGAAAAGGGAAGGAACAAACAATCAGCTGCAAGTTAGTTAAAGGTGGGGTAGGTAATTCACTTCAGAAGCACTTTTTGTTATATTCCATGGAATGCTCTTAACATCCCGATAGCAATGAACACATTAAATGCTTTGACAATAAATACATAAAAAAAATGTCTTCTGTGGAAGCCGTGGCGCTGTAAAAAGCACGACTAGCTGGATGGCCTACCTGCCTGTCAGCCTTCCATCTGTGCACAAACTTATCTCGTGCCCTCATTGGTCATGTGCGCGTTTGTGTGTGTTGGAGGAGGGGCTCTGTAAGGAAGTCTGAAGGAAGGGGCAGATTTTTTTCGGCTGCGTACTTTCAAATTCTAGCGCACTCGAGCTGGTTTCTCCATTCTTACCTACCCTACCTTTAAGTCTCAGAGTCAGTGTCTGACACATAGATCAATGCATCAAATCCCCATGGATGTATTCTCATTTTATTTAGGATTTATGCTGCTTTGTGTCATTTAAAATGTAATCTTTTGGGAGAACTACAGCTATTTGTGAAGTTAAAAGCAATTTAAAGCTTTACACATCTTGACATCTTTTACAATTAACATGAAGGAATACAAACAGGCAGTGAATTCTTATTTTCTTTTCCAGATGACCTGGAGATGAGGGATGTGTCCGCCCCAGCGACAGAGGGGAAGCCTCTGCAGAACGGCTCCCTGGAGCAAGAAGATGAAGAGGAGGAGAAGGAGGAAGACGGCTCTGAGAGGGTTGGTGCCAAAAAGCCTTGCAGTGTGGAAGAACAGCGCAAGTTAGAGGAAGAGAAACAGAGACAGAAGAAGAAGTACACCCGCCTCTCCAGACTGCGCCGACGTCGCTGCGCTCGCAAGGACACTCGAGGAGGAGAGGACGAAAGCGACCTGAGCGAGGGCTTCGAGAGCGAAGAGGACGAGGATGAGGAAGACGAGAGGAGACGGCGTACTGATTCAACGGGGACTACCACGACAGCAGCCCCGGTCAATCCTCCATCCGTCAGGAAGGAGACAAAGAGAGGGGAGGAGGGGGTGTGGGGGAGCGGCTCAGAGGAAGAGGAGGAGGAAGGGGGGACGGCGTTCGATGTGGAGACCGACTCGGACATGAACAGCCAGGAGTCTCGCTCGGACCTGGAAGACATTGAAGACGCGGAAAGCCCGGACAACTTGGAGGGTCAGGCGCGGGAACAACAGGACGAAGAGGAAGATGAAGAGCAACCCAAGGAAGAAGGGGGCGAGGACAGGGACGGGGACACGCCTCCAGCCACTAACGGCCCTCTGACGCCCAGCGACTCCAGCATCAGCAGCAACCTGCAGGCCATGTCCTCCACGCTCTTCCAGGCCAAGCGCTGCTTCCGCCTGGCGCCCACCTTCAGCAACATGCTGCTGCGGCCTCAAGCCTCTTCCCCCCCGGGCATTCCCACCCCCACTGAGGTCTCTGCTCCCCCCTCCCAAGAGACTCCCCCTCCTCCTGGGGAGACACCCTGCGATATCAACCCCGGTACTGCCAATGGAAACACCACTGAAAATGGTAATGTTTTGCCTCATTTTAATGTGATGTGTTTTTTTTATCTGTGCTTTTTTTTTTCAGTTGATCAGTTTTATGCTTATTATCGTGTCACATCTAGACTTGGACTCGGACACAGAAGGCAGCCAACACAGTACTCAATCAGTACCGAGTGAGAAAACCCTCTTAGAGAAGCTGGAGATCCTGACCAATCAGGGGTTGATCCAGGTGGTGAAGGTGTTTGTCGACTGGCTGAGGACAAACACCGACATTATCCTCATGTGTGCACAGGTGAGGGGAGGAATGTCTTGTTTTTTTAAATATAAAACATTGACTTTGTCGGAGTATATCTAACAACATGCTTCCTTCTGCAGAGTTCTCAAAGCCTGTGGAACCGACTGTCTGTGCTGCTCAACCTGCTACCAGATGGCAGCAAGATGCTCGAGGCTGGTGAGTTACCGCATAAACATTTATCTTCCTGTAAAGCTCAGCAGGCGCACGATAGCACAACAGTATCTTGGTTTTCATTCCGTCTGGGTCCACTAATACAAAACATTTCCCTTGAGATACTGGGTAAAGTATTTAAAGGAGTAGTTAAACATGTCAAGAACTACATGTATTTGCTTTCTTGCTGAAAGTTTGATGATACTCTCATATCTGTATGCTAAATATAAAGCTAGTGAAAGTGGGTGATTTCCTTGGTTACGCATTATTATTGTCCAGCTAACCGTTAACCTCTATTAGCAGTTTTCAGAGCTAATGACCTGCTGGCTATATCTGAATTCTTAGATACAAGTTTCATGTGTGTAGGCTATCTTCTCATCTAACTTTCTGGAGAAAGAAAGTCAATTACTCTATTTCCCAAAATGTTAATCTATTAGTTTTAATGAGTGGTAAAAGAAAACTCCGGCTTACTGATAAAGATAATTATATTTTCATAATTTCAATATTATTATGTGCTGAATCATTTCAATAAATCATTACACTCATAGTAAAGTTGATGATTAAAAGCAAGTATTAAATACAAGTTTAATGCAGTTTGGTGGTGTGATTATTTATGTGGTTTTTCCATGTTGTGATTTGTATGTTGTCCATATCCCACAGCTCTTTATTTATCCCTGTACTGTGTGTACTAACTTAATAAACAGTGATAATACTGTGCTTTCTCTGTGTTTATCACACACTGATGACTGTGCTCCAAGTCAACAGCTCATGTATTTGTTTATCCGTGTGTGTGTGTGTGTGTGTGTGTGCCGCAGAGCTGGGTCTGAGTGCCGAGGTGACGGAGCTGTTAAATGAGTGTGAGCAGCCCGGTCTGATCCAGAGTCTGCTGCTGCCCGAGGACTTGGCCCTGCGACACCTGCCTGCTCTGAACGCAGCTCACCGCCGCCTCGACTTCACTCACCGCAACCCCTCCCTCAGCTCCCTACAGGAGGTACACACACACTAACACACAGACACACACGCAATTCATTTTACAGATGTTCAGTGATGGTTGAAAACTCAAAAAAAGCATAAGCTCTACCATGCCAAATACCATCATGGTAGAATTATTATATACCGTATGTTGCCTTTTGTGTTTTGGTCTGAGCCTAGTTTGCAAATATATTTAAACGGTCCTTATGAAAGACAGACCTACATAATTGTACATTATTTCTATAATCACTGAAATGTAAGGATCATCTATACACAGAACCCTAACCTAAGCATGGTAGAAGTGACAACAATTGCCACTATTTTAAAAACATTTATAACAGATTGATTGAAATGACCTCCTTTGTTATGTGTATTATATGTTAAAGAAACACAGATATATGTCTGTAAATCTTACCCCAACACTGAAACAGTGTCGTGTTAAAACACACACACGATAAACAAAATGGTTGTACTTTGAGTAAAACAAATGTAAAGTTCATTTATCCTGCCCATTATGTATTGATCAAACATAATACAGAGGCTTTGAAGTATTTCCTCCTCCCTCTTTCCTCCAGTGTGTGGTGCGAGTGTGTTGCATTCGCAGTTTTGGCCACTTCCTGACGAATCTCCAGGGCAACGTGCTGCACTTCAACCCGGAGGCGGGCATCTTCACCAGCATCAGCCAATCGGAGCAGGATAATCTGGTGCAGCAGGCAAAGGCCCAGATCCGAATGGTGAGTGACATTCAAACAGAGCAACGGGGAGGAAGAACCACAGGGGGCTGCATTCAGTCAACTCTCATTATTGTGTGCAGCTCATACAGTGAAAATGGTTTTGTGTAACTGTTGGACTCAATAAATGTTTGATTAATGACCTGAAATCAAAGATGGTTTTTAAGCAAAGCAAATGTCCCTTTTTAACGCCAACTCTCCTGTCTTTATCTTTATTTGTCCAGGCGGAAGAGGAAGCTCGTCGAAATCGCTTGATGAGGGATATGGCCCAGCTTCGACTACAGGTTTTTAATATTATCACTCTTTCCACTGACTGTTTACCCTGTCTGTGTTTCCCTTTGAAATCTGAGCATTGATACAGCATAGACCCAATGCTGTGCTCATACAGTCATCAGTGACAAAAGAGCAGAGTTCCCAGGCTTTTGGGAGAAAATGTATTCTCTTTTTTTATGTTTGTTAAGAAATAGAGCTTCTACAATAACCTTTATTATAAATTATAATTAAAGATATAATTAGTGAGGAACAATATTATCTTAAAGACAATGGTTAAGGTGACATGAACATGATTCAGTTCAAGTCTAAATCCTTCTAAACAGAGACATCTGATTGAGGTTGAGCATACCATATAGAACCCCTGATATAATAGTATATAAACCCACACAAACATCCTACATGAATCACTCCTAATCAGTTGTATTGTTTCTTCCCGTCTGTTCCCTGCAGTTGGAGGTGTCGCAGCTAGAGGGCAGCCTCCAGCAGCCCAAGGCTCAGTCCTCCATGTCTCCCTACCTGGTGCCAGACACAGCTGCTCTCTGCCAGCATCTGAACCTCATCCGGCAGCTGGCCGGCAGCGGCTGCTTCATCATCATCATCCCCCGGACAGGTCAGTGCCCCCAGCAGCACGGTGCGTGTGTTCAGGCCCCTGTGTGTAGCATAATAAACAAGGTAGAGGGTGGGGATTCAGAGATTTGATGCATTTCATGATCTCTAACTTTACAGCAGAGGGAGAAAATCATGCTGAATATATTATATAATATTATTATCTTCCATTCAGTTATCTCAGATAATGTTATTCCATATCTTTTACCAGGCTATCTGCAGGTTTTGAATAGAAAATGTCAGGTCATTTAATCCAATTATCAAACAAATAATTGGTGATTTCATCCTGTTGATTGGATTTGTCGTTTTCGTAATTTTCTTGGGCTCTTGATCAACCATAATAGGCTATTCTGACATGTTATATACTAAAAGAGTTATTGATTAATAAAAAGTTCCAGCCCTAAACACTGGTGGGGTGACAGCTGTGGTTTCAAGTGGCTTGACCAGCCGTGCATCGATGATAATACAAACAAGAAATGTGCCTGTTTAAACAGCCAAACCAAATGTTATTTTTTACTGTCATGACTATTTGTTCGGGTATTTCATCTGGACTATTTCTGTGTTGCAGTGATTGATGGGCTCGACAGGCTGAAGAAGGAAAATGCCGGTGCGAGGGACGGCATCCGCTTCTTGGAGTCTGAATTTCGCAAAGGAAACAGGTGGGTGTTATATTACATGTAAGGTAACTGATGGAGACCCTTGCTGGGTTTTTTAGAATTGGATGTTGATGGATGTCCTATATTAAAACTTAATACAATAATCTGTATGTCATCCTTCTGTAGGTACATTCGCTGCCAGAAGGAAGCTGGCAAAAGTTTTGAAAGAGATAAACTGAAACGTCAGGACATCGAAGCCTGGTAAACCCTGCTGCTCTTCTACATATACCTATATTTGATTCTTAACATACTCATGATTGGATGAGTGTGACCTCTATTCTGATTGGTCCTCCTTTTTTCTTTTTCTTTTTGTCTAGGCAATTATACAAGATGGTGGACAGTTGTCGTCAGCTCACAGTCTCCCAGAGCAATGGAGATGAAGACACAGCCGGCATGGTGACCATTCTCACTGACCATCAGGTGGAAGAGCTTTGCACTCGGTCCGCAGCGATGAAGGTCAGTCACTGATCTTATTGTGTTGAGTTACAGACACAAACACTCAGGAAGTTGACATTTTTCACGACAACATAAAGCTGTGGGATTTTCTTTTTGCTACAGTGGGGCCTTGGGTCTTTTTTTAATCTCGTTTTATGTTGTTTTAGAAAGCAAGAAGGACTACACCCTCAACTTATAAACAGATCCTCACAAACACACCTTTGGTTTTAAGCTTGTAGCCATTCGATTTTACACACTTTGTATTCAGTTTACTTTCACTTAAAAAAACGTGTTAGAAAAACCTTTGAATAGAATTGGGAGAGATGAAACCCTCTTTAATTAATGGTCACACATGCAGAGCACACAGCACACACAGTGACATGTGTTCTCTGCATTTAACCCATCCTAGTACCAGGAGTCTAGTACTAGGAGCAGTGGGCAGCTATTGCACAGTGCCCGGGGAGCAATGGGAGTGAGGGGGGAAGGGGGGTGTCCGGTGCCTTGCTCAAGGGCACCACGGCAGGGCAGGAGGTGAACTGGGACCTCTCCAAGTAGCAGTCCCACACTCCATATTTTAGGTCTGGTCGGGGACTTGAACCGGCGACCCTACAGCTCCCAGTCCAAGCCCCTACTGACTGAGCCACTGCCGGACAGTGCATACTGAGGACCGGTTTTGTCGCTCACGTTTTGTATAAATTTGAATGTTTGTTTGTTTCTCAGGCGGCGATCCAGGCCGCAGGCTCGGCGGGGATGGAGCTGAAGAACATCGTGGAGTTTTACCGGCAGTGGAAGGAGATCGGCTGAGAGTTTTAACGGGGGCAGCTGTCGGCGCTGCGAACAGCTGATCGATCACAACACTCGCTCCCTCTCTCTCTCCCACTCTTTTGCTCTGTGTGTATCTGCGTCTCCATAGGCAAAAACCAACTCAAAAGAAAGCTGAATCGAAGGAAAGAGTTTAAGCTTAGAGGGGTGGAAAAGTTAAAACAGTGGAGTAATGAATAAAAAAAAGAGGACTGCGGGCGAACTGGCGCTATAAGAAAGAGCAGATCTCCCACCTCCCAATCCTAAACATAAAGAGTGGTGCGGGGTGCGGAAACGGTGGGGGAACGCTACACAACTTTTTAAGTGCCCCTGGTTCACACCCTAACCAGGAATACACTGTATATGTTAGCAAACAAGTACATACGTGTCGAGAGAGAAACCGCACCACACATAAACACATTCATGCTCAGATGAATCCATATAGATGTTTAGAGCAGTGGTATGGGTTTTTTGTTCCCTCCTTCCCTTTCCCTTCAGTCTTTATTTGAGAAAAAAGGGTAAAGAATGTGCGAGTCTGGTAGGGCTGCGTTGATTTGGGAAGCCGAGGGTGTATGAAGACAACTTAAAGGCAGAGAAAACACTGTCCACCTGACACCTGAGGCTCCAGCCCAACAAAACAAACCAAGCGTCTCATAGCTCATAGGCCGCTAGGAAAGCTTGAGGAAGACAAATGTTTACTTCTCTGAGATCGGTTTCTTTCCTATGTGGCTTTTTTTCATTTTCATTTGGTTTTCTTTATTTGCAGTGTTCTTTGTGACCAGTGACTTATGTATTGTGCTAAAAACACGACAGGCTTTGCCCTGTTATAAGTTTTAATTTGGATTTTATTTTTGTACCCAAATGATGTTCTTTATTTTGCTTTTTGTAAGCTACATCTGAATGAGATACGCAAGAATGTTTAAGGGAAAGGGAAGGGGATGTTGTCGTGTGTTGATCCACTGAACAAATCCTTCAGTACTGAAATTAACCTATAATCCAGAATATATTTATCAAGGTGTCATTTTAGAGGGAGGCATGAGCTGATTAACCTCATGTTGTAGCTTTTCATCGAGGAGGCCCGGAGGAGAGGGGCCCGCTGACTTTCCCAGAGGACTGAGGGTAGTGTTTGGACCCCTATAAACTCCTAAAATGTATCCCATCTTCATCACCATTTCCATAGTGACTGTCCCATCATGCACAGTGCAAAAGAAAACCAGTATATGTGTGTGGCCATGCATTGAACAATAAAAAGAAACTCGTATAAGATGATGACTTCTCCCCTCTTCTTACAATTCCTCTGTGCCATCAAATTAATTGCTGTCCAACACAATTGCATTCCACCACTTTTTGCACATAAAGTGGACTTTAGTTTTCATGAACACTACTTAGCCTCTGAAAATATGTGTGCGATTACTTCAGTAGCTTCAAAGAGAGATCAAAATGTCAGTAGAGCAACACATGGGCCTGTATGGGTGTTTCAGAGACCAGTGGGACATGAAATACATTCCAGGAAGTCCTCTCAGTTACCAACACATTGCACAGAGGTTTCAAAAATGAGACCTGAAACTTCAATTCCTCGTGAATTCTCTCTAAGGACGTTTCTCAAACTAGGTCTCCATGTGCCATTCTTTCAGTTTTTCCTCTTGTGTCCCTCTCTAGTCCGGGCCCCATGCCCACCACTGACCGAGCACACTGAGTAAATAACCAATCCCCTTGCAGCAGGGTCAGTCCACTCCGACAAGACGGCTGGCACTGGGACTGGCCTCATTTTTTTGTTGGGGGGGGTTGGGAAACCTCACTGACCCAAGGCAATCCTCTTTCTGTGAGCCCATGAGGCTGTGGGGCTGCAGGAACCTCAGAGTAAACGGATTGGGCTGCAGGGACAAAAATGAGAAGTGTAAACATAAAAAAACGGCCATGAGTTAGATTTATTACTTGAGTTAAAAGCGCCTGTGATCTGTTTGGGAAATGTCCATGCAGGGGTCTGTGCTCGCAGTGGGCAAATGCCTCGACTGTCTAGAGTTTATGTGTAAGTAACCTCTTGGTTTTTGGGAATGTTTGGACTTCACATGTGCTCCTTATTAACCATTTCCTTGCATACATTCTCTCTCCTCTCCATTCAGACCCTAATGCCATACATGTTTGCACCTATGTTATTGATCCTGGAGCTCTTGCCCTCAGCATTCCCTCCAGACAGTGAAAAATAATCTTTTTTTTGTTCTTTTGCCACATCCAATGGAAAGAAGTCTCTGCCCTGAGGGTGGGATTTCAACATTGGGGGCTGCAGTAGTGTTTTATTTGGTTACTGCAGGAATGTGCAGAGGAAAGAGGGGGGCTGTTCAGTGCAATAGGGACAGGGCCCGACTCTGGAATGACAATGGATTTATAACTTCTTTTATTCCCAGAGAAGTATTTCTTCACTTAATTATCAACGTTTGTTATCTGTTCATCTGAACCTACAATGATCTCATCGGACACCTAAAGCTGAAAGGTCAGACCGGGTTCCTGCTTTGATCTGCAATAGTTCTGCAGCTTCTATCATTACACAAACAGCGACTCAGTGTTTTGTCTTACTGGAGACCCTTGTTTTTGTAAACTCACTCTCCTTACTCTCTTTAAGAGACTCTGGAGGTCTTTACTTGTAAGACACTCCCTGTTATTAGGAACTTCCATTTGTTAGGAACTTGACGCGCTGAATAGTACTTCCAAACACTTTGGGGATATCCCTCCCATGTTTTCTTACTTTCAAAGAATTGATTTGCACATGCTTTCAGTGTTTGAGCAGCCTGGGTCCAGATTAGATTATGTCTATTATTTTGTGCCCAAAACTATTAAAGGTGGGGTAGGTAAGTTTGAGAAACCGGCTCGAGATACACTTTTTGTTATATTCCATGGAATGCTCTTAACATCCCGATAGCAATGAATATCTTAAGTGCTTTGACAAAAAAATCCATACAGAAATGTCATCTGTGGAAGCCGTAATACTGTAAAAAGCACGACCAATCATTTTAGCGGCCCGGCTAAAATAACTGGATGGCCTACCTGCCTGTCAGCCTTTCATCTGTGCACAAACTTATCTCGTGCCCTCATTGGTCACGTGCGCGTTCGTGTGTGTTGGAGGAGGGGCTCTGTAAGGAAGTGGCAGATTTTTTCCGGCTGTGTATTTTCAAATTCTAGCGCACTCGAGCTGGTTTCTCCAAAAGTACCTACCCCACCTTTAAGTAATAATATTTGAATTGTGGATATATGTTCTCATTCATTTTTCAAGTTTTTTATTTATTTATTTTGGCTCCATCTTCATCTTAAATTATTATCTTTTGTTATTCATTCATTAACATTTATGGTACTTAAAGTGCTTGAGGACAATTTGAAGTGTACTTTATTTGGGTGTTTCCATCCAATCATGATTTAGAGATAAAACTATTGGGGTTTTGTTGTACTCCAATAGGTTAATTTGGTTGGATTATAAAATATGAGGCATCACTCTAAATTGAACTGGGCTACTTTTGCTTATGCTACCACACTCTTGCTTGGGTACATTTTGAATGCAGGGCTTTTTATTTGTAATGGGGAATTTTTATTATTTGATATTACTACTCTTAATTAACTTAAGTATATTTCACCACTGGTATTTGCTGAGTTTGCCTATCTTGAAGCCCAACCACTGCCTATGTTCACATTAACTTCAGGAACATTGATTCATGGTAGATAACTGCATGGTGAGGTGCGGCGCTTACCTCTGCCATACTAAGTCAAGTTTTCATCTTGCAATTAATTATTTATAGCTAATGATCAATCAATGGGTTCCTCCAACATCAAGCTCATACGGTGTTGTGCTTTTGTTAGGAAGCTAAAGTGTTTGGTCCTAAAATCCCAAAAAGTCATACCATACTTTTGCAAAACATTTGATGGGATCAAAAAGTTGTTTTGACAAAAACTCAATGTTTTTCTTTTTCAAAGAAAGGAGGATCCCACAGGCTCACATGAAGCCTCTCATTCCTCGAAAGCATGTAGAAATAAGTCAAAGGCAACTGGACTTGTGAAACCTTGAAAAATGGTGGTTGACTGACATGCTGGCTGTCATCGCTGTCATGTTACATTACCTAGGGTGGTTTAATACACATTTATGCATTATATTTTCGTTGCAAATACTTTTGTACTTTTACTCAAATTTGTAATTTGTGACTTTAGGTACAAAAAAGTTCTCATGCAGAATGAACCACTATTATAATTAGTGATGTGTGAATGTTGTTTTTACTAATCTTAATAGGCAAAGTAACTAAAGGTATAGCCTACTTTCACTGACGTAAAATCCTGATATGTAAAATCCTTTTACTTCTAAAAGAGTATTTCCGTACCCTGTGGTAGAAACTACAATTTTGATTTGACAAAAGCTAAAAAATGATAGTAGCCCATTTCTTTCACCCCACCTGGCTAAGTCTTTTCTTAGCACCTATGCTTACGGCCCCTACACACGGCGGCGTGCGTTGACGCTTCAACGCTTCTGCCCATTCACTTTGAATGGGGTGACGTCACGATTCGCCGAACTGCATTCTGGGAGCAAAGCGTAGCTTTTCTCGCGGTGCTCGCTGCAAAAGTAGAGCAATGTTCTACTTTTGAAGCTGAGGCGGAGGCGGCAGCCAATCAAATCCCGCGTATGCAAATCTGACAGTTCAAGCGCTAGCCAATCAAACCGCGTGTATGCTGAGAGAGCCAGACCGCAGTTCATTTCCTCATATGCCAAAAAATTGAGGAGAAAATAATCGGAGCGGTAGGGAATCACCCGGTGCTTTCAGTCCCTGTTCACCTACCGGGATACAAACCGGAGGAGCCAGGCATGGAGGGAGGTGGTAGAGACAGTGGGTGAAACTGGTAGGTTTTCGCCTGTTTGGGGAGTTTATATCCAGTGTACTTCGTTTGAATGGACAGCAGGCATAGACAGTATATTTAGCCACCATGCAATGTTGCATAAAATAGCACCATAGACATTAATTAAAAATCGCTTTTTAGACATTAATGTCTATGGTGAGATTCATACACGGGAGCCTTTTTAAAGCCTTTTTACCCCGCTGCAAACACGCCCACCGCCAAGCGGCAACGCACGCCGCCGTGTGTAGGCTGCGGATACATCTCTAGGAAAGCTAGTAAAACAATAAAATACCCTAAAAATAAACAAAGACAGCTGGTTTCAGAGATTATAGTTCGTGTTTGCTTGTTTTTTTCAAATGAACATGATAACATATTTCCACATTTATCGCTTTCTAGTATTGTCACTAGGCGTTGGACACATGGCTCGTGTTGTTACTCCAGTGATGCACGTGAGCACCGAGCAGCGCTTCCTACTGGCTCGCGGGAACAAGAGGAGTAAAAAAGTCGTTGAAGACCGGAGTGTTATAAAACCGAGAGACACAGAGGAGAGAAGACGCCCTGCAGAGGCTCTCAAACACGCCAGTAGCTTTTAGCGTTTTAACTATTTTAACACAGACACGCGTGGAGGCATCCTTTAACCTCCGCATGCCCGAGGGTCGCGGTAAGTCGAACAAAGTATTTGTGTGACAAAAACGCTAAGAAATGTGTTTCCTCGTTGTTCACTGTCCCTTTGTTGAGGCGAAGTTTTGCCTCCACCCTCCAGTAGTGCTGTTTGACTTCTCGCTGTTGCAACACCAAACCTGTGTGTTCAAGGAATTCCTGGAAATGAATGTTTAATGAGTAAAAAGGGAGAGGAAAAAAGAAAACATGCACGGGGTTGAAGGTTGAGACTCTGAGAATTGGCTTCATGTGACTGCAGTGTTTCCTGAAGGTGTGCTCTGGAGATGTGTCCAGGAGCAACTTAGAAATGTTCACATGGACTTGAACTCCTCTTTCCCTATTTACATCTCACTCACACAAGCCACGAGTAAGGGAATGTGTGTTTTGTAGTTTTACTTAATTCACTGGTGGTGCCACCTTCTAGAGTTGCAGCCTACTTTATTTTTCGATCATTGACCAATATGATCTACCATTTTGACGATCAATAAATGGATAAACAGTCATTTTTCATGCTCAAATGTAAAAAAACGACCTCCTTTTAGCTTCTCAAATGTGAGGATTTCCAACTTTTCTATGATTTTAAGCACTTCTTAAAGTTACAATTATTATTTTTGGAGTTTTGGACTGTTGGCTGGACATTTGAAGATTCTGGGAAATTGAGATTGATATTGTTTACACTTTTCTGACCGGTTATATATCTTATTTTGTTTATTGGAGGAAGTTCACAGCAATGAAAATAATCATTAGTTGCAGTATTATCTATTTAATGTTGCTGTTTTTCTTTCACTGCAGCTAACCACCTTTTTACAGTTGGACTGCAAATTCTTGTTGCACATGATGTACAAAAAGTGTTCAGGTACTGCAGTAGAGCAATGAGACAGGGTAGAGGTTACAACATGTGCTCATGTCGACACACACACACACACACACACACACACACACACACACACACACACACACCCCCAGGTCTTCTCTCTCATCCCTACATGTAAGACCTCATATTTAATTAGCATTGACTTGAAACCGGTTTCTATTTAACATTGTGTTCCTTTGTGTGGGACACAGTCACATGCTATGCTGATTGATGACTTTGACTGTTAGCTAGTATTGAGAAATGTTTTTTTCTTTAACAGCTCCAAGATCTTTTAACAATGAAAACATAAGATGCTTTCTCAGAAGTTAACGGGTTTGATGTTTCAATGAGAGTGACAGTTAACTCTGTTCCAGCTGTTATCCATGTGATGTGAGAACATAATGTTACATAACGTTGCGTAGTACATTCCTTTAATGTGTAATTCAGACTTTTTCCAGGAAGGGGGTGGTGACCAAGTGAAACACCTTCTTGAAAAAAAGTATTTCAGCATGACTTCAGGCTGAAAGCCAGAAGAGGGAAGTTATAAAAAACAGTCTGAGGTTTAGCATATGTTCCTGTGTGCTGGGTTACCCCACGAGGTGTGAAATACACAAAGTAACCTCAAAGTAACACTGTGTCAGGGAAGAAGTGCTTTGTGCTAATGGAGGAGAAATTAAAGCTGGATTATTTTTCTTAGTGATGATTTTATTCGAATAATTGTCAGAAAGTTGTGAATACCAAAGATGAACTCTTCAAATAGCTAATTTTGTTTGTCTAAAACCTAAAGATCTTCACTTTTCACTGATGTAGAACAGGGTTAAGCAGCAGATTCTCCTCAGCTAAAATGATTAATCGATATACAGAAAGTTATATTAATTACTCAACTGTTTGACTTATTTCATTTTAAGGAAAAATGCCATAAAATCACTTGTTTGATCAACTCAACATGACAAGTGTGTATACAAACATACATTAATTCATACATGCATGCACATGCCTCAATGTGTGTACAAATCTGCTTAAACAAACAATCAAATCAATACAAATCTGACTTTCTGTTCTTTTTCCTATGTGGAGCACGATCAGGCATCCTGTGGGTGGTTGCCGAAAAGAATTCTGCGGAAAATAATCAATTTGATCCCAGTTTAGGACGTTGTAAATTAACCATTTATAAATAATCACAACATGTCACACAATTAGTCTTTCATTGACATAAATGCATTAATGATCGTGGAAACTCATTTATTAACAGTACGTGCGGATGTTTTTTGTTCTGAGCGTGTTTTAGCGGGACAGTGGACTACTCTATGGCGTATGCAGCAGAACGAGAACATGTTGTACAAGGCTCATGTGTGTCTGTCTGTGTGGGCAACATGCTCTCTTGCAATAGCCTTCTTATTGTCAGCCTCTGGCCAATAAAGAAGTCCATTGAGAACGGTCATGTGACGACATCACGAGTGAGTGGGAAAGAAATGTGGTTGTCTAGAAGAACAAAAAAAGAAGGAGCTGTTGTTGGGGTCATGTCAGAGTTGCCACAGGATGTGCAGGTACCAACGGCAGCCTGGAGGTGAAGGCAGAGGTTTCACTGCTCACTGTTTGCTTATGAGCCGTCAGATAACACCTGGCATGTCACAAAAGACTTGTATTCCTCGTGTTTGCTGAGTAAACAAAGTAGTGTCACTTTGCACACACTGAATGTGTAAAAAGTAATGAATGGAAAGCACTACTGCAATTGTAAAGTCTGATAAATTGACTATATTGAAATATATATAAAGAATCTCCGGGCATGGAGTTGTGTTTCCCAGACTTTTGAAGCTCGCTGCTCCTCTGTTAGCCACAACTAGCATAACACCTGAATCTCCAACTAAACTGTCAGCTGTCAGGTTGCATTGTGGGTACCATAGGCACCATGTTTTTGTAAAGGAATAAGTATTTATGGAATGAAAAACAGATCATCTGATTATCCTGCATCAGTTGTTTATTTTTTTTAACTGTTCATTGACAATGTTATAAGTGCATTGTGAGTCAGGGAAGAAGTCTTTTAATACGATGTGTGTTTCATTCTACTTCAGCAAATTGGGTTGGAAATAAATTGACAATGAGACCTTCAGATTTATAGAAATAGTTTGCTTTCATTGCATTTTTGCTCAGTTAGAGAAGAAGTTCCTGCACAGTTATGATGTGGATTTAGACACCTACTTACACCTCTTATTCATTGTATCTGTTTTAATCCAATATATTAAACCAACATGAAATAAATATCACTATTTCAATACTTTTCACTGAATTGTGCTTAGCCAAAATGAAGTATTTGTGAAATAAAATAAGTGTGAAGCAGAGCATGTTAAGCAGATGGACAATATAAGTTTCGGATGTTTACCTCAGGGATAGAGGAGAGGTCAGAATACATTTCAAGAGCCAAGAATGTCTAATATCAAAACAGAACTTCTGCAAGTTCTAAACACCCTTAGTTTCACTTTGACATGACTTTCTTAGCTGTACTGGACAGAAAGAGCCACATGTATCTTCTCAATATGTCCATGAAACCACAGTTAACTTCTTAAGGCTGATGTTATCGTTTTGCGGGAGGATGCTTGCAAGATTTCATCAACCACTTTAACAAAAAGCCCATGCCAAGTTAGAGAGGATCTAAATAGGGAAAACAGGTTTTCAGCGTCAGATTTTCAACCCTGTCTTAAAGGTCTGCATGATGAGGTTTTATCTAACTCAGCAATGTGTTTTATATCATGTGAAGTTGAACTTGGTGGCTGACTCGGTTGTTACATCAAATGAGCAGGATGACCTCAGAAAGCAGGAGGTGGTGAAGAGGAGTGTGTTTTTGGTCTCTGCATGCTTGAATGATGCTTCACCTCAACATTGAAATATCATTGGTTTCGTAATTCCTAAAGAGCTGAAGTCAAATGTGTTTATTTCACCACATAGTGTGTGATTTTGGTGAGTCAAGCCGTAACGCAAGTTCAGTTTTCATAACGGAGTATTTATCTGCTCATTTTGTAGACTTCTCATTTCAGAGCTATACAAAAAAAACCACTCACTTTCGGTCCTACTTTCTTGTGCTTTATTGAATGAGCCACATGTCGTGCTGAAGTTCCTCTTGTAGTCAGTCTTAAGCTCGAAACTCTCACTAAATGCTGTTGTTGCTTTTTATGCTTGTTGGACAGCATGTCAGGTCACGTACTTCCTGGGTCACCAAGGTCTGAAAGGCTACGTGCACAAGTGTCTCTTTATGTCAATGCTCAAGAGTTGTTTGCCTCATGCCCACAAACATTGTGTCAACTGTCCAGAATCACAATTACTGTTGAGTTGTTTTGCTTCTAAAAGCTGCATTCTGATCGTACATGTCATCTTGTATCTCTCATGGCCAGTTATCCTCCAATCTAGATACATTTTGCATGCATGCATTAATGTTACCATTCAAATCCAAGTTTGCAAAAATATTCCAGATCTTGAAGCGGCTATTCAAATCATTGGTGCCACCTGATCTGAATTCAAATGAGTTTTTTTTTCTCACGCTGCAGTGAACCCAGTGGCTTTTCATAGCTATTGTCATTGACACAAGGTGTGTGTGTGTATCCAGCCGTGATGAATGCAGGATCCAGCGTGCACGCATGTCAATGTTCAGATTATTTTGTAATCTGCTCAAATGATATCCAGCCGTGATGAATGCAGGATCTGTACCAGCGTGCACGCATGTCAGTGTTCAGAATATTTTGTCTCCATGGCAGGACTCTGTGTGTGAGAGTGTGAGCAGCCTCATTTCCATCCAGTGCCGTGTGTAACAACGCTTCAGCCTGCACAAAGCTCACTTTGTCACAGTGAACAGGCCAGGGCCTGCAGCTGGGCTGGAGTGAGCAGAGGCCGCCTCGTGTTACCCCCCCCCCTCTGCAGGAGAGGAGCCCCTCAAAGTGTGAGCTGTGATGACAGGAGCCTATCAGGTCCAGCAGAAAATAACAAAACTCTGAGACACAGGCAGGTCAATAACAACACGGATTAAAGTCTGAAAGCAGCTCAGTGTTTCAGTTTAAGAAATCATTTGGTTCATTTTAAGAATATAAAATTACTATTAAAGGTGGGGTAGGTAAGTTTGAGAAACCGGCTCGAGATACACTTTTTGTTATATTCCATGGAATGCTCTTAACATCCCGATAGCAATGACTATCTTAAGTGCTTTGACAAAAAATCCATAAAGAAATTTCATCTGTGGAAGCCGTGGCGCTGTAAAAAGCACGACCAATCATCTGAGCCGGCCCGGCTAAAATAACTGGATGGTCTACCTGCCTGTCAGCCTTCCATCTGTGCACAAACGTACCTCGTGCCCTCATTGATCATGTGCGCGTTCGAGTGTGTTGGAGGAGGGGCTCTGTAAGGAAGTCTGAAGGAAGGGGCAGATTTTTTTTCGGCTGCGTAGTTTCAAATTCTAGCGCACTCAAGCTGGTTTCTCCATTCTTACCTACCCTATGGCGCGTTTCCACTACAGCGCGCAGCCCGGTTTAAGAGGGCTGTGACGTCAGCGGCCCGTCTTTGGTTGCGTTTCCACTTGGCCTAGTACCGGCCGGCGGGTCCTAATTCACAGTTTTTCTGGCCTCATAAAATCGCGGGTCTAGGGCCAGAGACAACGAGGCTGAGTCGGGCTGAGTATGCTAAACTAGAGAGAGAATCGCTGGCAAGGGGGCTACAACTACAACAAGATGGACATATTTGACCGTGATTTAATTGTAATACACATTTCAAAATGATGCCGAAGTAACAACATACTGATACCGGTTAGTAAAAACCATGAATTAATGCTTTGTCAAGTCTGCAGACAGACGGCAGGCGAAAAACCTTTTAAAATGCGTGTGTTCTAAATGGAGATTGGCTAAGCTAACGCAGTATATGCTCCGACCGTCCACACTCACAACAATGGCCTATACAGACATAAATAAAGCAGCGACTGTATTCGCCATGACACAGGCAGTCTGTGGTTTGTACTTGTTTAACTTTTGTCTAGTTTCTGAACATATATGAGGAGCTGTGAGCTCTGAGTGCTAACAGCTAACGGCTGTGTTGTTTTTTCTGGGGTTCTCTGAAGATCACGTCACGGCTCCGCCTACACTGCGTTACTATAGATACTGCCCCAGTTCCTAAACTGTAATGGAAATGCGCCATAAAGTGAGCCAGTCCCAACGAGGCCCAGCCATACCGAGCGGGGCCGAGCGAGGCCGTGTAGTGGAAACGCGCCATTGCTGTACCTTTTTAAAATTGCGATCTGGTGGCCAAACTATTTCTGAATTACATAAGGCTGCGTTTTTCTTCATGATAACACATTCTTCTAAGTACATCCTCTTCGCACCTTATTGATTTACACAGCAGTGTGACAATGTCAGGCATTCTTCAAACTGATGTCTTGGTATGTCTGACGCTCAGACACAATAAGAGATTGTCCTCAGTGTCTCTTCAGTCAACACACAGCACTCTCAGGACCCTGTCATAATAACTTATCAATGCTTATATACAGGGGTTAAATTGGGCCGGAGCTGTCCGGGGCTCAGCCCCGGCACATAGGACGATGCTCTGACGTCATCACCCTCGCTCATTTGTCATTTGTTTAAGCCATATGTTAAAACATCTCTCGTTCGTAATATAGACTTTATTTAGGGTCGATATGTGTTGACTTTACTTTAAAATAGCAGATCTCTGTGACAGGATATAGTTTTTCAGCTTAGTGAACGTGTGTCTCTGCTCCGATTGTGTGTGTGTGTGTGTGTGTGTGTGTGTGTGTGTGTGTGTGTGTGTGTGTGTGTGTGTGTGTGTGTGTGTGTGTGTGTGTGTGTGTGTGTGTGTGTGTGTGTGTGTGTGTGTGTGTGTGTGTGTGTGTGTGGTGTGTGTGTGTGTGTGTGTGTGTGTGTGTGTGTGTGTGTGTGTGTGTGTGTGTGTGTGTGTGTGTGTGTGTGTGTGTGTGTGTGTGTGTGTGTGTGTGTGTGTGTGTGTGTGTGTGTGTGTGGCCTGCAGCGGTACCGCCAAACCCCCGACCCGTCTTGTAACACGGAGCCCGTTTCCTACACCATCAGGGCCGGTTCTAACCAATTTGCTGCCCTAGGCGAGATTTTAGCTGGCCAGATCGGTTTACATTTTAATAACCAAATATGTGAATATATCCATAACCAATAACCTACCATAGCCAATAACAAATAAATGTAACTTATTTTATTTTTGTTGTTCATTCATATCTTGTTTTACCTAGTTAACATTTATTAATGCATATTTTTTTATATCTCCAGTTTTAAACGATATTTTTGGTTTACTGTCCTATAGTATACATTGAAATGATTTCAAACCTGTTTAACCAAATAATTATAAAGGAGTGCCTTGGAAATATTTGTTTACATAAATTGCATTTATCTCTCTCGCTCGATCCCACGCCCACTTTAGCTGTGAGCTGCGGACGCCTGATAAGCCAACACCCCCCACTTTCATCACTTACAGCGCCCGTCAGGGCAAATGAAAAGTGTAACCGGGGTGAAAAGGGTGTTACATTTACTTAATTATGAATGTTGTTACATCAAGGCCGAAAATTAGGAAAAGCGCAAACAGTCAAAAAAGATTTCCCTCCCCAGATCTGGCGCCCTAGGCGACCGCCTATGCCAAAAAACCGGCCCTGTACACCATGCTAAATGTGTTGTAAATGAGTTATGATCAGTCATAATAACACAGAATTTGGTGATGATTAAATAGTTTACAGTGAGATTTACTCCCATACTTTTGGCCATACTCACGCAGCCCTACAAATGAATTGAGATTTCCACACAAATGTTCTTTAGCAAGTGTGCAGAGCAGTGTTGATTTAAAAAAGCAATTTGAAGGTTGGATATTTGTAAACCTTTTTTTGTGTATATATATTAATAATTTAAGATGTAAATGAATTCCAGTTTATTTGTAGTACTTTCTATTTTTATTGTGACATTTGGTGGCATCAATGTGTGCATTTGATACAGATAATGGAGCAGTTGCTTTAGGGCCACAGTGTATATCCCTTAAGGTCAAATAATGAGATCCTCGACCTCCGCCCCCCTCTCGCACCTCCACACAGAGCCCCCCCACATATCAAATCCCACCTTAACCCCTGCTTATATAACATTCGCTCTGTGACTATCATTGCAAAAATGAACCTAAAACAAAATGTTCCAAGGTTTTCTGTCAGTGACTGATTTTTTTTTTAACAATGATGGAAAAGTCTGAAGGCCGTTGATCAGTCTTGTTTTGTCTCTGTTCGTCTTTTCTCTCAAAGCCATTGATAAATACATGCTATAAGATTATTCAGTCTTCATTTAAGTAACATTTTATTGAAAAAAAATATAAATATGTTGTCAATTGGAAGGTTTTGGATATAATGATGAATTCTGCTTCAATCCAAATTTGAAAGCCTTTAGAACAATTTTTTTTTTAAGCTGCTTTTGAAATCCTCAAACAGATACTTTGAAACTTAAGACATTTCGTAAAGCCTATTTCTATTTACAGAGATATGACTCGGCATGTATTTTTTTCAGCATACACAGAATGAACAGCCAGCAAACCATGAGGGAAAATCTTCTAAATAAAAAAGAAATGAACTAGATTGAAAACACAGACTCCACCTTTTAATTAATTATCATAAAAAAAAAATGATAATGTCAGACAACAAGTAAGTCTAACACACTGCTCTGGAGCAACGAACGACCATCAAACCCTGATCTGTAGGCCTCAGGGACATGAGGACACACTGCAGTACATCGCTAAAGTAGGCACAAGCCTGAAAATGTAAAGGTTTAAAAGTGACAATAAGAATCTTAAAATGGATCCTGAAGTTTTTTTCTGTTCTGTTGGTGTCTCATTGTGTGTGTTTGTTTTGTGTCCCTGCAGTGTTCCCGGTGTGGCGGGGGATCGGGGTCGGTGCTGGCGGGGGGGGCAGCTGGATCCAGGACTGGGGCCGCTGCCTGCAATGGGAGCCTGACAGTCCAGGAGCAGGGGCCCGGATCCCGGTGTTCGACTACCCCGTGTGGGTCGTCCTCTGTCAGGGGGGACGCGCCAAGCTCAGGGAGGTCTGTCAGAGAGGGAGGGGGGCCATCAGACTGCCCAAAGACATGCTCAGCATCAAGCTCCCCCAGCTCTTCGACATCCACCAAATCCCCAAGGTGAGGAGGGGGAACTCAACAACATTTATGGGGATCTTGGTTCAGTTTGCTTTACGCTGCTGATAAAACCTCATATTCCGAAGTGATTCTCAGTTCAGGAAGTAGCCCACAGTCACTGATTATTAACAGGTTAGGTATTAAGTCACACAAGGTAGTGCTCCATTGAGAGTAATTGTAGATTCAGAAAGGTGTGTTTCATGTTGTGATTAAAAAAACAAATAGGGCTGAACGATTTGGAATAAATATCTTGTTTTTATTATTAATATTTGTAATGATATTGCAATTGCAAAATGATTCAAGATATTGAAGGGAATTAGTTTTGAATAATTATAATTCATTGAAAAATCACCAAAATGATAATGGTGCCTTTTTTCAATTAGTAGGCAGCGACTTCTCAGCAGCGCAACAATACTTACCTCGGAAAAGTGTTTTGGTATATTTTGCCTTTTTAAGATGTATCATGCATCCTCTGATGCCCATATGGCATTTTTAATTGATACCGTTACATTTTTGTAACAAGCGTCTTAATTAAAAGACGCTTAAAAAATGTCACATCCTGATAGTCTTTTTGACAGGAAGGATTCGCAAACATCATCGCCTTCTTCCTTTCTTTCTCTGAAACTACAAACAGCTTACCTCCCAGTAGTTATATACCATAAACAAAACAATTTGCTGTTCCTAAAAGCCACAATCAATGTACATACATGAGATCAAACATCCACGCCTTAGCAGGAAAGATCTGTGCTAGCTGCTTGTGGCGGAGATCCCGTCCTTGAGGAGGCCGAGCCCTGCAGTTCAAGCATCTGCGTTGGCAGGCGTCCACCAGACTGGATCTTATCTGATAAGCAGTCAATGCTGTCGTGGTCCACAATATCCAGTCTCAGCGTCAAGGGCTGAAATATGTGTCCTTGAGTTTGCGCAGTTAATCACGTTTCTATTACATTATTTCTGTGTTCAGGAAACGTTGAGGAGTTCCTCTGCACAGCTGACTCGCAGTGTGATTGCTCATCAGGAGTGTGTGTGTTCATCAGGAGTGTGTGTGTTCATCAGGAGTGTGTGTGTTCATCAGGAGTGTGTGGCCGTTTCTCAATCGCGAGGATATTGGCTTCCAAGCCAATATTTCAAGGATGCTACATCATCGAGTGCCGCCGAAAAGACTGTTCCAATCTCCAGCATACTTGGAATTCCACCGAGGCCGCGTCCTTGGTTTGGGGGAAATTTCGAGGCTGCACATGGGTAGACTTCACGTCCTTAAAATCCCCACAATGCTTTGCGCATGGACCAATTTCCCCAAATCTGTGGCGGAAGATGTAAGGCGGGGCCTCTCATATGACGCACACTTGCTAGCCTGTTCCACTCTTTGTTTTCCGAATGCCAGGAAGTATTCTTGCCTCGCTTCTGAAGCAAGATGCTCGGCTCGGCTGTGCTACCAAGCCAGCATCCTCACGATTGAGAAACGGCCTGTGTGTGTTTGTTCCTCAGGTGTTCAGGGAGGAAAGCATCATCTCTGGATACCGCCACCCCCACAGCTCAGCGCTGGACTGCGTCCTCAGCAGCTTCCGGATGAACAACGAGACGGTCAACATCTGGACCCACTTCCTGCCAACATGGTGAGTGCAACTACAGGGACATCTGTGTTTTTTTTAAAGATTTGCCTTGCTCCATCAAATGGCTAACATTAGACAATGACCACAAGATCAACATTCACTACTGTGTTCAACCTGGTCCAAAGTATCAGTACATTTCATTTACCACTTGAAAAAAAAACATATACAAAAGTAATACCTTTACTTACTTTGCACTTAGGTCATTTATATCTTAAAAAGCCATACATAAAATGTCTTTCTGTATCTTGTACACGTTTTGGGTTATTTAAAGCTGGTGTACTTGCTGTTCTGAAATTGTATCCTCACCGTTGATTGCATTTATTGTTAGTGGCTTTGGATGAAAAGCGTCTGCTTAATCAAATTTGAATGTGACATAAAACCACATTTGCTCAAACAATAGATATGGAATGATTTTTTCTTAAACCAGGTTGTGACGAGTTGTATTCAAGACTTATCTTATCTACCGCTGAGAAAACATGGAAGAGTTTGTAAGGATCAGTAGAAGTATGAGCAGTATCTGTGATGTAATCCCTCAAATCCTTCATAGTGCTGCAGGTGGCTAAAATGTACCCTAAAGAACTTTTAGATAGGTGGGAAAAAGTTCCTCAAAATATAACGAGCCTGAATCCAAACAAACAGGAGACTGAGATCAGGATGATGGATACATCCAAGAATAACAGCTCTGAAAAGTGAGGGACAGTTTTGAGCTTATTGTCATGCTTAAATAAGACAAACTGGTGTTTTCAGGTACTTCCTGTGGCGTTTCTTTGCGCTCTGCTCCACGATGAACTTCCTGACGGACAGCTACACCTGGCCGCTGCTGGTGTACATGCTGCTCATCTGCATCTACCCCTTCACCTCCAGCTGTGCTCACACCTTCAGCACCATGTCCCCAGAGTCCCGCCACATCTGCTACTTCTTCGACTACGGAGCCATCAGCCTCTACAGTCTGGGTAAGACTCAAGACACATCGGGAAATCCTGAAAATGGAAGCTTTGGTGCATATTTTCGTCTTAGCAGAACTCAGATGTGACTGTCTGAATATAGGCTTGATGCTCTTCCTCAGTCATGAACATTAAACATTCAAAAACTACAGTGAACAGGAATATTACTGGTCCATCGAGCCACAAATATCTTATGGACGTTGCTTTAATGAGTATTTGAGAAAAGAAGGGTGAAATAAGCTATACATGAAACCTGGTGTGGTACCGTTTGTAGCAATAATTGAATTTCAAGAATGCTGACTAGGCATCGTAAAGGGAACTATAATTTATTACTTACCCTGCAAATGACATTCTATTTGCATTTTTTGCACCCCAGGCAGCATATGCCTCACAATCAATTATCTGATGGATATTATTTCCCTGACACAGTGCAGAAGCCTTGTAAGAATTCAAAGCTTTTTGCATAGGTTATTTCAAAATGTTTTCTTGCTGCACCTGCTGTCACTGTCAGTTTGAACTTGCATGACAGGTTTTTGTGGGTGTGTTTGTCGTTAATAAGGTGAAACTCCTGTATTTACTGTCTATGTATATGTTTAGTGTGTGCATTTCTCTTACGAAGAAATATACAATAGTGTACATTATTGGTGTCTTTATGATCCCAGCACTGAAAGACCTGCAGTCAAACATTCAGAAACTCAGGCTTCCTCCCTTCCCTTTACAGTGCTTTGTTCACATACTGATCCTTAATCACAAAGCCTCTTAGTGCCCAGATTGGCCCAGTTCCAAATGTTCAAAAGTCCTTATGGGTTTTCTCTGGGTTTCTCCCTGCAGGGTTAGGGAGACTTTACAGTAGAAGTTACACCTTTTGAAATTGTTTATTAGTACACTGAAAAGGCTTCAGGTGGGCAAATCCTTGCTCGAAATTCAAAAATGTTTAGATCTTGAAATATTCCCACCTTGGCGACCTCCAGTGGTTGAATCAGAGATCACACTGTAGCAGACTGCAGCCTTTCTTATGTGATACTCTCTGACACCAGAAAAAACATCTACAAGCTGTGGTTTAAAATGCCAAGTGTAATTATTTCAATGCATGCATTTCTGTTAAAGAAAAAAACAACAGTACCTAGAATGACGTGATTTTTAAAGTAAAAAGATTTTGCAGAAGAGGTAGGAAACTAAACTTTATACAAAAACCTCACAGTCCAACTTCAGTTCCCCTATTTTTACTTTTTCCAATATCCTGTGTTTGTGTTCAGGGTGTGCCATAAGCTACGGGCATTATGTCATGCCAGACGGCTGGGTGAACACCTGGCTCCATCAACACTTCGCCCCCATCGCCATTGGAAACACGGTGCTGTGCACCAGTCTGTCCTGCTATTCCAGGTAAGAGCTCGATGCACTATCTACTCCTCCTCAGGCTAAGGATGTCAAATACATTTTTCAATGTCAAAGCCTTACATTTGTGAGAATCTTGCTTTCAGGAGTTTGGTTAAGATCAAGTAAATGTGCTCAAGGTAGTTTGGAAGAAGGAATAATATGCCTAGAGCTTTCAAAAGATAGAAAGATAGATGGATGACCTCTCTGCAATGGCACTTGATTTATATAAATGTGACTTCTTAATGTCTGAAAGGTTTCAGTGTTTCTCTCAGAATGTGGTTGTCACGATTGAAACTCCACTAAAACAGCATTAACACTGTCATGTGACACTTAAACTATTCACTGCAAAACAAATTAAATCATTTTTGACTTGGTAGCTCTTTATCTTAAATAGTGTACTTGAAGCTTATAACATCATATAGTAGATGTCTCTGTGGGGTCACCACAGGGTAGTTGCTATGTTTTATCTGATCATTTCTCCATGTGTGTGTGTCCCTTTTGCTACGTATACATATAAATGTCCTCTCTGTGTCTCCACAGGTTCCTGGAGCTGCAGTTCCCCCAGAGGAGTAAAGTCCTGAGGACGGGAGCGTTTGTCCTTCCTTTTATATTTGACACTGTTCCTCTGTTTTACAGGGTGAGTGTCTTTGGGTCTGCTCTCACTCACATATTATAACAGTGTGGATAAACTGTGTGCACAGAATGCGTAGTTTTATGAATTTGTGTCATTATGCAAGCGCTGGGAGCGGATTAGTGCCATGCTTTAATACTTTGAGCAATGCTGCAATTAATAATAATTCCTAATCACTGTTAGAGAATCTGCAACCATTAATGCCCACCCTGACACTTTTTAAACAGTATGTTATCTTCTTGATTTCTATTGTAAGACTTTTAAATAAATATGTTGTTTTTTAAGTGTTTTTCTAAATATTTTACTATTAAACCTGTGTGTTTTTCTGCGTGTAGATCCTTCTGTGCTGCGGGGGAAACTGCCTCCCGAGCGAGGCCCTGTCCAGTCACTGTTACCACCTCGTCTTCGCCTTCCTCACCTGTTTCCTGTTTACCTCCCACTTCCCGGAGAGGTTGGCCCCCGGGCGCTTCGACTACTTTGGTATGTCCTCCATGATGTTGTTGTGGCCTGTAGCTAGCTCTGCACAGCATATACTGATAAGTACTTCAACATGGTGATGCCCTGGTTGAGGAAATAATGATAAAGGTTTATTTAAGATGCTGTATCCCCAGTTTCTACTGTTTAACTGTGGTTGAGTTCACTTTAAGAACTGAAAGGTTGAGAATAAGCTAGCATTTAGAGTAGAAAAAGCTGGCATCCTTACATTTTTTTATTTGCCGTTTGCTTTTTTCTGTTCTCCCTGCTTACTGCTGGACACTACAGACACAACAAAGCCTCTGCATCAAACAGACCTTTATTTGACGGAGTGTAAACTAACTTTTCTTTCTGTTTCTTTGCTCATAAAAAGGTCGTTATCTTAAAAATCTTCTGTTCCTGTGGTTCACACACTTCAGGATAAAGGCAGAGCTGCTGTGTTTCAGATACTGATTGTGCAACATGGCAGAACAACGGCTTGGTTTGCTTCTGTCCTTGGAAATAGAAGTTAAAACACAGTCACGTCTAACATGAAATAAGGCACTTCATTAATTTAGGTAATTGGAACAACACTTTAGATTCTTAGTTTCATAATTGGCCATCTCCCTAAAGGTTTTATAGCAGGCTTCTACTAAAACATTTTTTTTTGTCGCTGTCCTCTTTGTGTATCAGTGTCCTTCTGTGTTCCTTTAAACCTTTTTATTACATGGCTTAGTTGAATACTCGATTCTGATTGGTCAATTCAGAACACGTGACACGTTGTTAATCCAGTAGTACAGACCGCTGTCAAGGACTTATTGACCGTTGTTAAGGACGCTCACATCTGCAGAAAGAAGTCTGGTCGATTTAACTGTATACAGTTTGGCTGAAAACCGTTTTCAAACTGTTTGCTTGTCTTTTTAGGTTTCCGTTGTCTACCGTCTGAGAGCAACATGGAGGATTTTAATATTAATTTTAATATATTTGGAGAGCACAGTAATTTGGATGAATGGTTAGTGGCTGATGAGTCCCCAGCCAAGAAAAGAAAAAGACAAGAGGGACAAGAAAACAGCGGAGAAGTAACAGGGCAGAAACCCTCCACACGGAGCTACGGTCCTTTTTACGCGACGGTCCAGACATAGACATCAAACGGCAAAACATATTCAGTGTGCAGTTCCTTTGGCATCAGGGCAGGGATATCTAGATACTTTCCAAGGTTTGACATAATGAATTGTGCTACTTTTAAAGCAAGTAAAGATGTTTTCAAATCTGTAATCAAAAAGCTCTGCAAAAACGCCTGCCGCGTTCCTGCCGTTGCTACGTAGTTCAAACGGTAACAACGGACTATTTTTCTTAGCGGATGCATTTCATTTTAAATCAATAAAACAATTTTTTAAATCAATAATACTATTTTTTAAATCAATAAAAACATTTTCTAAATCTATAAAAGCATTTCAATTAATATTGGGAGTCATGTCGTTACTTTGTTGAGAATGTGGCCTTGTGATACATTTCATTACATTACATGTCATTTGTTAGACGCTTTTATCCAAAGCGACTTACATACATTCAGTACTGTGGACAATCCCCACAGGAGCAATTTGGGGTGAAGTGTCTTGCCCAGGGACACAACGACATGCTGACTGCAGTGGGACTCGAACTTGGTACCCCCTGATTAGAAGTCCAGCACTCTATCCACTGAGCCACAGCCGCCCTCCAATAAGCTGGATAATGTGAGATCCCGCTTGGCGTCGGGCTCCTGATCTGCCTGTCGGCTGTTCTTTTACCCATAACGACCGCCTTGCTGCACATTATCCCTTACATAACAAGTTGCTCTTCAAAATAACAAAACCTGCCATGAATAATTCAATCAACCAATGAATTGACGATGCATCAAATATAGTCTTTATCAGAATATTAAATTATTAATGGTTTGATCCGCAAGTGATATCTTAATGTTGTGGTGATCTGACTATAGTACAGCATCTCCCTACGGTTGCATTGTATAAACTGTTATAATGTATCATACTTAATTATGTGAGCGCAGCCAGGGGAAATATAATAATAACTTGTTTGATTTGAGATTCATTGTACTATTATAAATGCCAAAGAAAAGCATCACATTTGGAAACCGGTAATGCTTGGCATTTTAGTTTGAAATGACAAAAATGATGAATCAATTATCAGAAGAGACACTGTGATATTGACTAAATGTTGCAGCTCTTGCTGAGATACATACAGATCATTCCACTTGGTTATATTGGTTCAAAGACAGCCATCATTCTTTATAGAAAACAAACTATTATTAAGCCATAAAATGTCAGGGGATATTTAAAAAATGCCCCTGACAAGGTGACATCTTTTGAATATCTTGCTTTGTGCATCTTACAGCACAAACCGAAAGATGTGCAGTTTGAAATCATTTGAAGACGGAAAAGAGCAGAAAATGTTGGACTGAATGGATTAATAAAACATTCTTTGCTCCAAGGGGAACTTGCTTTGAAGGGAGACTACAAAAGAAAATCAAATGTAGCCTAAAATAACATGAAAACATGAGCATCATAAAATATGATAAGGAAACATCATTTGTGAGACAGATAAAAAACATCTCGGGCGAGTTTAAAAAGTTCAAAGATTGAGCAGCTGAATTCAGCGTTGGACAAAGGATGGAACGCTTCTGTTAGTTTGCATCCTTGGCTTACTATACATGCATCCTGAAGGTGAGCGTGCATATTCAAAAAAGCATCACCCGAGAATATATACTCCAACACATCCAGAACTCTGCCGCCCGCCTCCTCACCCACACCGCTCCGATACCACATCACACGTCCTTTATATTATGTATTTATTTCAACAAGGACCATGCATACAAATACATTCATCTCAGAAAAGAGAATTATGCCAGATTTGAGCTAATGGCTCATTTCCATCTGCAGTCCTTAGGTCGGTACATAACAAACAACAAACACTCAAATCATTGCATAATCTCTATCACACAAACAATTATAAAACATGATTTAAGTACAGGTCAATAAAATAATACATAGTACAGTTAAAATATAATATTACAATACAGTTCAAATATGAAACTCACAGATTACAGGGTAATTAATGTTGGCATGACTGGTTGCTTAATATCAATGTTCTTTCAAATCTGCACTGGTTCCCCGTCCGTCAACGAATACCTTTCAAAAACCCCCTCCTTCCCTCAGCCTTCGCTCATCAGAAGCCGACCTCCTCTGTCCCCACTCAAACCAAGCACTGAACCTGGGGGGACGGAGCATTCGCCATCGCTGCATTTTTTTTTTAAGTCTTCATCCCTACCTTGTTGTTTCCTACACTCAGTCTTGTCTTCCCCCCTCACACAGGCCACAGCCACCAGCTGTTCCACATCAGCGCCGTGGTGGGGACCCACTTCCAGATGGAGGGTGTGATGGCGGACATGGCGTCGCGGCGGACGTGGCTCCTGGCCCACGGAGCCGGGCCCTCCTTCCTGGGGACCATCGGGGTGCTGGTGGCCAGCCTCGTCCTCAACCTGGGCATCATCGGCATTTTCAGCGCCCCGTTGCTGTGGAAATCGTGCCACAGCTCCAACCAGCCGCACACCTCCGCCTGCGAGTGCAAGGAGAAGTGACAAAGTGTCTCGGGCAGTTTGAGATGACTAACAGTCACCGTATAGCTCGTTTAACACCCAAGATAAAGATTTTGAAGCATCACGTCCACAGCTCAAAGTATTTCTCTAACACCCTGACTCCTGAAGTATTCATTCATGTGTTCACTCAGCAGCTGAGGACCCAGTCGCCTTTATTGAAGCCTTTTTCTGATGCTACATTAAGCTCCTATTTGAGAATACATGTTTGCCGTGTACAAAATGTTTATTTATTTTCCCCAATGTGCATCTTAAAAAGGCGCTGGGTTGAAGGAAGCTTGCTGAGAAGTGCCTTATTGTAGACCCACACTTCATTTACAATGTTTACAGTTCATCACTAAAAGTCCATTTCAAATCTCAAACTGGAAACATCTAATATCGCAGGGATTATTATAAAAAAAATGGTTGCATATACGAGGCCAGAATCTCCTTTTACGTTATTAAGGATTTATTGAAAATATTCTTTGTAACTGGACTTCTTGGTTAGTGTGTGTTAAAGCAGTGTTTCGGCTCTCCTTAATACGATGCAGATTGGTTGCCGGCTCTTATACATCCACCTATTGATTTCACTCTGCAGGGACGGGAATGGATTTGCAGATCATGTGGTTTCTTTTTTTCTGATTGCCTGCCTTATTATTAACCCCACAATCCACTCTCAAAAATCTTACAGCGCGGCGGTGATTAAAAGACGGGTACCATTTTTATAAAGGTACATTACCATGGCAACACTATAGTGGCCTCATGCCCCCTGAAGGTCTTGAACAATTGTTATGTTCAGAGCAAACGGCATCATTTTTCTCTTGTTCTTCCATCACATATCTGCTCCGAACATTTGTCACGTACAAAAGCACTGAAATTCCGCATTTGCATTTTTCCATTACAGTCACATTTCTAACCCTTGAGGTTTATAATTTAAAAGTTAAGAATGAAAAGATATGTAAAGAAGTATTTTCAGTCAGATTGGAGTCTTTGTGTTGCAGTACTTTGGTGGACATGCAGTTTAACAAACTATCACTGTTTTATAAATGCACCACTAAACTAATAATTGTATATTTAAAAAAATGTATTATATTTAGTAATAAACAGGAATTTGGGGTACTGTAGATCAACGGTACAATTAATGATGTTATTAAAGTTCTTACTAAAATAACAACGTTGTAATTTGCATCTGTTTAAAACAAGCAGGAAAAAAAAAGACAGATATTGGGTTTACAATTTTTGGCATCTTTCTCTTCAACCCTTATTTCTTACCTCGTTGTAAACTTAATATCTTTAGGTTTTGGCTTTCTTACCTCGACAACTCGGCAAAGGGCATTTTCTTTGTGTATTTTATGGACAAAACAATTGATGGAAAAACTGGCAGATTAGTTAGGTAAAATTTCAAATCAATTGCGTTCAAATGATGTGGTTTCTTTCACTTATTTTAAGAAAATAATATGTCAGGGACCTAAATCACGTAAATTGGATAATTGAATCATGTTGTCATAGCAGTACTGTACATACAAACTATGCTTCAGACACTGGCAAAGAGGTGTTTATAGGCTTTAATGGGACGGGGTCTAAACATTTGAGTTGTAGCGCTAACATGTAGGTACAGTGTTCAACAAAGCTGCTCTTACTTGACAAATGGTTTGGAAGGCACATCTGTATAAAACCAGTGTATGCTTGTATGGCACACATTCACACTAAATACCACTAGTAACACCATTGGAACTCACACTCACACTCACACTCACACTCACACACTTTTCTTATAGCTGTGTTGGTATATGTTTTAATAAGAGGGTTAATGTATGTGATATTATGGGATGAGGTGCGTTACAGGTCCGTGTTGGATGCTGAGGTAGAAATGTGGGACGGATTGAATTTGTAGATTCACAAACTCACACAAGAACACACACTTTGTATCGGAGCAGGGGAGAGGAGATGTTCTGAAGGTTAGTGTGTATAAATATCACGTCGGCCTTCATGTTGCAGACAAAACAGAGCAGTATTTGCCCTCAATGGCAGCGACTATTTTTGTTTTATCTCCACCCCTGCCCACCGTGGATCGATATTTAATTTTCTCGACAGTCATCATCTTACAGCGTTCCTGGGTTTGACCCTGTTGATTCTTGGAATTGCATCATTACTGGCTTCTGTGGTGGTTCTCAGCCATCGACCCAAACCAGTTTGGAACTCATTTATTTCTGAGCTGCTGTTTTCTTCTGTCATCTCACTCGGCCGTTTGGTGCCTGCACTGTTTCCAGCAGTTTGACGGCTATGAAGCTCGAAGATGCTTCAACATCAAAAAGATCGATGCGGATCGATGCTTTTTCTGAACAACATTTTTGCATTTATTCTGAAATGATCAGTTCTGAGCCCAGAAATTCTCCAGACCACACCACTGTACCTCTGCTGTTTTTCACAGTGAACTTGTTGGATTACTCCTCAGTGAGCAGATCAGGTTGTAATTATCAGGAAAACTGGGCACTTTTCTTGCGACGACTCTTTAAAAACAAATACAGCGTGTTGAAGGATGCTCAAATATGTGGAATAGAGAGAAAAGATGAGTGCATAATGAAACATTTGATACAAGAATACAAAACGGGGTTTGGCAGACTCAAAGGTGCCTTTTTTATTTTGTTTCATTGTGTCTGTTTAAAAAAAACTAAAACAACAAACTACTCTTAAAATGTATAAATACTTATGTGTTCTTTCCTGTGTATAATGTGTAATTTGCTATTTTGTTCTAATAGACTTGTGTAATAAATTAAGCTTTTTATAAGTGTAAGAATTCTCACTGGAATCATTTTAAGTGTCTTAAAAACAGATGAAATGTCTGTTTTTACATTCATAGCATGTTATCAATAGGAATGTCTTAAACACAGTTTAGCAGACATACTTAATCATTATTATTTTAACTACAGAATAAAATATGCATGTTTACTGACTACCAACAATTGTTTTAAATATTGATTAATCTTTTAATCTACAAAATGCCAGAAAAAAGGAGAAATACAGAATGAATTTTCCACATTTTAAGGTGATATCCTCAAATGTCTTGTTTTGTCCGACAAACTCCAAGATATTAAAATGAACAGATTGATTTTCCTTGCAGCTCTAGTGTGATATGCTGATATGAAAGATGTCTTTGAGGAATGATTTAAAAATCTGTGCAGACATCGCAGATCCTTTATTTTATCACCAGTCTGTGTGCGTTCCTTTTCATGCTGCCTTATCCTTTCGTGTGTGTGTGTGTGTGTGTGTGTGTGTGTGTGTGTGTGTGTGTGTGTGTGTGTGTGTGTGTGTGTGTGTGTGTGTGTGTGTGTGTGTGTGTGTGTGTGTGTCCAGCAGAGGGCAGAACTCGACAGTAAGAGTGTTTGAGCGGCTGATCGCTGCTATCCGCTGATCTGCTTTCATCCCAAACCAAATGTGATGCAGTGTGAATCCCCACAGATTCATCTGCAGAAAGCCTGACTAACGTGTGCACACATTTAAGAAAAAAACATATTTGTACAAAATCCAGCCTTCAAATGAGATTTCACTTAAATTGTGTGAGACTCTTCGACTGTTCCCAGTGAAGGTGCTTTAACTGTGAGTGTTCTCAGTAAATACATAAAGAACTGCAGATAAAACTTGATTTCATTCTACAAAATCAAAAACCGCTGATGTGAAATGACCTCTTACTGCTCACTTAACATCCAGAATGCTGGTAGACGAAATCATTTGAAAGATGTGAATTTGTTTTTTGCGTTTAAGTTATCCATATTGTTGAAAGCTGCAGGCTGTATATGCAGTGTACATATACGCTTTTCTCATTGTTGCTACTCATATCTCTGATGTTTTATAGATAGGACTGCTCTGGTGTAAATAGTTTCAACATCTGTGCAGCAGTTATTTTCCTAAGTCACCATTTGTAATGCCCTGCAGTATTGATATTGAAGCATTCAGAGTGGTTTATTATTAGCAGGACACAGACCACAATTAATCGGCATTGACATTATCATAGAAGGAATAATTACCATAAAAAAAAATCAATTCCCTTCATACATGCATTATACAATGAGGTGGAAGATTAAAAAGGGAAAGTTTCCCTCTGCAAAGCTCTAAAAGGGGTTCCATTTTGAAAATGGCCTCATTTCCAGCTCTTATTATAGTCATATCCCATATCCATCCAGGCTGGAGACTCGAGTGCTTATTAAAAAGGTCCATTCTGAAACCACAAACGGGGACAACACTACAGAGTGTACTAATCCTATCTGGCCCAGAATCTGCTTGTAGACACTAGAAGAAACAATAAGCCAGACACGAGTCCTCCAAGTGTTTTCATCCCCCCCGGCACACCAGAGGAGGTAGAGGGAGAGAAAGAGACCGAGAAAGGGATGATAGCATTACTCACAATCCATTACCACTCCCTGGAGACGCTCTGCATACAGAGTGGTGGAGGGAGGGGGGGAGGGAGGGAGGAGGTGAGGATGAGGAGGGGGTCGGTGGTGTGAGGTAGAGTGAAGGGTTTGGGTCGGGGTTTGTTTGCTGGAGGCCCGGCGGTAAGGCAATATGAAACTTGATTATTCCTTTTCAATAACCGTCTGCTGAGGATCCCGCGGAGACGTCGCAGGTTGCTGATTAGTTCGTCAAAAAGAATAGAAGGCTCTTGAATGGCCTTGTTAAGATGTCTAACTTTAAACTACAGACCGCCGCCCAAGTCATTGTTCGCTCTGAAGCACACCGTAATGATGGATGGATGCAGAGGGATGGTCCTCCCCAGCCTGCAGACATTTTTTGTATCAAGTTTGTTTATTTTTAAGGGCAGACAATATACAAAGTGCTGGAGTAACAATACATGAATATATAGTTTCTTACACATTAATACAGAGTATGTACATTTAGTATTTACACTTAAAGGCATGTTTGTATAGACTCAGTCTTTCACCCTCTAAGCGTCTCATTAGGTTGAATTTAAACTTTTATTTTTTCTATGGAGTTGGCCCCACCTACAGTCTCTGTTTCAGAGCCATCTGTCCCCCTCCTCCTGGAGTTTCACTCACTTTAATCCATCTGTTGCCTCAGTGTGTCCCCTCCCCACCATCTTGCCCCCGTACTGAATTTCACTTCAGTGCTTTGATTTAGAAGGTCGCTACAGTAGCATGTTGAACATCGCTAATTTGTACAAAAGCCTCTCTCGAGTGTCCAAGGCAGGCCACAGGTCAGACTGTTGTTCTTTGGAAGTATTTTTGTTCATATTTGACAGGAGAACCGACAGAATTAAATGTAAACATACACTTTCACTGCTTATATAGGACATTTTGTTCTTAAAAAATACTCATATGATACACTGGATTTGACAGAAACAATTAACAAGCTTTTGAAGTTTTTTGATTGTACATTTTTGATATCTTATATACATGTTCTGATTGCCGTTAAATTACCTTTCATATCAAAACCTATCCAAAAAACAGTAGCTATACTGTACAAGGGACTGTCTACTGTGCCCTAATCTGAAACATTGCTTTCCACTTTTGACTCGTGAGGTGAAGTGCCCTCTCTTGTAATCATCTGTTTCATTTTCTAATTGCGTTTCGACACAAGTGTTGCTTGTAGAGTTGTATAAAATGAAGCCCAGCTCAGCTCAGAGCCAATATCCCCCAACAAGCCATCATCTGATATCCCAGCAGCGTAAAGCCCATATACAGTTACTTCAACAATTATCCATGCATGTCCCTCCATCTGGCGGATCTCACTTGAGATAAACATTCAACACTTTGGTAAACATTTGACAGGTTTCCAGAGAATGAGGGGCAGTAAACGGGGGTCGGGGTTAAGCCGGGGTGAGGCGTAACTAAGGCGGAAAGGGACTGCAGATGCTTCCTCCGTCAGGCATCGAGGCTGGATATGGAGCAACTGCGACATATTTTTAAATGAAACCAAGAGCAAGCTGTTTAAAGAAATGACCTCCTGGATAGAGGAATGAAATTAAAGAAGAAGCTGAGGGTTCAAATCAAAACCTCCCCAGCTTCTGAACTCCGCTCGCTGGTTGGTCAGCCCAGGATGTCCAGGTAGACGGGGGGGCTCTTGACCAGCGCCAGCAGGCGGCTGTGGAGGTCCTTGATGACCATCCTCTGCTGGGGCTCCCTCTGCCAGCAGCCCTGCATCAGCAGGTGCACTTCTTTGGGGCAGGTGCACGGCCTTTCCAGCTCCCGTCCCTGCGTGATGCATTCAATGGCCTGTTGTGGGCGAAATACAAAATAACGCAATATTAATAAGGAATATTTTGTATTTATCCTCAATTGCTCCAGGACAAACAATAGAGACTGTTATCACTCTGTTAATTGTTTTAGTGTCAGGATGCAATTACCTTCTAAATAACACCTAAGACAAAGTACAGCTAAGGGTGATGGGATATCCAAAGGTTTGCAAGTAGTCATTAACTAAACTGGATGTAGCCATTTCCCGACATTTTAAAGGCAATACACAAGGGTCAGAAGATACCATTTATTTGCAATTGATCCTCTGGATGGAAATAGTTTGAGTAATTGCTGAGACATTACATTTCATTACATGTTACTTGTTAGTCGCTTTTATCCAAAGCGACTAACATACTCAATACTGTGGGCAATCCCCACAGGAGCAAATTGGGGTGAAGTGTCTTGCCCAGGGACACAACGACATGCTGACTGCAGTGGGGTTTGAACCTGTGCTCCCCTGATCCGAACATCAGCGCACTAGACCACTGCGCCACACGCCTCCCTAAGCCAACCTCCTGATAATCACCACAGTTATTGGTTCTCTGGGAATTATGAATCTGCACAACATGTTGTTCCAATCCATGTAGTTGATGCTGATATATTTAATATGAACAAGTTAAAACTTTGAGTTGCTAGGGGTGACATTTTTAAATTCTCAGTCTGCTAAAAATGTATTCAGTGAAAGCTCCACCAAGGATAAAACATTTTGTTTTTTAACTAACGGAAACTTCTTTGCCCAACTACCTTCGAATCTACAGTTCTACAGACGTGTCCATTAGTGGAGACCTCGGGGACAAATGACAGCAGCCAAAATATGAATAACCTCCAGCACAAACACTAATGGCTCTGATGACTGATTGAGTTCACACGCTCTCGCTGCTCAGTGAATAAATCACTGCTAAGCCTAGAGAGAGGTTTTCACTGCGCTCTCCAATTGAAGGGTTACGGACTCAATCTCTCTCCATTGTTAACCTTGGCCTGATACAATGAGCAGAAGAGGCCTGTCAGCGCTGAGCCAATTCACAGCAAAATGGCCCGTCAGTCCGCCTCGCCACTCAACACAAAGACTCACATCGCCAGCCCCAAATGGCCGCTGTCGCCACGCGTGCACTGATAGTATTTTGGGATGATTTATCTCTGCCACTGCGTGTTTAGGCAACATGATGATTTTACCTGTCCTTCATTGGCCGAGACAGATTAGGTTAACAAGGTTAAAGCTCATTGGCCCTGGGCAAAAATGAGAGCCAATGAGATTAGCATTGAGTGCTAGGGAAAGTGATCTACCCTTCTCTGGAAAGGAGAGAGGGTTTGGGCCTGTAATAGCACCGCTGTGGTCACAATGGAGTCCCACTTCTTGGTGCTCGAGCTGCAAAGGCTAGACTGAAATGCCCTTAATTACTATGAATGTATTGATTACTTTAGGACTGTAGAGCGGTGAAAGACTTCAATAGCATATGCTCTGAAGTATCCACCACTGCAGGGAAAATGCTTTGTTCTGCATGTTCTTAATGCACCAAAAAACGGCCATTTACAAATGTGTTTGCACAAGTATGGGCTGAAAAAAAAAAAAAATCTGGTTCATTAGTAAACATTTTAATACCAACAACCTATTTCAGTCAGACAATCCACGTTTATATACATAGTTTGAGCGTTTAGGCCCGGGCCTCATCACTCCACAAATTTGGGATAAGAATAGCTTAGCTCACTAATTTTAAAGGTCCGACTATCAACGCCTCTAATGCTCACTAATTAAATTAAGTTGTATCTGGTTATTTGGATACGATTTAAGTAAACAAACTTAGTTTTACGGAGAAACACGTAGACTATTTCAAGCATCAGCTTCAAGCAGGTGTCAGTATGCTAGTTTTCAGTTGCTATGCTAGCTTGTCTGCTACTGTGAAGGTTAACAAGATTTGTACAGCGAAAGGAGAAAGTAAAAAAGTAAATATCATGTCTCCCACAAACAATGTAGGTAAATCTATATTACATTTTTTTGGAAGTGACAGAAAGAAACAATGACACAAGATATATTTAAATTGTCCAGTCTACCAAGGCCCAAAATCAATACAAGAAAAATATTTATCCTTACTAGTTTCACTTTCATTGTTGAGGTCTGGACATCAAATCCATTTTTATTATTTGACTGGAAATCTGAGTGTCTAGTTAAAACTCAACAGTGAAATATTAAACTGTGTTGACAACAGCCGAGAGAAAGCACTCCGTCAAGCAGCAACTTTCTCAGGGTAGAGCCACAATCCTTTCCTACAGCCACAAAAATAACACAATTAGTTTAATGACGTCTATTGTTTGTCTCCTGGTTTTAAAGTGCCATTTGAGTGCTGTTTTATCTTTGGAACAAAGTCTCTCAACAATATGTCGAGTCTTACTAAAGTATGTCTACATAAGGACGGTCATTGACTGAAAAACGCACATGCTGAATTTTATGGATATGGACGAAACCAAGTTACAGGAAAAAGAACGTTTAAAAGAATGTAAAGAAATGTTGGATATCTGAAGACCTTGAAAAATAAAACGTAAGGTAAGTGAGAAAAATATATTTCTTTATTTGGGTGAGCTGACCCTTTGTTTGGTGTGTCCTTTAGTGATAGATATAAACAAAACATACTTAAATGTGTCCTGGCATCAGGAAAGACTGAATGATTTGGCAGTATCAAGTTACGTCTTTGTTTTATGGACTATCAAAGATGACGATGAACTTTCCGTCCCACCCACCTCACTGTTGGACAGCTGGTACCAGGGCTGTTTCCCGTAGGTGAAGATCTCCCACAGGACCACGCCGAAGCTCCAGATGTCGCTCTCCGTGGTGAACTTCCTGTACATGATGCTCTCCGGCGGCATCCAGCGGATCGGGAGCATCGTACGTCCGCCCACCTGAGGAGGACAGTGAGGGAATGTAAGTAATGTTTCATCCTCATGCATAACGGAAGTCAAGGTGCAAATGCATGTCAAGGTGAATATTAAACCACTTTGCTTTCTTGAGGGAACTTAGCAGAAATACCACATTTTGGTAGCACATACATTCAAATCTTGAAGAGAATATGATTCCTCTTCAGCCTTGAACTATCTATAACTCAGCTTGAATGTGAGGCAGACAATCTGAACAATAAGAGTTTAAAAATCCTAATACGCTTCAATACTTTGTATTTAACGTCAGAGAGAATGGACCCAAAGACACCAAGATAAAAACAATTTGCAAGGCCAAACATAAGGGCTGAGTGGGAAATGAAGTCCTGTTATTACACTCTGGCTGAACGGACACTTTGAGGAACTTGTTAAAGTCTTGTGTTTTTATTTTCCAACACTCACCCGGTAGTAATCCGTGCTGTAGATGTCCCGGGACATGCCGAAGTCTCCGATTTTGACCACCACGCCCTCTCCCACCAGGCAGTTGCGGGTGGCCAGGTCGCGGTGGACGAAGTGCAGCGAGGCCAGGTAGACCATGCCCGAGGCGATCTGAGCGGCGATGTGCAGCATCTGAGGAAGAGTCAGCTGACCCAGAGGGGGCATCTTCGTCTCCTCCAGGATACGAGCGTCAGGGCCGTGAGCTCTGCAGGGGACACACCACGGACATGTGAGGGTTGGATTTGGCATCTTTAAGATTATTTCAATGTATATTTTGGGCTTTATCAAAACATGAAAGGGACATATGTAAGAACATACATTAAACCCAGGCAGTGGTAGAATAAGTATTTCGATCAATAACCTAAGACAAATGTCCTTCAAGTATCAAAGTAAATGTATTTGTTGAGAAGAATGGCTGCTGTGAGTGATATAATGTTATATTACATTATGCATAAGAAGCGTTTTACTGCTCTGTAAAAAGCTGGTTGAGGTTTGAAATCTTTTTTCTTATTCTCCTTCACTTTCTTTAAAAACTTTACTTTTGGTAAAATCTCTATATAATCGGACCTCTTTTGAAATTGTTATTTCAATTAAACCATTAGAGAAGTTTAGAAGGGAAAAGTCGCTTTGGTATAACAAACAACAAATAGAAACAAGCAAAGTACTAAAGGCCGAAAATGTGTTTAATCTAGCATAGACGTACTGCAGCATGACATGGACATTTAAGGAGGTAATTGAATCAAGTTAATTACCTCTAAGTACCTCACAATTGTACCAAAGCACAGTACAAGAGTGAAATTGCTTACACCAGTGGACCAGAGTGTAGTAGTTTGAATTGTTGCCTCTATACTGCTATACGTAGGTCTTATCAAGCACCATTAGGTTATTCAATTATTTCAAGGTTAGTTTCATTGGTTCAAGACTTAGTCATCACTGCAATGATCTATATGTCTATAGGCAGTATCACCTTATATTTATATTCACTAATTGAGTGATTTTTTCTGAGGACTCAGTTTGTATCAATTGTAATATATATATAACGAGCCATTGCTTTTAGAAATACTTTAAAGGTAAGATGAGTTTAGACTCATGTTTATGCTTTTTTAAAGATGTTCTTCTTATTACTGCTGCTAGATGACAACATATTTTCCTTATTGGATTTCTTTTCTGCACTGCAGCTGAAACCATGACTTTTGTCCAGTGTAAAGTGGACTGTATGAACACACATATTTCCATTTGTAAGGAGCAGAGCATGCTGGCCTCTGCTATTCTTCTCTGTTTCTATTGGCTGTCCAGATTAATCAAATGCTGGGATTGGGCTCCCAGTATGTTTTCAGCTGTGGCATCAACCTTGAGTGATCTGAAGGACAATGACCTCAGCATGCAATCTGCAGATTGAACATTTCTGACATATATGAGCTCTTGAGAGCATGACAGACCTGGTCGGCATGACCCGGCCATAATAAAGCCATTTAATAGAAACCATAAGGCTTGTAATACGCCTTCAATTGATTTGCAATAATGCAATTCGGAGATGCAGAGCCAATTGACTCTCGCTCGTTCTTCTGTTGATCATAAACACCCACTCTCAAGTCAAACTCAGCCTAAATGAGCAAATCACTGATGATGTGTCTCCATCCATCCTAATATCTCTCCTCTCCACTTTGTCCCCTCCTTACAAAGGAAGTTGTCTATACAATCACTATTAGTTTAAAAGGCAGGTGGCAGGGTGGGAAGGCAGCTGCATTGTGGGGGCCCTTGGACATTTCACCCATTCTGTCTTCTGGAAATGCGATTTCCATCCATTGGTGAACATATATCTCAGGCAGAATATCTGTGTGCATGCATGTGTGTTTGTGTGCTTTCACTCCCAATCTGTCTCCTGTGGAGGACACCTGGCAGACTGCATCCACTGCGTCTGCTCTAACAGTTTAGTCCAATGCTTGCCCAGGTGCCAAGTGAGCTCTGATAGGTCAACACTGTCTCGGTCCTCAGGGACTCCTTCAGCTCCCTCCAGAGGTTTAGACACTTATCATTTATAACAGATTTAAATAACACATTTGAATCTCTTCTGTCATTGTGTATTGTGCTATTATAAACCGTTACTTTAGAAATCACATCTTGTCTATTTCCACTTAAGGGCTGAATCTGAATATTTAAAGCATTTATTAGAATTCAAATCAAATCCTGTAATGCACTCTGCTTAGTATTATCATGGCAGAACATCTTATAAATAACAGATTTGCCCCTTGCCTTTACATGTTGTGAATCACTTTAGCGACAAAGATGTGCCAGCTATCCAACACAATACTCCCAGACTGACAAAGCAAATTGGTTTTCTCTACAATTCACTGCTGGCTTCATTTTCAGTTAATTAATTTCAGGCAAACTTTAAAAGGAGGAAAAAGGATGTGAAATGATGGAGTTGAAGCAAATAGCTCATATTAAGGGATGTCTGAGTCACTTTAGCAAAAGATGATTGCCAATGTATCCAAAAGAGTTGTCAAACTTACAGGAGATTTAAAAAACAGAATCTCAAGGTCCCCAGACAGAACCAAAGTCTTTGTAAATAGTTATTTAGAGACCTCTAAAGCAATGCAGCAGCTTCATAATATCAGTCTATACAGTACACAGTTGTGCCGTTGTCCTTATTCATACACACGCAGACACACACACAATTCACAGATGCCCTCTGTGACCACTGGAAGCACACAACCTTTCAAAATCACTGAAACTGTAGCAGAACTGCAGCTAACAGTGTCTACAAAGACCCAGACACTTTAAATGGTGTGTCAGAGGAAACAGACTCTGACTCTAACAGTTAATGATTAAGTGCTTTTCTCAAAGTCACTTCGAATCCGGTGTAAAGATGTGAGTGAATCTACCTTTTTACCAGAGTCCAGTGTATGGCTGATTCTTACGTTTGTCTTCATTATCAACAATTAACGTTCATTTTGGGACATGAATGTTCTCCTTTTTGCTGTTTTATTTAGTTTTATTTAGTTTAAAATAAATGTGTCTTAATGCCTTTTTTAATTCACTCTGATTTGGCGTGTTGAAAGGTGCTTTACAAATAATATTTCCTTACCTAATGTTATGATCATTCTCTCAATGAATTAATAAATAGTTTGGTCAATGAATTATTATATCCTGAAGCCCAAGTAAAAATATTTTAATAGCTTTTTCATCGGAGATATGCAGTATTAAAATATTATATTCAAATTATAATTTGTGTTATTCGTAGAAATTAATAAAAAGTTCTGGATTCATTTTGTGGCAATCAGTTAATTGTTTCAACTCTTTTATGAATAGATCAATAAATACTTTCCCATTTAGCTGCTGGATAAACTTTAGCATGTATTTCAGTTTGTTAACGCTCTTCCTGAGCATCTTGAGCAGGTCTGCCACGTACCTCAGAAACCGGTTGAGGTCTCCGTGCCTCATGTATTCAAACACCATGGCCAGCGGCTCTCCGTCTGTGCACACGCCGTAGAATCGCACGATGTGCTGGTGTTGGAGCACCGTCAGCAGCTCCGCCTCCCTCTGGAAGTCCTGCCGGGTCGACTCGTTGGCGTCCTTTAGAGTCTGTAACCACACAACATGAAGATTTTGGTTACTTAGGCAAGGCAAGGCAAAGGCAAGGCAAGTTTATTTATAGAGCACCTTTCCGCACAGGGCAACCCAAAGTGCTTTACAAAATAAGATAAAAGACATTTAAGAACAATATACAGATGAAGCACATTATAAAAAGGCATTTTAGATAATTAAGATAATTAAATCAACACAACAAGTATCAAATACATGGATAAAAAGCCATACTGCAGTTAAAATGCATAAAACCACAGCATAAAATACAAGTAAAACCTTCTAAATGAACTACGTTAAAAGCAACCGACTGTGTAAGAAAAGTAAATTGATTGATAGAAACACAGAAGTAAAGTTGCTGTTATAGAGAGAAAGTGTTCCTCCATTGGACCCTGAATCCCTTACGTATGAGTGATGATGTGTTGCAATAAAAGCAAAGTCTGATTAATGGGAAGATAAATGTTTGCAGAGTCAGATTCATGGTCTGGTTTTTATTCGCTGCGGTTTGCACTAACCTGTTGTAACATGAGCTGTGTATTAAACCAGCTGACTGTCCTCTACAAAGACATCTCACTCTGAAACCGCACGATGTTATTTCAGTGTATGGAGGATTTAAGTTTAAGTGCAGTGTGTTTACTCTTGATGATGTGGTATCAAATAGCACGTATTTAATTCTCAGCATGTTTCCATTCAGGACAGTTGAGAGCAGACAGGAAGAGGGAGTTGGGGATCAAATGTAAAAGATGTCCCGTGCTGGACTCCCCAAAATGACTTGTTGAGTGTTGCAGAGTATACAGATAAAACAGTAACTGGTTGTTACTTATACATGTTTCTTTATGGAAAAGAAGGAGGTATCACTTTTTTCTTTTGGTGTATGAATGGAGGGAATAAAGTTACATTAATAGTGTAAGTGATGTCGACATAATGAAAATGACGTTGCGAATGTACTCACCTTGATAGCCACCAGCATCTTGTCGCTGTCGGGGCTGAGGTGGGCACATTCTGCCAGGTAAACTTTCCCAAACGCTCCCTCACCCAGCTCCCACTTCAACACAATGTCCTGCCGTTTGATATTCTGGACACCTGATCATGAAATACAAATACATGTTAGAAAATCTGTGTGAAATGGTGTTTGTGTGGACCAAAAGTGAATTATACATGCATGAGATTTCACAACTTTAGTGCTATAGTTTACTTCCCTTATACAATCCATTTTGAGAAACCTAATAAAAAACTAACCAAAACCTGAAAGAAACAGACAATGTTTAAAACACTGCAAATGAAAAAGTGTAATAATAATAACAACAATCAAGACACTGAGATGTAATAATATTTGGGGGTAATGAGCATAATTGCAGATTTTAGTTCAGTAATAACACTCACACATGTCTTTCTCCTTGATGATGCCGCAGAAGTACTGTGGGTTTTCTACAAAGCTGGATAAACCAGAGTCTTCATCTGAGGAAGGCGGGCTGGTTCCAAAGTTCATAAAACGAAGCGACACGGCCAGATCATCCTCAGTGCCCAGAGCTGATGAACCTAATGAAATGGGGAGGGATGCAAACAAGCCAAACTGAGTGATATGTAACATCTAATCAGACTCCAACCACTTGTGATTGCATTGGCCATCAAAAAAAGATTCAGAGCTCATTTTTCCCCCCTTAGAGAAATCCATGCTCTCCGCTACCAACTAGTCTGTACGTTTGCTGGTGCCATGGTGACAGATGATGACGAGCTCTAATAATCACCATCATCAACCATGCGGCAATCAGGACACATTGAAATGAAAAAAGGGGGAAGGAAGCCTGAATGGTTAGCAACCCCCCGACTACAGTGCGTATTAAAAGCCAAACAAGTGGGGCCCAAATTGTAAAACCCACTCAGCAAGGCAAACCACAGAACCCCTAGAGTCCAACACGGTAGAAAATGGAACAACAAAGAGAGAGCACAGAAGCGATGGAGGGAAGGAAAGAGGGAGCAGGGTCCACTTAGGCAATCAGGCCCACTTAGGCACTTTGAGAGTGAGAAGGGTAGATGTGTGTGTGTGTGTGTGTGTGTGTGTGTGTGTGTGTGTATGTGTGTGTGTGTGTGTATGTGTGTGTGTGTTGGGGGGTGGGAGGTTGGGTCAGAGTGGAGCTTTATCACGTTTAGCTGTTCCTCTATCCATCCATCCGTCCGTCCGTCCGTCCATCCGTCCGTCCGTCCGTCCGTCCGTCCGTCCGTCCATCCATCCATCCATCATCCATCCATCCATTCATTCATCCATCCATCCATCCGTCCATCCATCCGTCCGTCCGTCCGTCCGTCCGTCCGTCCGTCCATCCATCCATCCATTCATCCATCCATCCATCCATCCATCCATTCATCCATCCATCCATCCATCCATCCATTCATCCATCCATCCGTCCATCCATCCATCCATCCATCCATCCATCCATCCATCCATCCATCCATCCATCCATCCATCCATCCATCCATCCTCATCCATCCATCCATCCATTCATCCATCATCCATCCGTCCATCCATCCATCCATCCATCCATCCATCCATCCATTCATCCATCCATCCATCCATCCATCCATCCTCATCATCCATCCATCCATCCATCCATTCATCCATCCATCCATCCATCATCCATCCATTCATCCATCCATCCATCCATCCATTCATTCATCCATCCATCCATCCATCCATCCATCCATCCATCCATCCATCCATCCATCCGTCCATCTTCTTTAATGGCCATCACCACATGGCGGTGGCTGAGGGAGGTTTCTGCCGCCGCTCTCATGCAGTAATTAAGGCACTTTAGCCCGGCCACACAGCGGCACACAGCTCAGTGGAAGTCCTATATTAGTCTGACTCTCCTGCACATTACCTTCTGAGAGCCTGACAGAACCATCTGTGATTTGAAACAATCATTTGGCAGAACGTTTCACTATGGCTCATTGCCGTTTGCATTGTATGCCTTCAGATTGTGGTTCTGGGCTGACACAATGTCGCGGGTAAAGGGTATCATTTTAACTCCACACATGTCGTTTGAGAGTTATCTTGAAGTAAACTTTTAGTGATTCCTGATTCTTGCCGAAGATGTTCCTGTTGTTTCCTGTTCTCTCCTGCTTCCAGTATTTCTGCTAAGCTAAGCTTCTAAATAGACTTCTGTATCTAGCTCTTTGTTAGCACTAAGGTCAAATCATCCGATAAAGAAAGGATGATTTTTATCCTCATATTCAGCGCAAAAAAAGAAGAAGAAATAGCTCAAATGTGAGTCATTCAATCATCTAGCAGCTATATCATACATGCAGTCAATGAGTTTCAGTGATTGTGATTTTTACTTACGGTGGATCCCAAACTTGGAATGCTGACCACACTTGTTAATAACCAAAACCATGATGAGAAGGAAAATGCAGGCAAACACAGCGAGACCGACAGCCACAGACACCTGTTCAAACAAAGACAGATTCATTTCTCACACTTACTAAAATCACAGAGAGTTGTTTTTGGGACAAATGACGCACAGACGTACCACAAACACTCGACTCTCCGAGTTCTCTGTGACGTCCATGTCTGATTTCTTTGTCGGTACTGAAGGGCAGTAACAGAGATTTGTTAAAAAAAAATGACAATGTGTATGCAGTGTTTTTAGGAGAATGAAACAAATACTTACTTGGTTCAGGGACTAGCATGAGGGAACAAGAACACAAAACACTTAAATGAGTACACAAACTTTGGTCATAGCGATTGTTTTGAGGTTTTGAAGGTTGAGTAAACTAAGTATTATTTTACATTTTTACACACACACACACACATACACACGAGTGGGCAATATGTCAATTTGCAGATATCTAAGAGCTTAGCAATACTTATTTCAATAACTTAATATCTAGTATACTGTTATCTTCAAAAGCAGAATTGTTCAGGAGCGACGTAAGTGGTTTCTGACATTCATTCAAGTGTATTGTGGAAATTTTTACAAGTGTTGCAGAATAATGAAGCTATTGTTTCAAAAACGGACCAAGTGGCAGGGTTACAAAATCATGTTCAGCTATATTCCTCTTCAAGCTGCCCTAATGGCCTCCTTGGCTCATTATGGGATTCTGCTCGGAAAAAACTCCTAAACTGTTTCAGGAACTCACCTGGAATTATCCCCTCAGGATCTAACAGGTCGAAGGGGTTCTCCATGAATATCCCCTCAGCTGTGGCCTCATCCCTCCCCAGATTGTTCTGCACGATCAGAGTGTAGTGGCCATTGTTGATGTGCGTGGGCTTGTTGAGGAAGAGACACCCGTGTTTCACTGATCCGTCACCCAGATCGGGGATGAGCTGGGTGTATGTGTATTTGCTCTTTCTGAGATCTCTGCCATTGTAGCGCCAAGTGATGTTCGGTTCAGGATTTCCATCCACAGCGAAAGGGAAACACCAGTGGTGCTGCGACTCTGCGTCTTTCAGGAAGATGATTTTGGCTGAAACTGTTGAGATATAACATTTGGGAGTTTAGGAGTGGTAGAGATGTAGGAGATTGGGAAAGGGAAAGTGTTCACTTTTTTTAACTTCTAAACTGGAAGTCAATTATGAAAGTGAAGATTATAATGATTTCATAAATGTGCTCATTATCAGTTCATTGAGAAATGATATCACTCTCATGTCTGTGTGTAAATATGAAGTTACTGTATCTTAGCTTAGCATAAACACTATAAACGGCCTGCCCCTGACAGAAGGGTAATAGAAAAACCCCCAAAAGGAATCTGCAACTATTTAAATTATTTATTGAGTTTTCAATTACATTCTCTTAAATTAGATGATTTTCTGCTTTGCTCTCACAGAAAGGTATGAAGATGTCACCTTGAGCTCTAGGAACCTCACTATTTATGTGAGATTAACCACATGATTAATCATTTGACAATAATCAACACAACTACTAAAAAATAACTATTACTGTCAAATAAATAGTAGTGAGTAGTAGTTAGGTAAAAAGCACAACATTTTGTAAAGTAGATATGCAATGGCAAAACTCAAAAAACTGTAATTAAGGACAGCATTTATGAACTTAATGTAATTTGTCACTTTAAATGACTGGTTATTGCCGGTAAATGACTCAAATCATGATTATAGAGATGCTCGTTTAAATATACAAGCCTGAGATTTAATGCTTAATGTGCACCATTATCATGTGTAACATAAAGTCAGAGGTTGGTGAAGTGCCCTATAGGTTCCTCTCTGAGTTTCCATGAATCAATGTTCTCCATCTGTACTGCAAACCTGTGCTGACCTGCTATTAATAATGGATCCCGGTCGTTGTTGCGCCCCCGACCACAAAAGCTACCTGGAAGCTCTGCTGGACGTGAAGTTACAGGAAATGGCCTCTTTTAGATCGAACATGACTCTGAAGTGCAGGGACCCCTCATACACACTGACAATGTGCTGCTCTTAACCCATGACCCAGCCTCACAAAGTGCTGTGCTAAGGGGATACTGAGGCATTTGTCTTTTTCGTTCCAGACCTCGCTGAATTCTGTGGCTAAGTGAAAATTAGCACAGTTAATCATTTTTAAATAATCATCCATTTGAGACCCTTACTAAACGTACGCAAGGTATTTCACTGCAGGGGTTACAAGTATGGCTAAAATGATGTTTATTGTTGTCACTGAAGAATTAGACAACAAAAGAAACTATTTTATAATACACAAATGATTCCTAGCATCCCTCCAGGCACATTCATTGTTAACTGGAACCTTTGCATACAAAATATTAACGTTGTCATTGTGTATGTTAATAAAAACGTGCACTCTGAATCCACCTTTTAACGTCAGAGTCAAAAAGAAAAATATTACATTGCAAAAAACATGTTTTAGAAAAGCTCTTCTATGAAAGGGAAGCCACACGGGTACCATGAATCAATGGCACAGAGAGCCACTCAGCAGTAAACACCCACTGTTCTGGGAGGTAATTAAGAGTAATTAAAGGGCTAGCGGTTAACGAGTGTCCGTCCACCAGGGGGGCTGATGTTGATAGATTAGCAGCACTAACGCATTTACAGACTGCCAATCACTGCGGATGAAGCGGTTTTCCGGTGTAGGAGGGAAAAGTCCATTAGCACAGGCTCAAATCAGATCTTAGCACGGGTTATCAGCCCATTTTCCTGACGTTCATTATCTGTCCCTTGATGCTCGTGCATTTGGCTGCAGCTGAATAGGCGCCCCTGCTCTTTTTGGCTTTATTTTCTAATGAGTGTCACTGTGTTGGTGATATATGATATTGTTTAGGGCAGTATTGTTTCAGTAATGTATCGCTAATGCATCTGAGTCTGTTTTGTGAGGGGCCGCTGGGTGCTGTCATTCCTCGGTGTTCCTCAACTTCCAGATGCACTAATGCATCTGAAGAAAACAACAGTAAACCTCCTGGGTCAAGCTGCAACTGTAATTTAGAAGTACGAGGTGAAATAGTTCTTTAAGAGCAAGGAGAGGTAGGTTCACTCTCTATTGTCCTTCCATTGTATCCCCTGCATTAATAACTAGCCATACCTGCAGCACTTCACTCATATTATTTTAACACTTCTCACCAGTCGCCAGAGTGAGTGGCAGATGACAAAGAGCTCCATTAGAAGCATGGTGGGTGCATACTCGTATTTGTAGAGAGGGCATTTAGAAGAAATCAGTGCAGTGCTTTTTTCTTTTCTCTGGCTGTCCACCCTGCCTGCACTAAAAAAATAGCCCTAGTGTGCTCTCGCCCTAACCTCCATTAAGCCCGACGACTTGTATAGAGCCTGTGAGCTTTCAAAAGTGTGGTTTTATTTTGCAGGCACTTACATTCAATGTCTAATTGCACCATCTCCTCCCCGGGCCCAGCTTGGTTCTCGGCCTCACAAGTTAGGTTGTGCAGGTTGTCATTGGAAGAAATGTTGGTGAGGAAAAGGACCAGCTCCAACGTGGAGCCCCAGATTCTCTCCTGTTAGCAGCCGATGGCAGAGAGAAAAGAGCAGAGGAGGTTAATGCAGCCCGGTCACAACTACATATGGATCACTCGGAGGTATACAGGTTAGAGAGATGAAATGGGATACCATTTTCTACATTTACTGGAGATCAATAGAATACAGAACCCATCTGAACCTTATTTATACAGGTTTAAGCTACAGTTTATCTAAATAGCTCACAGCACAAGGAGACAAGCAGGAAAACATTTGAAATGTGAAAGTAATAAAATAAATAAAACTTTAAAAAAAATCTAAACACATGTCAGCTTAGACAAATACAGCCACAAGCAGACAGGCAGAGTTAGAAGCAAGCGAGAGAAAGTGGATCTTAGAGTTAAACCTTGCAAGCATCAAAAAATATCAAATAGACGAGGGGAAGGAATACGATATATTTTGGAACATTTGCAAAACATGAAATCTTAAATCTAGGGACAAACAAGGGATCTCAGGTGTCTCTATCCTGATTTGTATCAATAAAATCTCCTAAGAAAACTTAAAACTGGAGAAGAACAGAACAAACCTTGAGAAGAGAGACAGAGGAGCCATCCTATTTTCAGTACTTGTCAATATCTTTATGATATAAACATATATTGAAAGGAGTTTACTACCTGCGTGAAGAAGTGAGAGTTGAGCTCTTGAGTTCGCCATCTCACGTTGGGAGTGGGACTTCCTGTCACTTGACACGCAAACGTCAGGTTGCCTCCATCTTTAGTCTTTGAGTCTTTGAAGGGGACAATAGTCACCTCGGGCAGACCTGAGAGCAGCAGAGGAGACGTGTGAGATGTGATGGTACAACGCAGTGTGGAGAGCCATGGGGTTGCAGCTGTTCAGAGAAACTCTCCCATATGTTTCCTGGCAACAAGATGTTCCCAGTCTTAGCGATTAAAACAACAAAGCTGAATTTCTTCTCTGCATTTCACTTCACCCCTGCTTGTTAAAGGAATTAATTTGCAGAATAATAACAACAAACGGTTATTTATTATTCCTTTTCTAGTTGCGTCATTTCAAATATTGATTGCACCACATAAGAGAGAGACTTATGAAGAAGATAAATAAATGTTGTGATGTTTAAAACAAAAATATTTAAGGATCCCTTAAAGGTGGGGTAGGTAAGTTTGAGAAACTGGCTCGAGATACACTTTTTGTTATATTCCATGGAATGCTCTTAACATCCCGATAGCAATGAATATTATAATATATATAATGAAATATATAATTTCTAAGACTGGAGTTCATGTCCTGTCAGATATCTGCAATCAACATTTAACTTGTTATTAAAGGTGGGGTAGGTAAGTTTGAGAAACCGGCTCGAGATATACTTTTTGTTATATTCCATGTTATATTCTTAACATCCCGATAGAAATGAATATCTTAAGTGCTTTGACAAAAGATCTATAAAAAAATGTCATCTGTGGAAGCCGTAGTACTGTAAAAAAGCACGACCAATCATTTTTAGCCGGCCCGGGTTTAAAATAACTGGATGGCCTACCTGCCTGTCAGCCTTCCATCTGTGCACAAACTTATCTCGTGCCCTCATTGGTCATGTGCGCGTTCGTGTGGGGTTGGAGGAGGGGCTCTGTAAGGAAGTGGCAGATTTTTTCCGGCTGTGTATTTTCAAATTCTAGCGCACTCGAGCTGGTTTCTCCAAAATTACCTACCCCACCTTTAAGATATAGATAGATTGGAAGAAATTGCTTTAGTCTCCCAAAAAAATCCAACTTTAATTGTATTACAATCCTTAAATCTCCTTCTTTGAGAAATCCAGAATCTACGAATATGCAAACTTTACTGTGAGATTTGATCTATGCTTTACACATGTTATTGTAAACATGTGTGTTGTTCAGTTATGAAGGTCAGATATTACTCACTGCAGTTATCTATCACCAAAGAGTTAAGGGGTACTTCTTGATGATTGGAGAAACAAGACAACATCTGGTTGTCCAGGTCACCGCGTTCATTATGCTGCCAATGCTGGAGCCAGTGGAGGTCACATGAGCAAAATAAGGGGTTGTCCCTCAAAACCCTGAAGAGAAAAAGGAGGAAGAATTAGTTCCACTGGCTAAAAACTTAAAAATGTTATTCCCTTAGATTTCTCTGACAAGATCACACAAGGTACACAAGAGCAGCAACTTTTAATTTTGTCTTGCAAATACCTTTTCAAGATAAAATCTGAGGTCATTTATTGGAGACTCACTTCATTTGATACTTGAATAACCTTTTTTGCTCACTGCATGTATAATCACATAATTGTTGTTTCTCTGCTTTTTGGAACCAATATCAATATTAGAAACATGTATTTTTGATATTTTATAAATCCTTGAAGAATTGTACCTTAAGATCAAAACAATCGTCTCACACCCCTCTTATTTTAAATAATAACACTCTACCCCTATTGGCTCAAAAGAACGTGGCAATAATGTGCTAGCTCAATTAATAACTAAAGATGCAAAGCAGGACTGAGATTCAAAATTGGCGTAAGACACTTTATATTGATTTTGCACTTTGGTGTTTTGTTTGGGCTTTTGGATGAGGACAGTACACAGTTGATGAATACAATTATTCTTCTGGCTAAAATACTTATTTTTTAAACTCAATCAAGGAAAAATCTGAATTGAAGGTGTGTGAAAATTTATTTTGGAAAGGATGATTGCCACAAAGAATCAAAGAGTGGCTCAACACACCATGAAATGGGAAACAATCAGCTCTAGCGAAGAGTGGGATAAAAAGGAACAATACATATAAATATGCTTGCCATGTTATTTTCTTTATTTTTTCATTTTAATCGTTTATTTGAACCGGGACAGTGCACATTAATGAACACTTTAGACAAATAATGCTTCAAGTGTAAATATGCCGGATTTGAGCTTTGAGCTAATTTCCATCCGTAGTCCCTGACATACAACATATAAGAACATGACATTTATATACATAGCAAAAAATAAATACATGATATGCAAAAGAGCATGAGCAGCATACAAGTATTTACCACATGGCAGTACAATATAGCAGCAACGACATATAAAGTGCAAGAGAAGATACAAGAGATGCATAAAGTGCAAGAGAAGATACCCCTGTGTTAAAGTGCATTTAGCGGTGATTACACGTCTGGCTGTTTCTCAACCATTCTTAGAGTTGACCTTTAAAGCTATTGAGAGTGGGACAATCCTGTATCTCAGTTGGGAGGCTATTCCAGAATGAGCTGCCTTTAATGGAGAGGACATTTTGTCCAAAAGTGGTCCGTCTACGGTGGACTTCACAGTCTCCTCTGGTTTCTGACCTAGTGCAGCGTCCAGTGTGTTTTTTGTGGATGAATTCCCCTAAGGGAGGGGGGAGGGAGGGGGGGCAGTCCATGTAAACATTTATGGTATGTGCTTTTGATGATATTGGACTGTCAACCCATTTTATTTATTTTTTGTATTAAATGTTGAAATGAGCTACTGACTGTATTTTATTTTTTCTGTTTGTTGTCTTTTTTTGTCTGAGATAGGAATGTCTCCTATTTTGTAATTGTTATGTCCATGTTTTGTGTCTGTAGCCTGTACAATAAATACAAAAAAAAAGATTACAAAAGAAAATGTACACAATTGAAACATTGAATACCTTAACAAAACGTTTCTTTTCATAATGTAAGCCATTGATGCACATTAGAAGTAGTTTATGGCAACACAACTGATGGGCACTGTGGGCAAACCTAGATGTAAAACCTGCTGCTAGGCAGAATATTATGATGTTTTCCTTCTGATGATGTGCAGCCTAATGAGTGAGATTGTTTTAATCCTTGAAAGCCAACTTCAGGGGCCAGGAACTTTAACTTGTTTTGCTGAACAAGAGAGATTGAGAGAGTATTACTCACAGGTTGAGCAGTGGTAGAAAATGAAACACCCTCCAGGAGATGTGTTCCAGAGAGTTTGATGCCAGGTTCCTATGAAATAAAGAGAAAACACACATTTGTAATGCTGTTTATTTGGCTAAACAATATGTAATACCACAGTCATTCAACCTACTGTATGTTGTACCTTGTTCGCTTTGGCTGAATTATGTGGCTTGATAGTTAGCATTAGAGGGAAATGACCACCCGCAGAGATTAACGGAGTACCTTGGAATCGCATTTTTTTTTAAATGTTATATTGTGTTTCGCATAATACCACAGGAAACATCCTTTCATCAATCAACAAAACTATTCTCAGCCTAAATGAAAGAAAAGTTAAAGTAGTATTGTTTTTATTGTTTGTAATCTAGTCCTGTTCTGCATTTGAGTCATGCGGTGATGTGATTGCTCACTTTTAGAGCAATGCTTACCTGCTTTGAATTACTCTCTCAGTGGAAAACGTTAATGCATCCAAATGGATTCTGATCAATTACCTTGGCAAGTATTTCACACCAGCCAGGAGCCACATGCACAAACACCTCCGGCACACCTCTCTCAGGGTTTGCTTAGTGTTCAGTAAATAAGGTGATTAGTCCTGAGTCACAAACACTTCTCGGAGGAAGGAGGAAGCTCGGCTACAGAATTGCATTTGGGGAAAAGGTTTCCCATTTATTGTTGACATTTGACTATTTGTATGCCGCCATAAGTACTGTGAGTTTCTAGCCATGTTAGCTGCGGAGCTCTAGAGATGAAAATCTCAGTCGCTCCGTCCACCACTTTGGTTCAGATAGAAATATCTCAAGGGCTTTTATGTGGATTAATATCGAGTTTTTTTTAATCAACATTGATGGTCCCGAGAGAATGAATCGTCATGGTTTAGCTGATCCTCTGACTTTCCCCTGGCACCAATAATATTGTAAATTATTAACTTTTAGTGAAATATCTTGACACTTATTGCCATTCAACCTTTAACAGACATTCATGATGTCCAGAGGATGCATCCTCATGGTTTATGTGATCCGGGGACATTTTGATATTGACATTTGTTGTTTTCACATGAAATATCTCATAAACTATTTTTTCTTACCTTGCTATCAAAAACACATTCCTTGCACTCAGGATAAATTGAAAAGACTTTGGTGATCCTCAAAATGTTCCTTTTGTGCCATAGTCAGGTCCTAATTTTTAGATGGTTTAGGACTAAATATCTGCAAAACTATTGTCTTTGTGATCAGCCAGTTGTAGTTATTTCTTTGTTTAGCTCATTTGCAAATGTTAGTAACCTAGCATGACAAACTAGGATGATACATTTTGTAAATAGTATTATAGACGTAACATTAGCATGTTAGCAATGTCATTGGGACCACGTTATCATGCTACAATGCTGTGCCACTAAGTACACTATTATGATGGGCTTTAGCTAAACTTTCAAAACATTTCTATTTCTCTTAATGTAATCCTACCTCTAAAACTGTGTATGTCAGGCAATCATTATGATCCTGTGATAGATGAATGCTACAGTACATATCTTTTGGCCAATCCTCCGAGGGCACTAACATATCATCACAGTGGCTCTCAAATGATCCTCAGACAGCCAAAGAAGCCAGGCTGTAAATAAACCTCCCTCAGAAGATGACAAATAGCCACACTGGGGAGCGCGCACATGGAAGCCAATACATATTCACTCTGGCAGGGCCAAGGGTTCAATTATTTGTTTTCCTTGCTCCCAAAAGTTCATGTCAGATGGGTTAGCCATTGGGGCTTATCCATTACCAGCTCGATTCCTGCCTGGGCCCACAGGGGGAGAGCAGAGCCGGGAATAGCAGCTCAATTTCTTTTTGCCATTCTTAAGGACTGGATTTTATAAAAGACAATTGAGTAGGGGAAGACTAGCGTAAAAAGAGAAAGGAAAAGTGGTTAAAGCTAGCCTCCTGCTTAGTTTGGTTATAGCCTGTCCCTCTTAATCTCAGAAATATATCTGTCACGCAGAAGCCCCTGTACTCCACCCAACCCGGCCCACCGTCTCCCTCCACGGTGAGGTATTGATTAAGTGATAATGGACCCTTAGTGGAGTGTATTTATTATGCATCAGTTGTCGATAATCCGCCCAAAGTGAGCGAGTAAAAGGTGACTGGTGGATGTCTTCTCCAATTTCTCGAGCTCACCCCACCTACCTCACCTCCTCCACCACCCCCCCATATCTGGTCCTCGTAACCCGCCTGTCTTTTAGATAAACAACATCAGACATGTCGCACACGCTCAGTGAAACGATGAGGACAAGATGGTGGCGATAAGGGTCAGCTGCTGATGAATAGACAGAGGTGATTGTTCCAGTCGATAAGTCTTCATGGTATTATTTATTGTTGGGTCTGGATTGAGAGGCCAAACTGATCAGAAATGTAAAGACTGACCCAATTTACAGGGTGTGACTTTTAATAATAAGTGACAAGTTTGTTTTAAATACCCAGCTGATTGCTTTTTGTTTGTTTTTTAGATTATTGATAAACAAGCAGGTAGTGAATCTTGAATCTATATTTACTATCAAACAAAAGTGATATGATTTTATGATACAGCATGTGGAAGACTTCAAAAATCGATTTATTTACTTTTGGCTAAAAATGAATATTAATTAGCAAATAATCTGCACTATTCTGTTGGAACGTTTTTCGATATATCAATGACAGATTTCTCTATGATATATATTAAAGTATTGAAAAATGTTGATCTCAATCCCTCAAAGTTCAAGAAGACGTCTTCAAATTGACAATTTTGTCCATAACCTCATAATATTCGATTATTAAAAACGAATTTATGAGAAACTGAAACCAACTTGGAAGTACACTAATTCAACTTCCTTTAATTCATAATGGGATCCAATGTCACAAAAAACATGTTATATTTATAAAAACGACATAATCAATCTAAAAGGCTTCAAATAGATGCAATATGTGGTTTGAGTATCTTAAATGATCAACAGATTTACCAGATCTCTGGATGAGTAATACAACTATTAGAGCAAGTGTGATTTTGAGAACTGTTCCTCTCGCTTCATCTGACGTGCAATATTAAAGGACTGGCTGAACACTGACTGACAGCGACAAATAGGCTGACCCACATACAGGTCACAACATGACACAGGGAAGACAATCCTTTTGTATTGACGAGGACACTTACACATACTGCAGCTTGAGGTTGAATTGGAAGGCATTGATAGAGATGAGCCTCAGCTTACATGATGTGACCGTGCTGGAGGGGGAGGAAAAGCACAATGATCAGTGAAACACTCTTTGTTTTAGCAAAACACAACACATTACAACTCAGAAATACTGAAATGTGTGTGTGAGAAATAAAAGCAGGAGTTGCAATATAGTCATATTCGATAAATCTGCCAACATTTTCTTTTAGTTTTTGGTTAAAAAACTCTCAATTGAGAGACCGAAATCTATGAATTTCTGGTATTTCTACTTTAAAAAAGGGCTCTGGTCAAGGCCGTTTGGTTCAACTAAGGGAAAAACTCATTTTCACAGCGTACAATGATATTTTGGACAATATGCTCCCAACTTTTTGGAGAACCCTAAACCCCTCCCGCAAGACTGTTAGCTTACCATCCAAAACTGTTACTAGGCATTGCATGCAAGGTTTGGAAATCTCCACATGTTGAAGCGGTGTGTATGATAAAAAGTTTGGGGGGGTGTTTTAGCGTTTACATAACCATACAGTCTAAGGGGTAGATTAAACTATGGATTTAACCGCTGTAGCCTGATATTAGGGAGCCATTCATCTTGGATTGGCTATCAGTCTGACGATGATTTTGCATTTGTATGAGGATATCTGTTTTAAGTGAATAACAAAAAGCTATATTGGTGCCCGACAAAAACGGATGGGTTTCCTACATTACCTAATGGCGAATGCGTTACTTGTCTTTGCCCGCTCTACTACTGAAGAGTACAAATGGAAACCAAAATGCTTACAAATACCAACATTTGTCCCGTCCTAGCTATCCAGCAAAATTCTTTACAACCTGCCTCTTAAGGCTTCTTGCTGGTCTGCCTAACAACAGCAACTTGAGGTTCAGTCTCTTGCTCATGGACCCTTGTACATGAGGATATATGAAGGATAATGAACTACCAATCTTGTGAATAAAGGACAACCCACTCTACCTCCTGAGCCACAGCCTCCACAAATCTTTGTTCTCAGTATGGTATATAAAACAATATTGTGATAGTATAAAACATAAACCATGTGTATTTGTCTTACAGAAAATGGTCTTAGTTAAGAGAAAATTAAATACTTACAGGTTTTTCAGCTCTCTGTAGTAAGCAAGATCAATCTCTGTTATATTCTCCAGGGCGTCTTGGTTTTCAATGTAACTGGTGCGCAAAAAAGGAGTGGAAAAGAGAGAGAGAGTTACAAGGTAAATACATAAAAAATGTCTGAGACCTTCAGCCTTTTGATGTCTAGATAATCAATTAATACCAAACTACATGAAAATAATAGACAGAAAAGAAACCACTTGAAAAAAAATACAAAAATAAAACGTGAATGATTTTCTTCACCAGGGACATGCAAAGTTAATCATCATTTGTGTTTATCATTCAGGGCATTTCAACCAACCAATTAAAGGGGACAATAAAATACTAATTTGACATTTTTAAAAGGCAGTTATGCAGCCAGAACTACAAAAAGGTTGTGCATATTTTAGACAAAGAACACAAAGAAATGCCTATTGAAGATGACATTTAAGACTTAACACTGAAAGCAACCAAGAGGATAAACTTGAATTTGAGTCTCCTGTGTAACATTTGTCTCAATAATGACTAAGTAATTACAGAACCCATTAATGTATCTGTTTAAAGACATTATTAGTGAGAGCTGGTAGAAAAGCTCTCACAGATGGGAAAAAACCCATTGGAGGGAGTTTTGAAACAACGCTCATGTGAATCAGCGTGAACATAAAGACAGGCATTAAATAAAGAGGGTTTAGCGTCCAAATTCAACCCCAATGACACGTCTGACCTCCCTGACATCCACTGAACAAACAGATAACAAAACAAGCCGTAATGTCCAGGGACCCACGAACCACAAAGCTATAATAACTTAATCTACTGCTCATGTGGAAAAATAATAATGCCTTAAGAGATGCCGGGTAGACAAGGCTGATGGGAAAGTCTTCTCAATGAGTAATTTTCCACTTTTCCAGACATAGCCTTCCTCAGAATAACTAGTGAGCTGTAGATCAATTCAGCACTCAACACAAGGCCAGCCATCTCTTTTCATGGGATGTGAATAGATGGCCTTGATAGGACCTAAAAAGGATTTTGCAAACTGTCCACATTTTCTCTGCCATTGCCCATGTAGCTCAGGAGGACTCTCAATGTATCAATGTGAATGTGTTTAAGCCCTCTCATGAACATGTGATCGAATCCTTGGGGCAGCGTTCCTTTGAAAATAAGTGAACAGATAATTGTAATAAAAAGGAAATATTATTTTATTTTTTGGAGAGGGATGAGGATATTTGAGAAAGTATAATATTAAATGATGAGTATATTCAATGTAGTATTATGTGCACCAAGCACTTTAAGGTTAGTTTGTTGGAATCTAACTGAAGGGAATATGTAAGGTTATTTAATTAATGCACAAACAGGTTACGTTTTGTTGGCAATTCACATGGTATTATCTAATAGAAGTTGTATATCAGAGTATTTTCATGTTATAAGACAAATATTTTAAAACCAACTTTTTAGTTAAATAATGGTGAAATATTGGCTTTAAAGTAGCCTCATTTTAATTGGACAGAATTAGTTAAAGAAGGCAGACCGTTTTTTAGAGGGTCATTTGACATAATAGGGCTACAATTTTAATAAAAGCATAAAATGTTGCTCCTAATATGCTGCTAGTACGACAGATCTATTTACAGTATGATTATCAGTTTATAGTTCTCTGTGAAATCCTAATACTATTTGCAAGAATAACTAATGCTGTAAAAATGTAGTCAATAGTGAAGTATTTTCCTCTGAAATGTAGTAAAGTAAAAATAATGAGGTGGCTAGGAAGAATAGATAGACGTATCTATGGGGGCACCCCTTTGTCATACAGTACTGCAATTATTTGAATAAAGATTTGTTCCCATGGTTTTATAGTGTTCAATGCATATGCCAAAAAATACCTGCAGTCATTTCTAGTTGATGACAGCCACTTTCAGCATGTGGCGTTGTTTCAACCTCCCAGTTCCCTGTTTGTCGGCTGCAACACACAAACCTTTTTATTCCTGTGTGATTGACCCACAGCAATAATGTGATTACAGGGCAGGTGGGCCCAGGATCACCCATCGCCGTTACTTATTGGATTGAGCCAAGTGGGTTGTATATCATCTATTGTTCCCGGGTGGAGGCATTGACTGGCAATTCACAAAATTGAATTTATAACTCAGCGCATGATGAATTTTGGCCCCTGTTCCACAGTTAATGGCCCCTTGTTTGTTCCGCGTATCGGCTGTATTGCCTTGCGCTGCCAATACAGAGAAGTGTTGTTGTTTGCTGGCATGTAGAGCACCGCGGTAAACAGAAGCCGAGGAAACGGTCCGCTTACTTATTGATTGAACGGTTTGGAGAGAATGTCGAGCCTCACCCTGAGCTCTACGAAACATGTTTAGCTGCAGGTACAAGGAAATACCTCTGAAATGAGAGAGAGAGGGGAGGAAACGAGAGGAGAAGGAGACAGAGGGGGAGGAAAAGAGGAGAAGTATGGCATGTCGTTGAATAGAGCCAGAAAGCAGCAGTAAATTGACTTGCTCCACCGAAATAGCATTTCACAAATGTAGTTCCTTCTTAAGTGCTAATTGCTCCGATCTGGGGACAGGAACAAAGAGAGAACAGCGTCGGTGGTGGGAGGAGAGTGACATTTACTTTTCCATATAGGAACTGATGGTGGGTTGCATAATAATACAGCAGCCGTCTTTAAATCACAGGTGGTCAGATTTGAGTTCCTTTTTCATACAAAGTTTGAAAAAGCGAAATAATAGTCATCTGCAGCTGTAGCCGAGTGAGAAATCTCAGTTCATCTGAGCACTAACTTGAGTTTTATTCAAACACATCCAGGGAGCGCCTTTCCATAAATATGTGACAATCAAAAGTGTGGCATGTACTGTATGGCTGTGAAGAACAACGTACATCAAACTATCCTCCAGCATCAAGTGACCATCACAAGCGTTCTTCTCTTGAGCACCAGATGAACCACAGCGAAGGAACATGAATTAGGTCCGAACAACCTCGACCCAGGTCAGCAGAAGTGGAATGTACATTTGAGCCTTACAAATTGATAAAATACTGTCTACAACCACTCATATCTCAGATTAAAGCTTGCTGGTCTCTACCGTGGATAAAAGCATGGCGGCAAATGTACATGAAGTAATGATGTGATCTCCAGAACATCGTACACGTGTTTCTTGTCCTGTGGTAGACTTTGGGACTGTGATTTGATAACACTAACTTTGAATCTTCAGATAAGTATAAGAAGAGGTTTTCTCAGCTCAGTTTTTCAGTGTTACACTTTGAATAAATGACATGTAAAGATGCTTTGAAGAATTTATTTGAAGTACATTTTGTCAGAAACAAACAGCAGGCAGCAGTAGGAAGGTTCAAACTGAAGTCAATTTATTGAACTCCAATAACATGGTGATGTACTGAATGCGTACTCTTTGAAATTAGTTTTAATGAAAGAAGAGTCAGATCTTGAACTCAAATAAACATGCAGCTCTCATAACATAAAAAAGCACTGTTTTCTGCAATACTGCAAAAGTCACTAGTACTAGGATCCTTTAAAGACCCCTGAGGCCATATTTTGAGGCACAATGGATAATAGGACATCAGTTCCCGTCACTCTGTGCCAGTTATTGCCAATAGCAATCCATAATTGATTTCCAATGACTAGTGTCCAAATTACTGCCATGCTAATGCATCTCAAACAGCAGTACATTCACTTCATCAATCAGTCTCTGGATTTGGCAAAGAACAAACTCTCTCTACTCTCAACAGAGCAAACATCTGACTCCAACAACAAGTCATACATAACGCCTTGCATATCGCCCAGTGTGATCTTGAGGTACTCATATTTGGCTCTTGTACTTGGTTAGAAATTGTAATTCTCTCTGAGCTGAATACAAACGGCAAACACTGCAAAGAACAGAATCTTCTCAAGATATGAAACAGACCAAATAATGTAGGAAATAAAAATGACTAATGAGAAGAAAACGAATACCTACAAAGTAAACCATCAACCATTAGCATGCAGAGAAGCGATTGTTAGTCTCAGTCATAGCATTAGAGAGCAAGTTTATTGCACAAACTTGAATGATATAGTCAGTGTTACACCTGCATTTATATTACTCAATCCAAAAGCTAACCAATGACTGTAGAGAAAAGTATTAGATAACTATATTTGAACACCTGGACTAGATAACAAACAATGGTACAACAACAAGAATTACCAGCAAACATTGCCCTCTACTAGAACTGCAGATAAGATATTACACCAGTTGCAGATGGTCCCATAAAAAAGACAACTCTGCCATTGAGACACTCAGAACAATTTCAGCGCCAACCCAGAGTGACAACATGAGTAGAAACAGAGAAAATCCAGCTTGGCAAACCAACAATATCAAGGCAGCTCATGCTTATTTCGAGGCACATGCAGCGCAGGTGGCACATCATACTCACATCTCCGTCACATTCTCACTCTCTTGTGTTGCCAGTGCCGGGATGCTGGTGATACCATTGGGCTCCAGGCACTGCAGCATGGCGAAGGAGCACCTGCAAGCCGCCGGGCAGCCTCCCAAAGCGGGCGCCGGTGCCAGGCTGAGCAGGGCGAGCACCAGGGGAAGTGCCAGGGCATAGGGTGCCACAGCCATGCTCAAAGAGGATCTTCTCAGCCCCAGAGAAGAGCTTTGGCAGCTGTAGTTGGAGTCAGTGTCTGTGTGTTTCACCTAATGAAGAGTCAGCGAAGAGAGATGAGGAGCTTTCACACACTGAGGCTCTTCTCTTGGCTCTCTGGCAGAGTGGAAATCCCAGCTGCTCAGGGTCTGGTGCTGAGCCACAGCTGTACTGAGCAGCAGGAGGGGCAGGCAGTCAGGCAGGCAGGCAGGCAAGGGGCCTCTAGGGACATGGTGGTAGTGGGCTGCAGCCTCTCTCTTTCTCCCTCTCTCCTCCACCATGAAGGGAGGGGCAAGATAACAGGGGCCAGAGTCACCAGACACCTCCGAAAGAGAAAGGGGGATAAGGGAGGGGTTGGGGTTAAGGGTGTGTGTTGATGATGATGAGAGGAGGAGATGGGATATGGTGATGGAGATCTCATCTGCCCCCCCTGGGTGAGAGGTCTGCTGTCCTGCCAGCAGCTCGAGGTGCAAACAGAGCCAAGAAGTCAGGGCTCTTGGGTGCCTGGAAGCATGCAGCGGCACTCTCACACAGACACAACTGTAGAAACATCTTGCTGGACGAATGGATGGATGTTTCTCTACTTGTAGAATTGATTGTTGGAAGGTTAGGGATTGTTGAGATTTAGGAGGTCAGTGATGAAAGTGGTTAGGGGTTAGGAGACATTGTATCCACAATAAGCTGTTTCGTAACAGTGTGAACTCCCAGCAGGATTTAATAATAGGAAATGAAAGTAAGAGACTACACGTCTCCATGCTGTTGTTTTCCTCCATAGAGTAGTGTTGCACTTCGCTTAGTGTGATCCTAAAAGGGGAAATAAGCATTGCACTTTCACTCATTTTACGTGATACGAACAACAGACTGAGGAAAACTCTCCAATACTTTGCTCTGGAGCTTCAGTATTATCTCTAGCTACATAACACTTGACAAACCCTAAGTGGTTTTTCAAATATAATAATCTTAAAATGTAATTTGAAAGGTTCCTCTGAAAACTGCGTCAGCATGATTTTGAAATTACGTAAAGTTACCAAATCTCAGCAGCCCACTCGACCTCTTTTGTTTCATAAGCTGCCACTAACATTAAACATCCAAATCTTTGACTTAACTGTCATTGAGTGGTCATTGTCTTGGAGTTCTTTAAAGTCAAAGGGATGTTTTAGTGTGTTGAGCTTCTGTAATAAAACTAGAATACAGTTGTAGAGTTCAGGTTCTATAAAAGTTGTGAAAGTTAGAGATGTCCCCGATGTCCCCGACTGGTAGACCCCGCCAGTTGTCTACTGATGTCCCCAACTGGTAGACAAATACTTAAAACTATTTACAGTAAAAACCCTAAATGCTGTTAGTCAATCTGCTTTTTTTTTAAAATTCTTTCACCTCTTTTATTTAAATATAATCATACGATGTCATTGTCGATTGCGATCAATCAATGTAATTAATCAACACTAGCAACAATGTAACCATTAAACCATTACACCCGTCCATAGACTGTATATATAAAGCACCCATCACACAAATAATCACACAAACAGATTTTGAAAATGTATCTAATTTTAGGTTGTATCAATTTAAAATGCTTGTTTTGTCCCAAAGACCGTCCTAACTTAAGAAACAACAAATCCAACACATTTGAGCAGATGTGAAAAATTGTTGAACGATTCAGGAGGCCTTATGTGCTATCCTAAAGAAAAGGTCAGATAAAGAAGTTAAAAGTCAACCAATAACAAAGGACCCCATGAAGTCTGTGTGAAATGGATGAATAGAGAAATGAAAGTTGGTGGGAAGTGCAGACAATGAGGAGACTAAATAGTTGCGTGAGAAATTGGGAAGTGGTTCGACCAAAACAGGAGGCTTAATAAATCATCAAATCATTGGGTTATTGACTGAGACTTTCTGGAGGTATGATCGGAAGTAATGAAATGTACTAAAAGGGAAATTAAAGGTCACGTAGCCTCTTATTTTGTGGTAAAAGCCAATCACTGCCCTTGGTTGGCTTCGTACTAACCGTCGATGTCCATTAAGGGATTGTAAACAAGGTAGATTTCTAGATTTTCTTGTGAAGTAGCCTCGATTTTTTTGGGTTACAAAAAATGAATACATTTGAATGTACTCTCATTGAAAAATGCATCCTGGATACTAACAGAATCCAAAGTGGGAGGCCTTATTCTTCCACATCCAGGGAGGTTTTAAGGAGAAGAGCTATAAGAAACATAGGAAAGGGATAGCATTTTCTGATTTGATGAATAGTTCTGTAAGATTGCCTTCATGACATTCAAATGGTATTACCGATGTACTGCTGTAAGCTTCTGCATTCCTCATGTAAGTACACTATCTGCATTTTAAGTAAGACGTTCTTCATATTCATTATAATCTGTTCAAGGGTTTCTTTAAAGCTTCACATTGCCTTTCTTTACAGATGTAAAAGGTGGTGTGTGTAGACTCTAAAAGTTATATTTCTCTAGCACTAGAAGTATACTTGCAGCTGTAATGATAAAAACCATAACAATGAAGGAAGGATACTGTCATTAACCTATATGTAATCACATATTATCTCTAAGTCAGGCCACTAAGGGTGCTTGTGGGAAGGCTGTCCATCATACATATATGTTCTTTACATGAGCGGAGCCGTTTCGACCCATGGGACAAATATTGTGCCCCACCCCCATTGCTCTTAGTCCCTCTTCACATGAGTAAGGTCATAGTGTCCTGACCACAATTACTGGCCATAAGCTGAATGGACATTTTTGCTGCCGTCGTCAGGATTATCTGGTGGCTTAATTACTCTTCCTTCTACGCCCCCTTTTTCTTGGTCCTAGCTCAGCAAATAGTGTAGAGGGACAAGGAGCTGTGTTTGAGAGCTCAGACAGAAGAAACTAAACGAGAAGCATTTCAACAACATAATGAAATGTAAGCTGCTTGAAATGTATGTTCTCGTCACATATTGTACAATACCTCCTTTAGTTGTCCAGGGTTATCAGGCACTTAACTGTAAATACTACATAGGCTAAGTGGTTTCATTTCAAGTTTACAAGTCTGGAACCATGACTCTGGGCATGAGTGTCTCCATTGTGCTAGATAGGAGTTGCACACTTGTAGTATATGCTAACAGTTGAGAGTCAATCGCAGACATTTCAAACACCCCATTATATTGTTAATACTTGCTTAAATCTTTGTGTTTGTCTTTTCTAATATATAGCTTGTTTTCCCTCCAGTCTTCCCACTGTGAAGTTGCCTGCCTTTTACCTGAATAGGACACAGACTTGAATCAATTGATTTTACTTTTCAGAAAAACTACAGCGCAATCATTTTTTATAAGGAGTATCTAACTCACAAATCTGCAGGTAGGAGCAGAGTTCCCGTTAGAATATTTTTTTGCCGGTCAACATGTCCGTTAAAGTTGAAATCTTCCGGACAAAATTAGATAAGTGCCGGTTAAAGGTCTTCTTTGTTATTTATTGAGCTTTAAAACAAATTGATATGATTCGACATTAAACAAACTAATTATAGTAGATTAACTACATTATTCAAAAGTGTACAGTAATTTACAAAAACGCGGGAATAATAAACGGAGCGCTCTCTCCTTCTCCTGACAGCCCGTCAGTATCATGCAGCTCGCGGATCCAGTAATGAGTGACCCGACAGTAAAACTAAACATATCTATAACTAGTTTAGGTAGTTTGAGAGGTAATTAAAATAGCTACGTGTGATTTTCTAACCTGAAGTGTGTTTTGCTCTGCTCGCCGCTGCAGGGGATCATGCAGAGCTGCGTGTCGACTCGTCAGCAGCAGCCGATCTCTCTCTCCTGTCAGATTAGACTTTACTCGCATTTATGTCCATATCGATCAGATCTAGCTAGTTCTAGCTAATGATATGACTACCTGCTTGTTAAAAGACACCTAAACAATAAGCGTCGCTATGCAACCGGATGAGGCCACAAAGTATAGCGCAGCATTATGCATTTGTTTACATGCCCACCGGAACCCCGAGGCATTACCAACAGATCAACGCACAATCAACCCATACAGGACATCTCTTTCTCCACATTAAGTGTTAGACATTAGAATTGACAATTTTTGTCTGTCACATACTCTTTTGTCTGTCACATACTATTCTTGTCTGTCACATAAGTGGCGCAACTGATGCGGTATTGCGCTAAGGGAAAATTATTTTGACCGGACATTTTGACCGGAGAGATTTAGATTTGCCGGACTTCAGCATATTTTACCGGTCATTGTCCGGTAATTACCGGCTAACGGGAACTCTGGGTAGGAGGGAAACATAATAAGTCCTGATAAAACAATAACCAATTAGAGTTATTCTACGAATTACAAGTAATCTACACGCTTCGACCAGACACATCATCAATCAGCATCCTCCAGAGGTCCTTGTTAACTTTATAAAGTTAGACAACTAGAATAAAACACCCATTTAAATAAGTCTCTTCTAAACAATGGACGATTATGAGACATCATGTGAAGAGTTGAATTCAATGAGACATCCAACAGCCTGTTTTTAGATGATACACAACAGGAAACTAAAAGGTTCTGTTGTTTAAATACACAACATTTTTGAGGGAGAAAACCTTCATGTATTTTGGTGAATATAACTTTATGTGGCCTTGATGCACACTACTTGTCGACTCCTGATCTCTAAGAGATGCAGCCTGTTGAAACATGACTGGCAGATTACTAAATCGTTTTTATTTCTGTCCATCCTTTGCCTTATTTCAATCAGCACAATTAATTTACAGACGCCTGTTCACAATTCAACCTAATCAAATCATTAGGTAGTATAGTGGACATTTGACTGATAATAATGGCCTTATTCTCTCTGGGTATTTAATTTGATTACGGTTTTTATGCATTATGGTGATTGATGGTCATAGAAAGGGTTAATTGCGACACTTGGCTTTTGAATCAATCTCCCCCTGTCAGGTCAAAGATAAATACACTGGTTAGGAGTCCACTCACATCAACTGCAT